AAACCTCTGTAACCACCCAGAGGAAGCAGTAAAGGGTTTGGGCTCTGAAGTTCCCATCTTTCGTGCCACTGCCATGTACAGTTCACGTGCGTAGTCCTTCACAGAGCGCGTGTCGACCGCCATGTTCCGTCGCGCCTGACGCACCAAGTACCTCACAAGTAATTTTTCTGTCTTGAGAAGCACCCGGTTGTGAAAATACTTGATCATAGAAGCACCTGTAGACTTTGTGATCTTCATGTGCTCCTTTATCTTGGCTGAATCCTTCTTTATAGTCCGGATCGTAGATTCGTTGACGCCATGCTGGCGCGCGAGATCAACTTGCCGTGTTCCTTTCTCCAAATCTTGAATAATTTGGTACTTCACCTCGTAGCTTAAGGAACGTCGTGTCCTCTTTGGCTTAGTGCCGCTGGGTCCAGGTAAGGAAAGGTTTTTCTCTGGGGGTGGTGGTCCGGCGGAAGCCATTTTACGGAACAATGGATGCGCGATAACACGGAGTGGCCTTGAGGGATGAAACTGTCGCGGCTAGGTCAAGCGTCGTCTCTCCTCCCTCCCTCCCTGCCCCGGGTGGACACGTCATAATACTTTAAGCCAATTACAGCTAGCAGCAGAGGAGGGTAGGGATGCATGGCCAATCACAGGTCTGATACGTCATATGACGTCAGTGATAACGCAACAAAGACACACTGCGCAACCTTACCGCGCCGCTTGCCCAAGCGGAGGGAGGAGGAGGAGGGAGGAGGAGGGAGAGGCAGGCAGGCGGGTGGCGCAAATCTAAAAATAGCGTCGCGCCGGACACTCTCCGCGGAATGGCGTTCGCGACCGCGAAATGTGAAAATGTTAGGTTCTGGCAAGGCACCGCGGTAACGGTGAAACGCGGATTGCGGGACCGCTTAATGTGAGGACCAACTGTGTGTATATATATATATATATATATATATATATATATATATATATATATATATATATATATATATATATATATATATATATATATATATATATATATATATATATATATATATATATATATATATATATAGTGAAGTGGTAAATGTTACTTGACTTTATTTATATAACATAACAGTAAATATGCATTTTGTTTAAGCAGACGAACTAACTTTTCGCGCAGACTGTGTATGTATGTATGTACAGCTATTCCCCAGCTTACGACGTACTCGACTCATGACCTGCCTCAGTCGTACCAAAATTTTGTCAAATTACGTATTTTTGAGTTCCAAAGTCATTACACTGACAAAATTTTCATTTGTAATTCACTTTAAAATGGCTGGCAAGCTTAAAAGTGAGTGTTTTGTGGTGCTGAGAAGAAAAAGAGACATCCATTTTAGATTTTTTATGTATTATTTAAGCATTTCCGACTTACGACCTGGATGTCGGTCCCTAACCCTGTTCGTAAGTCAGGGAATTAGAATAAGAGATATATTTATATGTATTTAACTGTAAAACCAAATAATGAAAATGTATAACATAATTGAGAAGTCTAAAAGGAGACACTGGCAGTAACAGGTTACAACTCTGTCTTGTTTAATATGTGACATGTTCATATCATCTTTTATGTAGTTAGGCAACATAACATACAGTTTTGTTAGTTACAACTGTCATGTTTCGTATGTGACGTGTGCATCATCATTTTCAATACAAGTTACATCAGTCATAATTCATATGTGACGTGTGCATTATCATTTAATACATTTTCTGTGAACTGAGGGTATAATTACGTGATTAAAAAACAATGCATTTTTTTTAATTCACAACTGTCATATGTCCTATCCAACATGTATATATCATAATTTGATTAATTTTCTATACCTAGAGGTATATGAGGTTCCTATTATCCAGACAAAATAAATGGAGTCAACCATACTGTACATTCCTTTATGAATTCTACCTCCGAGAAAAGTTTGCTGTTCTAGTCAGTTTTGTGGGTAACCATGTAACTAACTCTTGTGATAACATTGTGGGATGTTTTGTGATAATACTTTCTCTCGTGTGAAGCACCATCAAGGACAGATAGTAGGGGGGGGGGGGGGCTAGTCCCCCCACTCCTTTTCATCAGAAAATTTCAATACTTTTTCTTTAATGCAGTATTGTACTTTGGTGTTTTTGTATAGTAATAAGTAATTACTATTGACCTCAGAATCTCTCTTAATATTAAATGCACATAGCTTCAAAATGGCCTCAAATGCCCATGATATTGGTCAGATTAAAAAATAATAACTCTGGTGGGGTCTTACAACACCCAACCAAAAACCCCCAGCTGGGTGGGTTCGTTTTGCTCGCCATTTTCCCACACCCAAAACTTCTTGGACCCCCCCCCTTTTTTTAATATTCCTGGATCTGCCCCTGACCATCTCATCAGCCTTTTTCTTTATTCTTCATCTGGAAAGACCTTTTCATATTTCCCCTCCATATTTACTCTCAAAATGGCAACCAAAGTTATAATATCTGGCACTGCTACACTTTCTCTACATATTAAACACATACATTTTCCACCCACATTGGTAAAAGAATATCTAGAAACCCATTCTTTGCTGAATACCTGGGATTCACTGTCCATTTCCCTCTTTTTGATAGTCATTGCCAAATTAACATGCACAGGTTGTGGGTGATATGAATATAAAATTAGAAAACTGGCACACAATAAATAGAGAGGATAATGGATAAATTACAGTAGAATCCAGTTCACTGAGAAGCACAGAAGGAGAATAATGTAAGGTAGAGTAAAACAGATCATCTCAAGTACTTACTGACTTCTGTTTCCCATACTGACCTAGCAGTTAAAAAAAAATAATAATAATAATTTTAGATGACCCATCACTTGAGTTAAGTCTCCCACACTGTCTTAACCCCTACCACACTGGGGTAAAACGAGAAAAATCAACTTTTCCAAAATAATTTTTTACCTTTATAAATGATTAAAACAATAAAAAAAGACTTAAGAAAAACTATATATTGTCCCTCTAGAAACTTCCGTGGCACCTCAGTGACGAGACAAATAAGGGGAAAGTTTCTTTTATGTCGAGCGCCGGCTGTCACTACGCACGTATGGGTCATTTTCCCACTTTCCTTTGTGTCCGAGATAGCCAATAATGCATATATTTACTGATCATAATATTAATCTCCCATAAATAATTCATTTAGAATTTATTTTTTTGCATTATTTTTTATAAAAAGAGCTTGGCGACACACAGCAGTCTGTCGCCAGCTGTCTTTGTGTTTGGTAGAGCAAGTACTTGTAATGCATAAAATAATAATAATTCAACAAATAAATAAATTTATAACATAATCATAGCATCAGTTTCCAGTAATACTACATTACAATACAACTACACTACTTTTACCAATATTAATTTGATACAATGGACAAACAATGAAAATGAAACAAACAAAAGTAGGTTCAGGAAGCTTCTCTGTGGCCGAGGTGTGGCATGACAGGCAAATAGTCACACGGGAACCTGATAACCCGCGCTAGGCATTTAAATAGTGGCGGGAAAAGGCGCGCGTTCTGGAACGTCACCTGAGGCAGGCCGGCTTGTGACAGTTCATATTAAAAGCCTCAAGCTGAAGCCAGCCAGGTCTTGCTACTGTGGCTGTCCAGCAGTGATAATACTCCCGTTGTGTGAACACATTTCTTAAAAACTGTTGCAAAACCATTGCTGCTTGTGCTTGCCAAAAGCGAAAAATGACGGTACAAATGCCCGTGTGACAGAGCCTTAACACTTCTACTGTATTCAGGAAATTTGCGATAAAAAAAAAAGGGCCTGGGAACTGGAAACCAGCCAACAACACATCAATGTACTGTATAAGAAAGGTAGAAGAAGTTGCAAACACTGAGGAAAAAAAGGGGGAGGGGGAAGGAATAATCCAACACCTAACAGAATACAGTCTTATCAATGCATATCAACATGGTTTCATGGACAGAGTTTACTGGTGGATGTACAGTATATGGATTTTTCAAAGGCATTTGACAAAATCCACATGGAACAGTCTACCAGAACAAGCTGTGGAAGAGAAACAGTACCGGGCTTCAAAATAGCCCTCAATAAGACTATCAAGAACAATGGGGGGATCCTACAAAGCTCATTGGCCTCCAATAAGGCATCACTTAAGTAAATGCCAAAAATGCAATATTGAGATACATGTACTGTAGTGGTATTTCCAAATTCTCTGATCAATTCACCATTGAATGGTATACTGTACTGTACTTACTTGCACATAAATTTCACAGAATAGTTGTGTAAATTAAGCCTCAACAAGCCTGAGGTGACTATTAAGGTTGATTCTTGGGAACAAATAAACTTATCTTGTTCAAATTCTCCTCATTTACTCATATGTAACATGTGACACATTAAATACAGTACAGAAAATTATACTGTAAAACTAAAATTTTGTATGCTAATTATATAGACTAAAAGTGTAAGAGAGAGTATGGAAATTGGAAGTAAACAAAAGTTTGGTGTGGATATTGCCAGCAACACAAGTGGCAGAGAAGCGTCAGAAGACTGACGTCAACATTCATGCCTCGTAAACAAAGCAGAGGGAATTTAGGATGACGCAATAACTTCTTATAGATGTTGGCTTGTCATTTCATACTGTTCATTTTGTTTCAAATCTCATCTGATTTCTGTAAGCCCATATATATAAAATTTTTACTGTACTGTATTGCATGTACTTTACTTATGATGTACATGTCAATGATAGAGAGAGAGAGGAAGCCATATTAGCAGCAGTTGACTATGTTTTTCAACTGCTTGGCACGTCTTACAACTTGTTACATGGCTCTACTGTACATGCTGTACAATTACTGAATTATTTTATACTATTGAAAAAGATAAAAGAAGCACAGAGAAATACAAAAAAAAAAAAGATTCACTTGATGTATGGTGAAATAAATGGTAACAGTATAATCATATTATAAAGTACCGTGAGGTACTGTACCGTATTCCATGTGGGGTATGAAATGGCATTAAACAAGAGTAAAATGACTTTACCTCTAAACTTTATTCACTACCAAACCAGGAAATACACATGTAGCTACTTAAAAATTATGGCTTTGCAAGCTGAACAAATACCATAGATATTAGGACTAACTTTAAGTAGGTAAGTAACTAAATTTTATGTTCTCATTCTATTTCGAGAATGTCGAGTACTGTACTGTATCAATATTTACAACAAACAGTGTGGTTAAATACATCTTTTGTAAACTTACTCTTCCATTTCTCAAATAATAAGGAAGAGAGAGATCAAGTGCAATAGTTCTCAACTCTGAAAACATATAAATAGCCAAACTCAAAAAAACATTCAACTTGCTTTAATAAGATTCAAAACAGAATTAGATCCTTAAATTCTAGTTTACATACAAAATTAGAAACCTTCATAGAAAACATTGCATAAAGTAACATCTGATTTAATCCATCAAATTTTTGTAGCAAATTACATTTACAGGAGCAAATAACATTCAATAAGATACTATAAACAATAAGGTTCCATTCAACTTATACAAGGATTAAAAAATTAATGTACAGAGTATTTAAAACCAAAATGAATTAGGAAGTGACGACTTTTATGTTGGAAGTAAACTGTTCTTAGTCAACCGGAGGTTTGAGGAATTCTTTATTTCTTTCTTTCATCAGCTCCAATTGTTTTTGTTTTGCAGCTTCAACAAAAGTTTCCATTTCTGTGAGAGAGTTTCCTATTTTTGGTTCTCCTTGCTTGTTATTTTCTTCTTTGTCCCACTTCCCAAATCTATCAGACCTGTTTGGAGAGACTTTACCTGCAGAAGATCTGTCATCATCATTATTGCTAGCAACGGGACGAGACGAATCCCACCTACTTGGGGTTTTGGGACGAGATGAATCCCACCTACTTGGGGTTTTGGGACGCGACGACTCCCACCTACTTGGGGTTTTGGGACGAGACGAATCCCACCTACTTGGGGTTTTGGGACGAGACGAATCCCACCTGCTAGGGGTTTTGGGACGAGACGAATCCCACCTGCTTGGGGTTTTGGGACGAGATGAATCCCACCTGCTTGGAGTTTTGGGACGAGATGATTCCCACCTACTTGGGGTTTTGGGACGAGATGATTCCCACCTACTTGGGGTTTTGGGACGAGATGATTCCCACCTACTTGGAGTTTTGGGACGAGATGATTCCCACCTACTTGGAGTTTTGGGACGAGATGAATCCCACCTACTTGGCGTTTTGGGACGAGATGAATCCCACCTACTTGGGGTTTTCGGACGAGATGATTTCCTTCTGCCAGGTGATCCATATCTTGTAGATTCCCTATGACTAGGAGTTTTAGAATGACGTTTCCTTTCAAAAACATCAGAATCATCATCTCCATACTTAATTTGGTTTTCAATTTTTTGTCTTGCTGCTTCAATCATCATTTCACGCTCATGTAGGTCTTGCTTAAAATGAGCCCCTCTTTCCCAACTATGCTGGCCCTGTCCTTGAAAGTGACGGGGATAATGTGCAGCAGTAGTAAAAGACTTATGCAAGCTACGGCCACTACTATGGGGAAATTCATGTTCCCAACTTCTTGGTCTTGTGTGGGAGAGGGTCCTAGACATAGATCGTTCACGAGAATCTCGAATGTTGCGTCCTTTAGAGCGTGACCGTTCACGAGAATCTCGAATGTTGCGTCCTTTAGAGCGTGACCGTTCACGAGAATCTCGAATGCTGCGTCCTTTAGAGCGAGACCGTTCACGAGAATCTCGAATGCTGCGTCCTTTAGAGCGAGACCGTTCGCAAGAATCTCGTCTGTATTGAGACCTAGGGTGTGACCGTGAGGGACTCCTAGAATGGGATCTTGACAGAACCTTAGAGTGGGATTTGGGTTTGATAATGGAATTTTCAATAAAAGCTTTGTTTGTACTCACAGGAGATTTTTCTTGATTAATACAACTTGAGGCTGGCTGATCAAGAATGTCATCCTCGTCACTTTCTCTAAATGCAGGATGAATTGCTTTAACAGTAGGAGCAGAATTAGCACCTAATTTAGTCTTTGACAAACGAAAGCCTTGTTCATAGCTCTTCATCACATTCATCATCAGAGCAATACTATCAGGCTTATCTGACCCTCTGAAACAGAAAGAATTGATGAATACTGACCTCATTAAATCATTCTATTTCTTTATGCTCTCCACATATAATCACAAATTATATTAAATTATATTTAAATTCTACATTTGCTTATAACAAGTATAATTTCTGGTGAAAAAATATATACAACCATGACTACATAAACAAAACAGATAATGATGATTTACCATTCCTTTGGACAAAATCTATGATCTTCTTTGAAGTTTAACAGAATTTCATGATTTGATGTCACATTATCATAACTTACCCTTCTTTATTAGGTGTGTCCTTTGCTTTGGTATTCTTGTCTCTGTAATGCAAGTAAATGATGAGGTTTATATGAATCCATATACATGACTACATAAACAAAATACTTAAAGATGATTTCCCATTCATATAAAGTTCTATGATCTTATTGGAAGTTTAACCAGATGTCTTACATAACTTACCCTTCTTTCTTAGGTGTGTCCTTTGCTTTGGTGTTCTTGTCTCTGTAATGCAAATAAATGATATGGTTTATATGAATCCATATACACACACACACACAGATACTATATGAAAAAAAAAAAAGGGCAGTCCCCAGCTTACGACAAGGATACGTTCCTGGACCTTGATCTTAAGTCGATTTGTTCGTAAGTCAGAACAGTGTTAATTCCATAGTTTAGGTTAGAATTAAGCTCAACTTGCCTATACAAAACAACAATAATATCCAATAAATAACATATAATGTAAACAAAGTGATAAACAAAACAAAAAAAATAATGAAAACAATGTAAAAAATGGGATTTTAATTACAAATTGTTGCGATGAATGTTTTGGGATCCCGTTGGTAAACCCTCCAAATTCAGTTATTTATTATCCATGAGTTGTGTATTTGCAAACTGCTAAACGCATACCAATTCCTGATTCATGACTCATCAATTTGAAAAGTGAGTGTCCCCTAAGCAAGACTCCCCATTTGGGACAGTGTGGATACAGCACATTGTATACTAAGCCTTTAGCACACAAGGAGGCAGCACAGCCAATACTGCTCTTGACTGCATTCACTTCCCCAAGTTGTAAATTTAGGTGCCCATTTAAAGCTGGGTGAACTGAAGTGCCCAGGAATTGAACCACCGGCCCCCAGAACAGGAGGCGAGCGCTGTATCCACTTGACCGCTGCAAACCCATGTTGACAGTAATTACTGCAAGATTTTGAGCTTTAAAATGAAGTGTAAGAGTGTTCATGTATATAAACACAAGTAAACCAACAATAATCCGTACCAGATTAACATACAAGTAAACTGGGCTGTAGCTCATGGGCTCTGAGGTTCAGAGTGGCCTCCAGCACTACTTGCCAATGATCGAATCATAGACTTACGACCTACTCGACTTACGACCACCCGCACTTACGACCTGCCTCAGTCGTATCAAAATTTTGTCAAATTACATATTTTCGAGTCCCAACGTCAGTGATTGCGCTGTGTACTGACAAAATTTTCGTTTGTAATTCACTTTAAAAGGGCTGGGAAGCTTACAAGTGAGTGTTTTGTGGTGCTGAGAAGAAAAAGAGACACCCATTTTAGATTTTCTATGTATTATTTAAGCATTTTCGACTTACAACCATTTCGACTTATGACCTGGATTTGGGTCCCTAACCCCGTCGTAAGTCGGGGAGGAGCTGTACTTCATTGATGTTTTTGGAAAAGTTCCTAAATAAATTACCTGTCAAAAATGGCGATTTTCCAACCAAAAACTGCAGTATTCTGAGAAGATATCAGGCAGCCCTGACTTGAAGGTCTGTATCTGTCCTAGAGCAACTGTTTTCTAGTTTTCAGATAAACAACAGCCAAAATATTACTACTAAACATGGTTCAGGTAAGTGAGTGTTCTACTTCTGTGATGATCGTAAAAAAAAAAAAAAATAAAAAATCACTATAAATAACATTCCCGAGTTGATGAGAGGAACGATTTTCAAATAAGTTTGTGCCTTGAAATTTCATTAAACTATTGTATTGGGTTTATTCGTGAAACAGGATTTGGAAACAGTAAAAAACTGGTACGCATTGAAATTTCTTGCCAAAGGCCCTGGCATTAACTGTACACAAAGAAAAATAAAAAAGCTATCTGGGTAGGTGTTATAGTAAGTGCTTCCAAAGTTATTACAGCTGTAGAAAATAATATGGTGAAAATGGTAAAGCTTTTAACCCTTTGTGTACAGGGGCCCCTCTGTGTTGAGTATGATTGTCTGGCATTAGCCAAATAAAATACTATAAGTGGCATTGTTGTAGTGAAGGGGTTAAATTCTTGGAATGCAGACCGAAGTGACCTAATCATCAGTGAATAAGCATTCGTGAGGTTCTCCAGGGATGTAACCCTTAAAATGAATTCAGAGGACTTTCTGTACAGTATTTATACCAACTAAAATGAATATACTTTGTCTATTTATAGTTAGTTCATTTTTATAAAAGAATGTAATACCTGTACAGTAACAGGGTATTTAATTTTTTTTGCAGGAATGTACCACGCATAAAAAGTTCTATCAGAACTCTCAGCAAACTAGATAGATTAATTATATATTTTCCTTCAAAACCTTTCTATCATCAAAAAATAACTCTTAAACTTGCCTTTCTTACATTCACTACTGTACTGTATCACAAATACTTCCTTCACACATCCCAGTTAGTACCAATAATATGGATTTCCCTACATGGCCGGTGATCAACAAAATAACACATACAGTGGTCCCTCGGTTAACGAACTCAATTCGTTCCAGAGGGTTGTTCGTTAACCAAATATTTTTTTAACCGAAACCATTGTTTCAATGGGATTTTGGGTAATTGGTTCCAGCTCACCGAAAATTACATACAAAGTAAAAAAAAATGCAGTAAAGTACACTTACTTTGAGGTGTGTATGTAGAAGGCTCCTGGTTGATGATGCTGATATGAATTTGAAGTAGGAGGTGGAGAAGGGGGAAGAGAAGGAAGTGGGAGTGGAGGAGAAGCATTTTTCTGCTTCTTGGAAGGCGAGTCACCTTCCATAAAAATGTCAGGAACCTCTGGACTGACAGATTCTCCAGCAGGAAAATCCTCTCTCCTTTTTGAAGTGGAAGGCTGAGGGGTAGCATCTTTCTCCTGCTGCCTTTTAGAGAAGAAACTGTCAATTTTTCTTTGTGGGGCATTTCTCCTCCTCATCATTAACTGATTTTTGAAGACCACTACTTTGTCCTCAACATTACACAAAATAGGTTCTGTTGTTTCCACATCAGGGTGCCTTAAAGCCAGTTTCCTGAACATCTCCCAGTGGTGAACAACATCTTTTAAGTCTGAAGAAGACATATGGTCATCACTTTCCTTTCCTCCTCACCACTGTCAGCTTCTAACATATCATCCAGTTGCTGCAAGTCATCAGGAGTAAGTTCCTGCTCATGAGACATCACAAGCTCTTCCACATCATCCTCCTCCACTTTGAGGCCCAATGACTGACCAATGGACACAATCTCCTTGTCCAACTCCACTTCTTCCTCAAATCCCTCAAAATCATGGACTGCTGATGGCCACAGTTCTTTCCATGTAGAATTGAGGGATCTAATGGAGACTTCTTGCCATGATGACACAATCAATTTTACAGCCTCCAGGATGTTGAATTGTGTCTTCCAGAACTGTGCCAGTGTTAGTTCAGGGTCAGTGGAAGTTGCCTGATAACACCTCCTGAACATTTTCTTCATGTACAGCTTCTTGAAGTTGCTGATTACATTTTGGTCCATTGGCTGTATAATTGATGTAGTGTTGGGAGGCAAAAACAACACTTTGACAAAGTCAAATCGAGCCTCCAAAGTGCTGGCAAGTTCGGGGTCATGACCAGGGGCATTATCCATAAGGAGAAGAGCCTTTAAAGGAAGTTTATTGGTGGTTAGGTAGCTCTTCAAAGAAGGGCAAAACACCTCAACAGCCCATTCATTAAAGAGCTGTCTTGTTACCCATGCCTTACGGTTGGAATTCCAATAAACTCCAAGTTGTCCTCTTACCACCTTTTGTTGCTTGAACACCCTGGGATTTTCAGAGTGGTAGACAAGCATAGGCTTCAGTCGGAAATCCCCTGAAACATTGGCACCAAGCAATAGAGTGAGACGGTCCTTCATGGGTTTATGCCCAGGTAAAGAGGCTTCATCTATGGTGATGAATGTCCTGTGGAAGATAATTTTCTTCATCCACCAGTTCCTTAAACTCCACTACAAATTTTGCTGCTCCTTCTTTATCTGCACTGGCAGCCTCACCATGCCTAATAACTAAAAATGTCACTTCTTTTCTTAAAATTTTCAAACCAGCCCTTGCTGGCCCTAAACTCTTCAAACTCTGTGCCAGAAGAACTAGGTTGCTCTTCCTGCAAATGTTCGTATATTTCCCTGGCTCTTTCACAAATAAATTCAGTTGAAATTGAATCTCCTTTCATTTATTTTTCCTTAATCCAAATGAGAAGTAACCTCTCTGTTTCTGAAATTAAGGATCTACCTTTAAACACTCTGGTAGATTTGTCTCTCACTTTCACTTCGTTAAACTTGTCTTTCTGCGCAAGAATTGTCGACACAGTTGATGCCGACATGCCATATTCTTTACTAAGCACATTTGTTCTAATGCCTTCTTCATGTTTATTTATGATTTCCTGTTTCACCTGGATTGAAATCGCATTTCCAGATTTCTTTGGACCCATGCTGGATTCAATAACAATTTCACCACTAAAATTTTAAATTTAATTGCTGTAATTAAAGATTATTTTCTTTAAATCAACACTGCGCTATATATTATCAATATGTTAAATAAATTTCAGAATGACCAATAATTGTACTGTAAAAATGTAGAAATAGTTTATGTTCAAGAGAGCCACAAGCATGATGTTACCTCTACTGACCAGAGACACAAACAGACGCCTTGGTGGGTGAGTGAAGTGGCTGATGGGCGCACCAAAAACTAGTTCTCTGTACTGCAATTATGTTAAATAAGTGTTAAAATGACTAATAATTTTAATATAAAACTTGGAAAAATATTTAATAGCACAACCTTCTTGATATTACTCAAATGGGAATGAATTTAAGTCCTAGAACCGATTACTGTATTGGCGGACTAATCTTCCAGCTGGTGAGCAAGCGAAAACATGTTGACATGTTTTCGTAAGAATTTCATTAACCGAATTGAATATTCTTGTGGAAGGTAATTCGTTAACCGAAATTTCGTTAACCAAGGGATCACTGTACTGTATAAGTGAAGCAATATTATGGATTAGTAAAGAAAATTATATTTCTGGATTTGGTGACTGACTTTTGAAATGACCAAACTTTGATGCACAATTTAAATTCCATAACCATTACAGTTTAGTAAAGTTCAAGAGCAAGCTCAGTGGTGAAGAGGATAAAAAATGAAGTACAGAATACTATACAGGGGGTAGTCCTGTATATGTGAGCAAAATCATGTAAAACAAAAAAAATTATTTCTAAACCTATCATGGCATAATCAATCAAAGAAAGATTGAGACTAGATAAGAAAACAGTATAACCCCCATAATTCAGAATAATAAGGGGTCTAGCCCTGATAAATTATGAGATTATACTAAATGGGGGACACCTGAAGGGGGGGAAACTACTACTTTTCTGTTATCTGCCTAAATCAAAATTTAAACACTGGGCAATGATGGAAAAACAAGTGGAAAAAGCTTGCACAGTACACTATAGATGTGAACTCCAAAGTGACTTGACCATGACCGACACGCATGACACGTATAGTACAGTACAGTAAACCCTCAATAACTCGTGTTACTTTTTTACATTCAATAATTACAGTACATGTAAACATACATGGGTCGATAATTTTTTATTGTATCTTTGTAGGAGGGGAAGCTGACTCGATAAGTCGGAATTTGGGATAACTCGGCAAGGTCAGAGCCCCACATGTGCCAAGTTTTCGAGGGTTTACTGTATTTGTTTATACTGAAACGGGCGGATGGATCCCATGGCTGCAAGTGCATTATATATACAGTGGTCCCTCGGTTAATGAACACATTTCGTTCCACAGAGTCGTTCGTTAACCGAAAATTTTGTTAACCGAATCCATTGTTTCAATGGGATATCGGGTAATTGGTTCCAGCTCACAGAAAAGTACGTACATACAAAGTAAAAAAAAAAAAATGCATTAAGTACACTCACTTTGAGGTGTGTATGTAGAAGGTTCCTGGTTGATGATGATGATGGGAATTAGAAGTGGGAGTGGAGGAGAAGGGAGAAGAGAAGGAAGTGGGGATGGAGGAGAAATCACCTTTCAGGGGACCTATGCTTGATGCGGTTAACTAAATTAACTAAATTTCAGAATGACCAATAATTTTAATGTAAAAATGCAAAAATGTTCAAGACACCAACATAATCGATGTTCACTCCACTGAAAACAAAGCCAAACTGACGCCTGGTGGGTGAATCAAGCGGCTGATGGGCACACAAAAAAATAGTTCCCTGTACTGCATATATTATCAATATGTTAACTAAATTTTAAAATAACTAATAATTTTAATATAAAAATGCAAAAATATTTAAGAGCACATTTTTCTTGTTATTTACTGTATTTCCACCTACAGTCTGGACTTATACCCTGAAGTTCAAGAAAATGTTATAAACAGACCATAAACTACCTAGCTACCCTTTTTCCAAAAAATCAAAAATACAAATAAAATAAATAATATATCACGTACAATGCAACACTCACTATGAGAGGAAGAGGGCCTTCGTGTGTGTGTGTGTGTGTCAATCCTGTTTGGACAGACAAAACCCTCATCGAGAATAATGCTTTATTCCTTTAGCCCACTTCACCATTATCCCTACTTTCATAAAGAAACTTCTTAACAAGTTTCTATTCTCCCAAAGTCTCCTTAAAAATTATTTTGTATCTAGTGTAGTGGAAGGATGACAAATTAGAAACTATTTCCCACTTCTATTAGCATTGTTTGTCACTTAAGAATACTGTACATTGTTCCATTACCATGACCACTGGCAAATCATACAGTTCATTTAAATAACTTAATTATAGGGTACCATTTAGAAATTATAATTAGTGTATTATATTTTTAATATAGCTGGGTCCATGTGATTATTATTAAAGTACTTACGGTAAGTACAGTATTGAATAAATTCAGACAATACACTGTACAGTATTGTCATGTGGGGTGATAATTATAAGAAATACAAGGTAAATAAATTTAACAGCAACAAAACTTTCATAGTTCACAATCGAAGTGCTCTTTTGTTCTTTCACAAAAGTCTGAAACATATATTCAGCAAACCCCACGTTTTGTGGACACTGTCCTTGTTTGGCAAAAAATGCAAAAATAAAATTAAAAGAAAAATTTATTTTATTATTAAATATATTCATTAATACATCATATTCAGTCTTATGTTTAGGGAGATGTGGAAGGCAGACCTAACCAATTAAGGCATGAATATACAGTATATGTAATAGAATCAACTATTTATTAAACATTTGAGAGTATTACAACAATTGTGAACTTACTGTGAGGGTGCTTCTCTTTGACTAGCTTCTACTTTCTTGTAATATGCGGATAATTTTTTATTCAAGCTTTCCAGTTCTGGGATAGGGTCCTCTTCCCTGTAAGATTCAAGTAACCATTAAAACACATGTTCTTTTATATAAAAAAAAATGCTTGTATAACTACCAGTGATTTGTTAGCAAAACAATTACTATACTATACACAAAAAACTGAGCACAACTTACCTTATATAACGACAGGACTATTTACCTGTAACACTTTAACTGGATATCCAATCTTGTACTGTACATATTAATTACAGTGTTTTCTTATTCCAAATTTCAATGCAACAAACAGTTTCTTGATAATTCAGAGAAATTGGGATGTTCATGAAATGGTTGGCATATGCAAAATTATACTCACTTTCACAAATGAACACCTTTAATTGTTTCACGTACATTGTTACATGAACTGTCTGTATCAAAACTTGTTTCTAAGATCTCCTCACAGACACAAGGAGGTCTATAGTCAACCTCCTTTGGGAAATATCTTTCCCATGTAAATTTACCTTTTATTAGAGTATTACAAGATTTTTGTAATGGTGGTATAGTATATTAATAAAAGAATTTTCACCTTACAATACTTTTTATGTACACTAACTTATTGAATAAAATTAATACAAATTTCATAATATTTAATGTCAACTGAGCTAGAATACCAATACAATATTTAAGAAATAACACTCAATTCTTTATATAAATTTGTATCCCATTATATGGCTCAATATCTCCATACTGTTATGCTGAAATGACAAAGATTTTAAACTTTTTTCAGAATTAAATTAACTGTACATCAATTTTTTGAGAAAGCAAAAATTTAATAAAGTTCCATGGCTAAAAAACTAAAACACACTTACACTTTGGAGAGGCTTGGTGGGTAACATGGCTGTTCTTCATGTTGATCCTTGTGCACTTTGTCCATTTTACCAACTTTTTTGTCCTTCTTGTCATTTTTCTTGTTTTTTTTTCTCTTTTTATACTTTTTCCTGTTGCTGTCATCTGAGCTGTCACTACTACTACTACTACTATTACTACTACTACTACTGGTACTTCTGCTTGTACTGCTGTAGCTGATGCTCCTACTTCTGGATTTGTTACTTCTGCTTCTTCTCTTGCGGGAATCTAAGGGATTATTTAAAAAAAATTGGATATATATTAAGAAAAGACTCAAAACATTTAAGTGAAGCCCATTTCTGAAAATGTTTAAAGCCTCTATTTTAAAATACAGTACTGTATACAGTACCACAGGTTAGTATGGCAAAATATTCATCACATAATAATCAAGTCTAAAACCAACAAACCTGAAAAAAGATTGTGAAAAAGGTGGAATAACTTATCTTCAATACCTTGGTATCAAAACTATTATTACTAGGGATATTGCAGCAATTGTTATAATAGGTTGGTTATACTGTAGATTTACAATTTGTCCCAAATATGACCATATATACAGTATATTAGATGTTTAGTTATTCTAAATATTGTGTTCAAGTTGAAGGCACGCATTTCTACCTTAATTTGTTTACTCATGATGACGTGGTGGCATCCCATTGGACAGGACCGACATCGCCATAAACAGCTGACTGTAGGTTGTTGAAGAAGAGGAATCGTAGAATATTGGAGAAGCGGTTGACATACATAGCTTTCCCAAAGATTGGAGTAGATAGCAGTGGATGAGTGGTCCAGTAATTGAGGTAGACATTCTTCTTCACCAGCCCCATCAACATTACCAGAGCAAGGAAAGTGTAAATCTCGCTCATGATCATATCATACCAGTTGAGGAGACGTAACTGAGGTGATAATATTCTTCTTGACGTAATGAAACCAAAGTATGAGTTGATTTCCCTCACAATCAGCTGAACTATTTCATATATAAAAATAACCGAAAGTAGTCCACCTCTCTGCTCTCATTGGTGAAGTCATTGTTTGTGACACCAAAACCACTATTGTCAAAATCGAAGGTAACAGCCACATAGTTGTTACCATCTGTCCAATTCCATTGCACACCAGCACCAACTCTAGTAGCAGGATGATGATATGAACCAGGAGGTGGTGAGGAGTGAGCGGCTAAGTGTGGGTGGGTGGGAGTGCCAGGGTCAGTAAATAAAGCCCTGCGCCTCCTCCTTGTATGGCCATATTGCTCCACTCTCCGTTTCCATATCACACCTTGCCTTACTGCATCACCTGACTCAGAAGAGAGTTTTGAAGGGACAGAAGTTTCTGAAACAGGATTGATGTGTAGGTCATCTTGGACTGATTCCTCCGAATCATCACGATTACGTGGTGGTCGTGAGTGGCTTCTGGCTAGGACAGAGGGCCCACATCTCTTTGCTCGCTTCCTCACACTTTGGGCTGGTTCTTTCCTTGAAATTGCCTCTCTTTTTCCTGATTGAGATCGCCTCCTACTAGCTCTAGGGGTAAACAGCCAAGAGCAACCAGCATCTTTAGAGCCAGGAGTAAAAGGTGGATCTTGAGAGCCAATAGGTGGTGTGGGTGATGGACACAATATCTGTGGCTGCACCCAATTGATATTATCACTAGTACTGCTGCTATCACTATTTGTAACATAATCTAGGTCATAATATTTGTCAATCAACATCACTATCACTGCACATGTATTAACAAAAAAAAAATTTTTTCAGGTGATGGCTGAAAAAGAATGTGGGAATCGTTTGGCAGGGTGACTGCTTCAGCATGGTGAAAATGATACCGAAGCCTCCACAAAGGGAAGGCCTCATACCCATGCCGAGTCTTGAGAAACTGCCATGTGCCATATATTTGACCTACAATAATCATTCCAGGCTATTTTAGACGTCGCAGGAAGTTTAAAAATTAATTTCGTTGATCTACATAACAGATCGCTTAGAGAAGGCCACTCGCATCTGTTGGTCTACGAATTTGACCATTAACAGTTTAAACATTAAAAAATTCGCCCACAAAAAAAGTTTTCAAGAAAATTGCGTCAAATTTTCATGCATCATAAATGATTGCATGATCTTGCCGGGGAAGCTCCCAATAGAGTACCAAAGCGTGGGTGGTGTTCCACTGTCCATCAGTTTCTTCCCATCAGATGTACTGGTAGGTCACACATGTCTCTATTTCCTCTCTCACCCTCCTTACAATTAGTCATACGAAAATTCCAAAGGGATTATTGGAAAGCTCATAAAATTCTGCTTCTATAACTTCTAATGCCTTGGTAAGTTTGTGAGAAAATATCCGAGATACCTGCAAGATGCTGGGAACACAAACAATATTTTTGTTTATTTGGAAAATATTTTTGTTTATTTGGAGTGAAAAAAAAGGTCTTATTCTCATCTTATATTTTTTCTGCTTATGTTAAAGCAAGACAATAATGAAGCTAATGGTGTATAAAGTATGCCCCCCCCCGCAAAAAAAATATAAATAAATTGTGAAATAAATTAGCCACAGATTGAAGATGACCAGACCTTACGTGAATGGTCCCCTATGACTTTTGTCATGGTCACAGAAACCATTAGGGGCCCATCGATTTGTACAACATATATGGTAAATTAAATGTGACTGGGATGAAGCCATACCAAAGGAACTCCAAATTTGAGTGGCAATACTGTATACTTTGTCAGATTTAACAAAGTATCTGGAAGTTACACCTCATGTGTTTAGTGATACCAGTATGATAGCATATGGGTCCATTGTCTATTTTCGTTATCAGAGCCAAAGTAGGATCATAATGACCATGGCTACGGTAGCCCCAATCAAACCCTTAACATTTCCTAAGCTTGAATTGACAGCGGTCTTCCTGGCAGCCAGGTTGAGGGCATCCATCAAAGAGGCCTATAGTAAAGAGATAAATATCAAAGACATATTTGTGGAGTGACAGTCAGATAAAACTTCATTTACTTATCTGTAAGAAGACTTTACCCACATACAATAGGGTAGGTGAGATACTGTCATTAGTATCCGACTCTGGCAATAACCTTAATGACCCAATCACAAGACGAATATCTGCTGAAAAATTAGAGTTTTCTTTGTTGTGGTGGGAGGGTCCTACATGGCTTCCTCACCCAGATCAGTGGCAAACACAGTGGAACACAGGTTGTCACAGAAGAATGGTGTGGGTGTCTGATGCTAGAGTTTCTCAGGTACCTCAACACCAGGTACTTTAACAAAAAGATTATATGGTGTATGTCTACCGTAGAGTTTCACTCCACTTCCCTGCATCAATGTGTTGCATATTTGATAAATGATGAATTAATGAACTCCATTAATTTCCAACATCCATCTAAGTTCTTGGTTTTAGTTTATCATAACCAATCAGTCATCACCATTAGTAATTAGTAAGATAGGGATCACAGATACGGGCAGATAATTTGCTCTTACATTTATTTGACAAGGTTCCAAACACCGATTTACAATTTGCATGGACATACGAGTCATTCACTCACATTCACGCCACAATATATGTAATTTTGTGAAGGAGTTTGCCAACCTGGAGACCCCATATTAAATTACACATCTATGGGTTGGCATATCAGGAGACTGGCCCGGATTGCTCTTGTAGCAAGCAGGCCTTCACAAGTGTTTTTTTCCACGGGGATGCACACAGTCGCGTGTCACTGCCACACCAGTCGACATTAATACGGTCACTGAAAAGTCGATTTTTGAGTGAATATATTAATGGCGAGTTGTGTGGTAATACATTTGCGTTGTCATTTAGCTTGTTTAGTATGGTGGCCAGGCATATTATTATCATAAAACTAATACTTATGAGTGCATTCTAATATTAGTTTTATTTAGCTGTAGTATGATAACAAAGAAGTCCATAGGGATGGCAGGATGGAGAAATAATTGACGGCGGAAATGCTGACTGTCTCTGTGTCGTGTGAACTTTAACTGGCAAGTGGCCTCTGTCCTATCTTGATGGAATTTGGAGTTGCACTAACTCATGTGGTGTCTGTCTTGTAATTGGTGACACCACTCATAAGTAAATAAATTACTATCAAAATGTGTGCCTTCAACTTGGACACATAATATTTTATATACCTGAACATCTAATATACTGTATATTGTCATATATTATGCTATATGACCAATTATAAAATTATAACCAACCTATCATAACGATTGTTGTAATATTTCTAGCAATAGTTAAGATATATTTTATCTCGTCTAACCTATACAGTACCACAAATGTACTTATTTGCAAAATCAACTACCTATCCCTCTAAGTTATTATAATCTTAGGAATCTACTTCGTCAAAATTCTGTATTCCCAAAGCTTCTGAATGATTAATATAAATTGTCATTTCCTTTATAACTTAAGTGGACATCATCGCTACTCAATTTATCTCGGGCCATTTCCAAGAAAAGTAACGATCACGACCAAAACGGAGAGTTCTCTCAATCGACGATTTACACCATTCCTAGCCGTTAAATTCCTCTGCGGTCATACCCCTCGGGTTAGTTTGACTTTCTATGCCCACTATGAAACAACGGCCATTGCAAAGATTTTCTATTGATTGGGTTAGGGCTTCTATGTCCTGCGCTATTTGGGTTATATCAGCATTAAGGCTAATGCCTTTCCCGATTACTAGGAAAGTTACATCCGCCTTGTAGAGGAGTAAGTCCTCCCAAATGGATTCAGAATGAATAGTGTTGACCCTGGCCCCACACTTAGCAAACTTAAGCACAAAAAAAAGTGGGATGGAATAGAGGTTGACCCACATATAACCTATTAACATAAGAGTGGCCAAATATTGCCACCCCTTTGAGAGAGCTTGAACTGGGTAGCATACTATATCTTCACCAATGGTGTTGCTATCTGAAAAAATCGTGAATATGGTGGAATTGATTATCTTTAATACCCTGGTGATCTATTTATGTCCTAGAATATAAAAGGTGCCTCTTGAGTCAAATACAACATAAACTATCAATGAATGTTATTCCACTCTCAAATATATGAACTGGGACTGGGGTATAGAGAAACTAAAGCCAGAGGATTTCATGATATTCCTAAAAATTTCTCATTCGCAGATTTCCAGTCTAATCCTAGTCTTTTATAGTTATCATTTCCACCAGTAAGTTTAATAACTGTTCAGGTGGTTAGTCAGAGTGGACAATATCTGACCTGGGCAGGGGAATGAAACAAGGACACAATTGCAAGAGGCACACACATTACTACTGTACCAACAACACCAAGCAGTCTCTAATAAGAAAGCTGACTGTTTCTTTCCCACTAACAAAGCCTTTCACTCAACTATTTAAGGTATCACTCGATTTGTCCATTAATATCTATACGGGTACTGTACTTCTCCAAAGTTCTCTCCTTTGTTACATCCACCTTCTCACTTCAATCACTCCTTCACTTCTCATGTTAAACCTTATTACAATACTGTACTTTACTTCTCATCTCAAATATATGACTGAAACCTTGTTTATACTTCCTGGTAACACATATATTGTACAATCACACCTTAGCTGCACTCTTCCTTCCAAAATCCTTCAATTGACCTCAAAATATAAGTTTTCCTTCTTTTAAGTTAACGGTCTTGACTTATATTATAAATACAGTATGCTTCACCTGTATTGCAGTTAAAGTAGATATCAAACAAGATGTAATGACATGTAGACATTACCTCTGCTGCGCTTCCTCCGTCTTCTGGACTCTCTCTCCCTGGTACTACATTTTTTACCACGGTCCTTCTTGTCACTGGGCCTAAGCAGAAGTGGATTGAAAGATTCCATATACAGCCTCTATGTTCAATTTAAGTTCCATATTTTGTCCCTATTACAAGAGGAGTTATAGATTCCATTTCATATTCATTCACCCAAAAATACATCATGGAAAACATAAAATTCCACTATACATGTACTGTACTGTAATATGAATTATTAAATACAAATGATGCAGAACAATAATATTACCTGGATCCTTCTAGCTGCTTCAAGAACTTATCAACACGAGCCTTATACTCCTCATCCTCGTGACTTGCATAATTTGAGCTCGACACCATACCTGAAATTATTACAATAACCTGGGAGGAAGTGTCAGGAATCTGTGGTGTCACATTGGTTTTGTAATGTTGTTAAACAATTGCTTAGCTTATTCTACTTCAGTCGTACAGTACATGTATTACAATTTTCTTCCACCTGAGAGCTAATTCAACTTTAGTCCACAGCAGTAGAATTATTTTTAGTCCCCACTGTCTTATTAAGTCTAGTAAGACTATCATCTCTGATTGTTGAAATATATGCCAATCTACCCCCTGATGCTCTGGTGACTGCCACTACAACTTTCATTGTAAACAACCCAGCTGTTCTGGTCCCATAGTGCTCTTTCTGCACCAGAGTCTGTAATACAGTATATTTATAATTTCTCATAAAAGACATTATTTATAGGATTTCATGTAAATATTGTACCAAAATTCCTCATTGCAAAAAGGAATTTTTTGTTTTTATATATTTTCAACTCAATTATTTTTCTCAGAAATGTGCACATTGATCTGTATAGTATTGTCACATACAGTTAGGGAAAAATATTCTGCCCCACATTACTGTGGCCAGTGGAGACATCCGGCAACTCTCTTGTACTGTAGTATTAAGCATATACAGGTACTGTAATTTATGAATGAGAAGCAAAAATAAGGAATTTATTATAATTTTTTTTAATATAAATGTGCTTAAGATTGTACCATGCTTTGTGTTGAAAAGGGTGAGTGATTCACTGAAACATGAAACATGTACGCAGAATAAACATGGTTTCTAGAGACAAAGGAAGAGAATTTTGAACATTTACTTAAATAATGCAAACTATCACATTGTATAGTTATGTTCATAAAATTACACACAACTCTACGATTGTTTCACTCCATACATCACAAATTCAAACAACACCAGAAAAAACCTACTTTATTCCAAAATCCAGGATTTTTCTAAAACAAATACTGTATAAATATAAAAGGAAATAAATACAAGACATTTTCTGAAAATGGCAAAGATTTTATCTATCAACAAACGAGTATGAAGGCAGAATGGGACTTTAGGAGAATAACATCGCATTACTAAAAAGTAAAATAAAAATCATAGAAAACTGAAGTGGAGAACAATAATACGTAAATAAAGGAAATATAAGTCTAACCTGGGGCAGGAATTGCTGAGTACCCTGGTGGAGGGTGTGAGTACAAAGCTGGAGGCAGAAGTTGAGCATTAGGAACCATGTGAGCCACTGTACTAGGAGGCCATCCAGGCACAGGGTAACCATAACCTGGTACTACAGGGGCAACACCCATGTTGGGATGAGGCACAACACTCTCCATATAGGATGAAGTGGTATCAATATTGGAAGGTGGGTGCCATCTTCCTTCCTGTAAAGACATCTTCTTCGCCAATGGAGACATGGATCTACTTCGTGACCGAGACTGAGTATGGCTGCTGCTTTTTGTCCGACCTCTTGATCGAGATCTTGAAGACCGTTCTTCCAACTTAGAATTTGGACTACTTTTTGAATCAGAAGTAGTTGGCTGACTCTTTCTGAAAGTCAATTGATTTTATATTAATGTCAGAAACAAATGATATTAAAATCCTCACCCAAAACAGCCAAGGTTGGCCGATTTAAACCAACGGTGATATCTTCCGATACAGCTTATCATTTTATTCTCAGGTCATATTACAGCTTATATATTGTATTTTTTCTATTATTGAAGATCTTATATAATTTATGATAACACTTCCAAGCCTGGCACACATGACAATGCCCCAATCCTCCCCCAACTTCCCACTTGGTAACATACGCAGTGTCTTCCCTCCAATTGTTCATGGACCTTATTAAGCATACAAAAAATCTGATTACACTACTGTATTCAGTGAGCAATGTTGCCCTTTTCACAAAATTTTATTTCCCCTTTTTTAAAAGCTTCATATTTCATGTTAAAGAAAATAGTTTATGTAATAATCTCGGCCGTCATTTAAGGGTTAATTAATTTTAAAGTAAATATGGAAGAAATACAAAAAATCTGTATAAAACTGGGGATCCTCATCCAATACAGGAGAAACGAGAACAAAGGTACTGTACCGTAATGAAAAAAATTTCTAAACGACTTGGTCAGAAAACTGCCATTTATTTTCACTTGTTTTTCCCACCTTTCACTTGGAGAAACAATAAAGTAGGGTCGGGATATATCGGGACTTTATATAACGATTTTTTTATATCGCGGCTTCTAAAATAATCGAAATTTTTCTTTATACTGTATAGCAATATATATATTTTTTTCGCGAGGGAAATCGGGCAAATAAATGCGTTATTTGCTCACCAGAGGTGCCACCGTGGCTGCTTACTCACGCATTCAAGCTCGCCCGCTCAGTCTTTCTGAGTGAGTGACGAGAAAGCAGCCGACTCTGCTGCATATTACGACTGCTGCATATTACGACTTCTAAGATGTGTAAATGGGTTGCTAATGATGTGAAAAGTGAAGTGAGGATAAAGGAAAGCTTAATGGAAATGATTTAATACTGTAACTAATATTTTTGGTTTGTTAGTTTATGATTGTTTAGTGAGGGTGGCAATGTGTCGTCTGTTGTTCTCGGGATGGCGCATCAGCTGCCGAGTTTGGTGCAGATTCCAATTTCTAAAGCAAGTGTAAATGGATTGCTAGTGACATGGAAAGTGAAGTGGAGATAATGGAAAGCTTTATGGAAAAGATTTAATACTGTAACTAATAATTTTGGTGTTAGTTTATGTAGGTGTGGGATTGTCAAGTGAGGGTGGCAGTATGGCCTCAGCTGCCGAGTCTAGTGTTCCTTGATATTGATATTTAAATAGCCTGTTGTTCCCGAGTCTAGTGTTCATTGGTGCTTTAGTTGGTAAGAAAATGAACTCGTTAAGTCAAGATTAGTCACTTTTTTTGGCCTCCAGAACCTAACCCTATTTTCCCCATTGACATGTAATTATATATCACGATTTAGTATATAGCGAACATCTTGGACCCTATCTCGCGATATATCCTTACCCTACTGTATAATGTACCGTAAACTTTAAAACAAGTCTTACCTAATGAGAAAGAGATCATGTCAACTTGAAATGTAAATGGCAATTTAGCCATTGGCCACTTAAAGATGGGAAAACAGTTAATTGCATGTATAAATAGGAATAAATAATTACCCTACCTTTTAAACTCTTCTTCCATTTCTATGAGATCCCGAAGAACTCTCTGAACATAATCTGTTTCTCCCGGATACTGATCGTTCACACGGCCAAGCTTTCTGTTTGGGTTAACACGACAAGGAGGAACAATTGCCAGCATTACTTAAAAAATGACTTGCTTGACATTTACCAGTCTTCTTAAAGAAAGCAAATTCCAAGAGAAATGAGGTTAGTTTAGTCCAAGGCCTCAACGTAACAATTAGATTTACACAACATAATCAATATCAGCCTCGAATCCTACCTGGCTGCAGTACCAACTTCAAGTCTATGGAGTTGTGAATCTCAAGGTCACTGCTTAATCATAGCACCTCTTATATAACAGAACTCGATAAAAAATCATTTAAAAGACATCAAGTTAAATATTACTTAGTAATTAAAGGAGGGTGAAGGAGCTTACTGGTAAGGTTAGCCTACCGCAAGGTTGTACAGCTATTGTTCACCGTCAATGATCCATGGAAATGAATGGATTTTAAACTCTAAAAAATACTATGCGTATATAGTTTAACCCCATACTTTTTGCATAAAAATTTTATCATAAAAACTCAAACTATGCTCGAGTATATATGGTATGCAGTAATGTATATATCCACAACATTCACTTTATCTCACACTGCACAAGTTCCTGAAACTCGGCAACTTTCAAAAGTCTTTGTGGCTCTGAAAGCTTCGGAAATTTAGAACTTTACATATACAGTATCTATTAACACTTTAAATAAATAAAAAACAACTGAATTTCCTAAAAATACATGAAAATTATGATAATTTTACTTGAACTAATTTATTATGAGCTTACATAAGCCAATCTGTGTTAGCATAATATGCTGGTTGTTGTTTTGAACAATTGTGCCTCCATGCAGATATGGGCTTCCGAATAATGTATGTAATGACATCATTGTGGCTTAATCAGCCTGGTATATGAGGGGCCTTTATTTTACTGCATGACATAAACAGCATCTTCCCTGGCTGGTCAGCTGTTCTATGTAAACAGAACACCAGGAATTTAATACTTTAATACAATATCATACCTCATCTAAGGTAGAGTGTGGGATTTTTATTTTATTTATTTATTTAATTTTTTTTTTGGGGGGGGGGGAGATTATTTTAAAATAATGTTTTATGAACCTACCACAAAATGAACCTAAATATTATGAGAATTATGAGGAAACTGCCTACTGTCTTTTAAGGGGGTGGCAGGACAAGGAGGGGAGATTTTCTGCTGAGTCCAGCCAACAACCTACCTCCCACACACCATTAACTTCCTACTTCTTATTTTTCTTACTTCACAGTTTTATAATATATTTTTCTTTATTTCTAAGTTACATTAGAGCATTGTATTACAGTTTTATATTTGAGATAGAGTATTTGACAAGGGGTTTGGTAGAGGGTTCGGTATAGTGTACAGTGAATTCATGTGGCATACAGAGGTACTGTACTACTGGAATCAGAGGAGCAGTTCTATATATAGAGGTAATACTGTATCTCTAAACAATAAAAATTAAGAGAATGGTACAACATAATTGAATAATATACCTGTTAAGTGAGTTCATGGCTTCTAGACCTGCTGGATGTTCGGGATTAATTTCCAAGCATTTTTTATACTTCTTTTCTGCTTCCTCCATTTTTTCATCTTCTTCCAGTCTATGGAATAATCATAATATTTGTTATAGATATTATTTTATGCAATATAACGGCTCAGAAAGAAAGTCACACAAGGAGATAGCAATAGAAGAACAAACAAATGATACAATTCCTGGAAGAAAACAATGTACCAGCACTAAAATATACACCAAAACCTCATGAAAAAAAATTACATTTATGAGCTACAGCCATACATGCTGGGTTGGAAACCTAGGTTTAACCCTCAGACATCACAGACTTTGACTAGCTTATGAATTAATCATGTTTGGCTATGATAGGTCTTTCAGGGGTCAAGTTTTCTAGTCCGAGTCTTGGTGGTTCTGTGGTGAGCTAAAATTATGTTATTAAAAAAAAAAAAAAAATACTGCATAATTATCCTAAGTATAGTTATGACATAAAGGAATCAAAACACAGTAAAAATGTAGTGGAACTCACTGTCTGCCAAGCTCAACAAGTGTCTCGCAAATATACTTGCGAGCATTGCTGTGTGTTGGATTGTGCTCCAGGGCCTGTTCAAAGTCTTCAACAGCTTTCTCAAACCTCCCTAAGTTAGCCAACCTGAGGCAAGAATTATATGAAAGTTAATTTTAAAATACGTTTTCAAGAGGAAAATTAAATTAGTATCTAAGGGTGTGTACAAATTATGAGGTGGAAGTACAGTGCACAAAATTTAAAAGAAATACCTTGTACTTATAAAATTTATAAGGTAGTCGCCACTAAACACAAGTTTGGAAAACACAAAATTATCATTAGCATGAGGAACCAATAAGGGAAACTGTTTACGTAACCAGAAAACATTCCCAGTTTAACCCGAGCCACATGTCAAGGCTTCATGATGCCAGCCCACCACCTCGACTGGTTAGCTGCCTCAGTCTGCCGCTGACTTGTTATCTGGGCCACACATATATCATAGTGACTGGCTAATCTTTGTTGTTTCTTGATTTGTCCTTATTAACCTTCACCAAAATGAATGCAAAGTTACTGAAAAGTAACAAGGAGTGCTGATAACAAGAGACAAAGAAAATATATCCTGGCAGAGGTGAAAATTAAAGTGATTGAACACTTTGAAAAAGGAGGGTGCACTGCTGATGTTACAGGTGCAATGGGCCTTCAAGCGGCAACCATATGTTCCATTTGTACTAATGCAGGTTATTACAAGTTCACATCTCTTACTGTCACAACTTTTATTGGTAGGTTATTACTTCAAAATTTCATAACTTTTACTGTAACAACATTCTTAGAAAGGTTATTACTGTACAACAGTTCACAACTCTGACAATTTTTGGCTTCTTTAACTTGAGGTTGTGACCTCTAGCATAAGAAAACCATTAAATATGCCTTAATATTTTATTTCTTGGAAGAGCAATAAATTCTTTTAGTACTGCATGTTTCATAAAATATGTTTTTAAAGGTCAAATCAAGAAATATTAAGGAAAGACAGTCACGCCCTCAAACAGCAGTTTTATGTCGTCTACTTGCACAGGCCAGTACTCCACCATTCCCCCACGCTATGACTCACCTTGAGTGTGAGCAACTCCAGTCTAGGAAGCAGGTGTTCAGACTCAGGGATTTATAATTTAAGGTGTTTTGAAATAATGAAATAGTGTCAGCAAAGAAAAGTAATGTCTAAGATTTTTTAGTTAAAACAATTGTTTGTTTGTTTTTTATCAACAACAAACAAACTATTCACAAATTGCATGGGAAAATAAGGTTGAAGTGTGAAATTTCTTTCTTGTGTAAACATTCAATGTCATCCATTGCCTTGATATGAAGTAAATTGTAACTTTAATAGAAGCAATACTATTACCCTATCCTGTAATTTCTAGGCCATTCAACACTGCTCTATATCATTACTGTATATACTGTACTAGGTAATATCTTTTGGACACATTACAGTATTCCCATTAAAAAGTATATTAATACATAGTGAATCACTTGGTAAACTGCATATTTATACACAACCGATTTCTTTGTTTATTTCTATCATATTACTGACATTCTACTGATAAACATGACTAATCCAATAACTGCATACCGGTCTAGGTGTTCTGTCCATTAAGCAATGCACTGCACAAAAAAAAGGCCACGGTATAATCTGGTGTAAAATTCCTTATAGTGTTGTCGTCTATACTTATTTAATGGATATGACATTTGTAAAACAACATAAATATACAATATCCTTTTAGATCAAGGATTAACGAAGGATAATTTACAAATAACAAAGTAACAAAACTCACAGAGCGCCCTTTGCAACGAAGGCTTCAACATTCTCATTATCAATCTGCAAGGCTTTGTTTAAACACTGGAACGCCTCCTCATGCTGTCCTCGTTTGAAGAAAACTACTCCGTCGGCCACAGACTTATGGGCCCATCGCGACATCTGGGCCTTTCGCAGGCTTTTGTACATTTCCCGGTCAGCAAATTTGTATCTAAATATAAAGTAAAAAAAAAATTCTTAATTATCAATTCAAAAATGCACTCCCAATAAAGGAAAAAATTAAGAGAAATCTGTGGGTGTAAATCTGCATCCATGTGTGTAGGAAAACCCCAGTAGCTTGTTAACACTTACTGGTTAGGATATCAAATGCAATTCCATGTGACTTTAGTGTGAACATGGTAAAAGATGCAAATGATAAACACAGTAAATCATAATAATTTTTTTATTTTGCTCCTACATATTAAATATCTTTTTAAACAACAAAACGTTTCCCTTTCTTTTTGTAAAAATATACAAATTAAAGACAAAATGCTACTTACTTAAGGGTGTCCATTAATGATGAATGTGCAAATATATCAAGGCCAAACTTGCCAGCAAGATGCCTTATGCTGCGTGGATTGTTGAATATAGACAATTTTTCCAAGGCCTGACTATATGATTTGATACTGTGCTCCTTCATTTTACTGCTTGGAAAAAAAAATAAAAAACATTATGCCAGACAACAATTTCATAGCCTTTGATGAGTAATCTAAGACCAATGTAACTAAACATTTCAAAAATTCTACTGTAGTGTGTATCATCCAATATATGAGTTATTTTACAACAGATGGCAATTAATACTTAAAAAATTCATTATAACATTACTGTACTTAACATACAATGAGAAAATCTTAATGGTTCTCAGTGGGTTATTTACCTCCTATTAGTACATGAACCAACATACAACATGAATACCTTTTTGTACATACTCAATATAAAGGAAGACTTGTATTTTCTTTCATGACTATGAAAGACCATTACTATACCTGATTATAGGTGGCTGATCATTCACAGTAATCTTGCCTAATTTAATTTTATCTTTAAGATGTGGTTGGATAGTGACTCCATTTGTGCCCACAAGTAAGTAGTGATCACTAGCATCTACCTCCAACACTTCAACACACAACCGTGTCCGTAGCATCCATCGCCCTAATGGATCTTGATCTGGTGGATCTGGATTAGAATCTTCAACACGTAGATGAGCCTGCAACAGGTGCAATACTTACTGTACTGAGTTAAAATTCTATAACTATAAAGTCAACATTTATGACCTCTTACTGTTCATTCTATAAAGTCAACATTTATGACCTCTTACTGTTCATTCTACATCTTACTTGTCATTCTTTCTATGAACAGGAATATGAGAAAAAGTATCAAGAGTTTAGACTGTGAAAGGGCGGGAGCAAATCTGAAAAAGGGGGTGTGGGACACTGCCCCCTCACACTGCTAATCTGACTGTTCACTCACCCATGCATTTGTTAGAGCTGGTATATAGTTAAGAAACCATAAGATGAAGTTTTATTTAACGAGTCATTCACTTTTATATACTGTAGTACTGAACTATCTACAATATGGTCCATGCCGCATCGCTCCATAACTATACATATATAAAAGATATGTTCTGATAATGTATGTGATGTTTCTGACATTTGTTTACAAGTTGGCAGTGAATGGCTGCAAGGTGTACGTTCGAATCTGGAGTTGTTTTTTTTCTCCTTATATTATCATAGTACAGGTATAATTATAACTTCAATAATTACACTGTACTGTTTTGTTTGCTTTACCTGAAATCAAATGCCATGACAAAAATAAAAATTATGAAATTTTTTACCAGAGTATTAGTTCTGTAGAATTTCTGACAGCATGTGATATAATGTTGCTTAAAATTATACAGTACAGTGATCCCTCGGTTAACGAATTACCTCCCATAAGAATCTTCAATTCGGTTAACGAAAAAAAATATGGTTAACAAAATTTTCACGAAATCATGTCAACACGTTTTCGCTTGCTCACCAGCTGGAATATTAGTCCGCCAATACAGTAATCGGTTCTAGGGCTTAAATTCGTTCTCATTTGAGTAAATATCAAGAAGGTTGTATTATTCAATAATTTTCCAAGTTTTATATTAAATTTTTAGTCATTTTAACACTTATTTAACATAATTGCAGGACAGGAAACTAGTTTTTGGTGCGTCAATCAGCCACTTGACTCACCCAGCAAGGCGTCAGTTTGTATCTCTGGTCAGTGGAGGTAACATCTTGCTTGTGGCTCTCTTGAACATAAACTATTTTTATGTTTTTACAGTATAATTATTGGTCATTCTGAAATTTATTTTACATATTGACAATATATAGTGCAGTGCAGTGTTGATTTAAAGAAAATAATCTTGAATTACACCTAGTGAACTTAAAATTTTATGGGTGAAATGACGGCATGAAGCATAGGGTGACTTCTCTTCCACCCCCACTTCTAATTCCCATCATCATCATCATCATCATCAACCAGGAGCCTTCTACATACAAACCTCAAAGTAAGTGTACTTTACTGCATTTATTTTTACTTTGTATGTAATTTTTGGTGAGCTGGAATCAATTACTCAAAATCCCATTGAAACAATGGTTTCGGTTAACGAACGACCTTCTGGAACGAATTGTGTTATGTTAACCGAGGGACCACTGTATAGTATAAAATGAGAAATCCATAAATATGTACGGTAATTAATTTTTTCCCCCTCCTGTCTGATGTTGTTGTTAGAAATATTAATGCCAGATATGGAGACGATATGGTTTTGCTAACAAAAAAAGTAGTAAAAAATGGAACAGTTACCATTTTCATATTTTAATATAAAACTGACATACCTTGGGAATGAGGCTTGGAAATGAAATACACATTCCAGGGTTAAGACAATAAACACATACAGTAAAACCTTGATTAACCGACTTTCAGATTAACCGCCGATCCCGGACCCCTAAAATAAATAAATAAATTTGATTTTTCCGTATCCCAGTGCATATTGTGCTTAGATTAAAAAAATAATTGTTTACTCAGTGCATATAGTGCTTGAAATAAACAAATCTTATATATTGTTTATACAATAATATACATTTTATGGAAAAAATATATTGCACGTAGATGCTAAATACATAATTATGTTTTAGTGTGTACTTACACAGATTTCAAATTGGGCGCGTTTTGGGTGCGTTTTTGTTTTAATTGGGCGCCATGAGTATCTATCGACCTGGCAACACTGATCAGGCCTTAGTCTTCGTCGAGATACAGCAGAGTAAGCATCTCCTTCTGACTGCATATTTGTGCTTCCACGCGTTTGCTAAAGTGACAAAGCCGCCAACTAAAGGCAAAAGGAAGCGTGTTGTGCTTAGTATTAATGATAAGTTGAAAATACTAAACCAACTGAAGGAAGGAAGATCGGTAGCAAGCCTCGCGGCTAAGTATAATGTAGAAGTTCCAACAGTGAAAGATTTGAGGCATAATCAGGATAGGATAAAGGTTTTTCTCTTAAGTTTGATATTAGTGAAAAGGGAAAGGAAGCCACCTCAATCAGAAAAACATTGAAATTGCCAAAAGATAGTGGATTAGAAGAATCAGTTTACAGATGGTTTTCACAACAAAGATCAAGTGGTGTTCCCGTTCGTGGTTGTGACATCCAGCATGCTGCTGAACGTCTTGCCCAGCATCTCGGTGTGGCAGATTTCAAGGCTAATTCTGGTTGGCTTTGGCGGTTTCATAAACGCCACGGCATCAGTAATAAGCCCGTGCGTGGTGAGAGTCTCAGTGCAGATCTTGAGGCTATAGAGCCTTTTCGTGAGAATTTGAACGAAATCATTCAGTCTGACAAACTTGAAAAATTTGAGCTTTACAATGCAGATGAAACCGGGTTATTTTGGAAGGCAGACCCAATGAACACACAAGCGGAAAAGAAATCTTCTAACCAACCTGGTTGGAAGCTGAATAAACAGAGTGTCTGCGTTATTTTGCGCCAACGCTGATGGCTCACATAGGTTGAAACCTGCGATGGTGGGGAAGTCGAGGCAGCCTAGAGTGTTAAAGGATGTATTCTATAAATTACCAGTGTACTATTATAATAACCCTTCTGCTTGGTTCACCCGCGATATTTGCTTGGACTGGTTTCTGAAAACTGAAGTTGAAATAAGAAAATTTCAAATAGAAGAAAAGGAAGTGAAGCCAGAGGATGTGTAAGCCGTTATTTTGTTGGATAACGCTCCTGTTTATGCCTCCCAATACAACATCTCATATCCAGCTGATGGATCAAGGCATAATAGCTGCTGTTAAGAGGATTTACAAAAGCTACTTCATGGATGAAGTTCTCGTGGTGCTAGAAGATAATGACGGGGAGGAGGATAGGCGAGGGGAGCGTACACTTGAAAACATGCGCTCATATAACATGAAGTCGTGTGTGTTTTATCTAGCCAGAGCATGGAAAAATATGAAACAATCAACCTTGCAAAATTGCTGGTTTGAAAATGATGATTTTCATGCACGCTTACATCTTGCAGGGGAGCATCAAGTTTGTTCTAATGACATCAGAGAATGGTTGGAGGCTGATGATGGCGACCCTGGTTACCAGATACTGTCAGAAGCAGAAATTGCTGCCAGTGTTCAGAATCAAGGCGATGATGAAGAATTAGAAGATGAAGATAATGATGATGATGAGGCGAGTTACTTTAAAGGTGAAAAGCCGTCTGATATGCGTGACTAGATCAACCGTATAATCGGACACATTGATTACAGCAATGATCCTGCCTTCCATCTACACAACGAACATTTACGTGCATTGAGAGAGTTAATTATAAAAAGGCAATATCAGAAATTCAAACGGGTGAAGATTGATAGTTTCTTTAAACCTTAACCCTCTAAAACACCATCATCAAGCGAGCCTGGGCCTCCTACCTCAACTAACCCTCAACCCTCCTCCTCCTCCTCCTCAGCTGATGCTTCGGATAATCATGCCGATGATCCACTTATGTCAGTAGGCTTGAGCGATTCAGAAAACTATTTCCCTACATAAAACTACAAAACAGTGGCTCCAATGTACATGCATTCATGAAAGGATTATGGTACTGTAAACATTATTCTATTCTTTTCTCAGGTTTTTGGATATTGCTTATGTGCCGTACAGTACTTCATTAATAAAAGTTTTGCTTTTAAAGTATTATGTTCTTTGACTTTTCCTATGATTATTCACGGTTTCTGTGCTGGTTCATATTTATTTACTAAAGTGGTTAATGTTTCAAAGCAAATGCTATTGAAATATGAAAGGCAAATGAACAAAAATGAATAGAGGGACTTAAATGAGGTAGGTTAGGGATAGGTACTTTAAAAAGGTATGCTTTATTTCCGTAGACTTTATTTTCTATTAACCAACCTTTTGTATTATCCGTCGGCCCCTTCCCCCCATATGTGGGCGGTTAATCGAGGTTTCACTGTAATGTAATCCCTCGCTAATCACGGTGGGGTCACATTCTAGAATTTTCCCAGGGTTAGCAAAAGCATGTTTGACAAGGGTTGGGTCTAATAGGAAATGACCAATGAACGACATCCCAAAAGACCTATTATGTACCGATCAAAGTTAAAAATAAGTGCAACACTTAAGACTTTTATTATACTAAAGTATATAAAACACATAAAATATTATACCAATATAGTACTGTAATTACATTACACATACCATAACATCAAAAGTTTTCTAAGGTTATGAGTTACCTTAATATCAGTATCGATGAGGTCTCGAACCACATCTCCCATTGTTGAATGAATCTTCACACACTGAAGTAATTCATGGAGGTAATTCGAAACTTTTGCGAACAGAATATCTCCACGTTTCACTGTCTGTAATATAAATATAAATTCTAAGTGTACTAATAATGCAGACAAAACAAGAATATCTCATCTATATCATCCACTTAAATTAATACTGTACTAAATTAAAATACAGGCAGTCAACAATTGATGAAGATCCAGTTTACAAAAATCCAAGTGTGTGTGTGTGTGTGTGTGTGTGTGTGTGTGTGTGTGTGTGTGTGTAATAATAATAATAATAATAATAATAATAATAATAATAATAATAATAAACGGTATATTAATAGAGTTGCAGCTAGTGGCTGAAAATATACAGTGTATGTGTGTGTGTGTGTGTGTGTGTTGTGTGTGTTGTGTGTGTGTGTGTGTGTGTGTGCATGTGTGTGTGTGTGTGTGTGTTGTGTGTGTGTGTGTGTGTGTTGTGTGTGTGTTGTGTGTGTGTGTGTGTGTGTGTGTGTGTGTGTGTATGTTGTGTGTGTGTATGTTGTGTGTGTGTGTGTGTGTGTGTGTGTGTGTGTGTGTTGTGTGTGTGTGTGTGTGTGTGTGTGTGTGTGTGTGTGTGTGTGTGTGTGTGTGTGTGTGTGTGTGTGTGTGTGTGTGTGTGTATGTGTTGTGTGTGTGTGTGTGTTGTGTGTGTGTGTGTGTGTGTGTGTGTGTGTGCGTGTGTGTGTGCGTGTGTGTGCGTGCGTGCGTGAGAGAGAGGTTTCGATTTATCTAAGAAAATTTTTAAAGTTATGACAAAATTTGATGTGAGAATCTTGTGGCAGCTGTGGTTGTAAAGTTGCCAATTCATTAATACAATTTCTTCATTATTTAAGCAAATATACGAACATTTGTCACTTCATAAAGTGACAACCACAATTTAATCATGTTATTCAAGTACCTTAAAGAACATATCCTCTCTGATATGGCTTTCCACTTTCATGAAGTATTCAAGAGGTGGAAGTTGATTTCGTCTGTCTGAAATAAAAATAAATACTTAAATTTTATGTATCTCCCTACAATAAGTCCTCATGCACTGTACTATATACATTATGTAAATTTTTCAAAAATTAATCTTGATTACAATTTTGTTTCCCATCCACACAATCGTCTCATTAACATACTGGTATTCTTATGAAATTTTTACTGATAAGGACCACCCTAGGCAGCTGTGTTAGTGTATCTTTTCCTTAAGTAATTAACAAAATTTAACTTTACTTGGGAAAACAGAAGCTTAACGGCAGCTTACCTTCCATGCCGAAGTCATCTTCACTTACTTCTGCCCAAGGATTTACTTCCCGAGGCAGGAACAAATTGGGACATTTAGTGGTTATGAAGTGAAGTAGCTCCTGACGGCTAGCGTTTCCTTGTTTGCTGAAAGGAAAATGAATATATGATTTAGATTAGGAATAACCATTATTTGATGTGCCTTAATTAGTCTATAACAAATCACTAAAAAAATAATTTCTTCAGGACCAAATGCTTCTCATAACTTAACACTTTCAAACTAATGTACAAGTTCCCTCTTTATACAAAATAGATGTACAGTCTCGTTCAAGATTCTTCAAACACTGCTTGAGACAGCTGGCAACTCAAAGCTGTTTGTTTACTATTGTACGTAGTAAAAATTATGAATGAATGTAAAAGCTTGACCATTAATTAAGCAACAGGGAACTAAGTAAACAATCACCGATCACTTTTACATTCATTCATGATTTTTACTAGGTACTAAAGTAAACAAATGGCCTTGAGTTGCCAGCTATCTCCAGCAGTGTTCGAAGAATCTTGAATGAGACTGTATATATAGTATAGTACTGTAATCTGGGAACATTTTACATAATTTGAAATTATGTACAGCAAAAATAAATATTTTTAACCCTTTCACTGCAGCTGGCTTACAACTAGCACCCACCTTCTATGTAGCAGATTTTTAGATATTTAAAAATTAAGTATACTGTAATGTATATACAAGGGGTTCCCGACTTACAAATGCCTGCCAATACGAATGGGGTTAAATTTGAAAATTACAGCATTTTATTTACCTGATGACTTATTTTTTCCTTTCATTTACTGTATTTTGTCATTCTATTTCTTCATTTGTCTTAAATTAAGTTATTTTAGATGTATTGTATATAGGGACTTAGGTTATGATATACAGCCCCCCCCCCCCCAAACGCGTAAACCAAAACGGCGTAAATCCAGACTCAACTGGATTTACGCGGTTTTGGTTTACGCGTTTGGTCATTTACGCGGCACCTTGCCAGAATGAAATGTTTTAATTACGCGGTAAATTTCATCATTTACGCGGGTAAAGTATAATTTGTTTATTTACTGAAGATATATATGTTTTTAGCTCATAAAATATATAATTTACATTGCTGGAATCCTTACAAGATGGTGATCATTTTAAATATAAACATCTTAACATTTGCATTAGACATACAAATTTTAGATGTAATTTGAGGAGATAATGAAAATTAAAAAACATTTTATCTTTTGTGCAAAATATATGACGTTTACATTCAAAATATTCCCTGTCCTGCAAGGAATCCAGCAATGTCAATTATATTATCCTAACTTTAGTCTGAGGTATTATTTATTACTAAAAATGTAAATATACTATTTTAACCCAAACATTTCTCTGGTAGGGAGGGAAGGTGGGGGTGGGGGGTAGGAAGGGAGGGAGGTTCCCAGCGAGCGTAGGAAGAGGGGGGAGCGGGAGGTGGGGTATTTTGATTGACAGATAGTGTCTGGGTGAAGTATAATTTGTTTATTTACTGAAGAAATTTGTTTTTAGTTCATAAAATTCATACAAATTACCCGGCCAGAATATAATTTACATTGCTGTAATTCTTACGAGATGGTGATCATTTTAAATGTAAACATCTTAAAATTTGCATTACATACAAATTTTAGATGTAATTTAAGGAGATGATGAACATTAGCAAACAGATATAACTAGCCCCAGTGGTCAGGGTATTATGGTACTGAATGTTACAGAGTATTTCAAATAAATTCTTTGTTTAGTTCTGTACATAGAGACTTGGGAATAGAAACTGTAATAATTTGAGCTTATTAATACCAGTACCCTTCATGTACAGTACAGTAAAATACTTATTTTTACCTTATTATTTGACTTGTCATTTAAGGATACAGTATTATTTTGGAAATGTCTCAGAGATAATTTATTCAAGATCATTATGGTATCAAATTCATCTCTCTAACACAAATCTAAGTTTATAACAAATGCTGTGAGGTAGGGAAGGAGAGGGTCCATTGCAATGTAACCGCACTGCACCCCCCCTCCTGAAAGGGTTGCCTTTCACTGATTGTTTGTCAGCAAATACAGTCTCATCATAATGCAATATTTGCTAGCTATAACTGGAACTCAGGTTATGAAAGGCTAAACTGGAGTTAATGGAAGCAATACAATATACTGTAGCAAATTGTTTCACTAAGAATGGGTTGCCCACTCAAAATACACTGTATACATACCAGACCTCATGAACACGGGCCTTGTAAACATTATAATCAATGTCCTTGAGGTTCAAGGTCTCCAGATCTTTGGGATGGGAAGTTGTAAGTTGTTTTAGAAGTTGGTGACCATGGAAGTTTATTGATTGTGAGACCATATTGCTACAAAGTGGGGCCGTCCCAGCCATTTTTCTACACTTTCTGTAATAGAATGGTAACTGTTATGACATAAAATTATTTCTTATGAATATTCTCTAAATTCAAAATCCTTAATCAATAATTCACTGTGATGGATTAGGGAAGTATACAAGACAGTGTGTCCCTAATGGGTAATGCTACTGAGAAAAAGTCCTATAGTCAAATGAGGCTTGCCCAATACTGTACACCATAAATAAGAAAAGTTTTAATTTTTGTTTTGATGAGCTGTAGGTTGTACGATGATGGAAAATTGTGAGGAAAGAAACTTGCTCGTAAGTGTGGCATGATGGGGAATTGTGTACAGTACCAAGACTTGAACTGAAAAAGGGGGGATGATGAAATGAGTTTTACTGGTTCATTATTCTGGAACAGAGACCCAAGGAAATAGTGAGGGTGAGGTACTGGTTGTTGATATGGGAAAAAAATTCATAATATATTTTTCTTTTTTCTCCAGAAAATTCAAAACCAGTAAATTTACCACTAAAGACTTTGAAATTTAACAAGATTTGATCATTCCTACATAGGCCTGAAAATGTTTCCCTGTGGAGTACATTTGTATGCCCTATTTCAGGATGTCCTGAGGAAAGAAACCAAAAAGCTCATCGAGATCAGTGTTTTATGGCAATTCCCCCCCTCCCCCCCACACACACACCATTACCACCAAAAACCCAAGGTGTTTTCCCAGAAAATATAGCAGAAACCAGGGGATGGACAAAATCCTGGTGAACTACTTGCGATCAGGCATGTTGATGCAAAATTTTACAGCTGAATGCCCATTCTAATGCCAACCCATAAGGTAGGAAGTTGGGAACTGATGGTAAGGCAGGGTTGCAATTCCCTGAGGTAATCAAAGACTACCTGGCTCGATGGGTTAATTTTCCATAAACACAAAACCTGCTTCCCTACACTTAGAATGCTGTATACAGCATTCACATTCTTATGGTGGCACACTTCATGCAAAATTTCTTTATTTATTTTTTTATAAAAAACGTGAGCTGATGCACTTGGAATCTTAAAAAAAAAAAAAAAAAATGCCCACTGGAGTTCTTCCACATACACTGTGAGAAAAGTAGCCTGGATAACTAGAGTACAGTACCACAGTAGTCATATAAAGTACAGCATCACAATATAATGTAACAGTGTAACAAAACATAACAGCGGAGTCTAAGTTAAGACTTTGATCATTGGCTCTATAAATACAGATCTCCCATTAAATCTGCTTACCTGAAAATAACTTGCAAGGAAGATTTTGAAGGGCACCAGTAATGCCCTGATTTATAAGTTGATAATCTGGAAATAGAAGGTGCTAATTAGTACAGTACTACAGATAGACAACACCATCTCATATTGCATTAAACATTAACAATTATAAATAATGGTAAGATATTCTTGGTTATATCCATAATTCAGTCCCTACCTTCTGAATCCACATCGACACAAATACTGATACAGTATATGGTTTATGGTGGAAAATTGTTGCAGGAAATGGCCAGAATCTGATGGTTTATGTCATAAGCTGGTTGAGAAAATGGATGACCCTCATATCATCATGAGAAAAATATGGAGTGAATATTCTCAAATTATTATAGAACGCAGAGTACTTGCCAAGTCGAATACAGCTAATGCTCCAAGCCCACCAGCCTTTATTATAGGCAGGTGCATGTCATGTGACCGCACTACATCTTCCTCCCAGGCCCATGCTTATATCAGTACACACACACTGCCCTTTATTGAAAAAGCTTGTAAGAGTTTTTATACATACAGGTATTGACTGTTATATGATGGGGTTAGGGACTTCAAAAAGCCATCATAAGGTGATAGATTGTATAACGAAATTAATAACTTATGGGGAAAAACAGGTTCCGTTCTATACCCTGTAGGGTCGAGAGTTATCAACTCGTAATTTCAGGTAGACATGTAATTTTTTATTTATTGATTTTTATTTTACTCTGTTATATGCACACACAATCTTTCATACAGAATGTGCAAAACAAAAATAAAAGAAATGATTATTATAAGGTCAAAAGATAAAGGGAGCAATGACTTTATTAAAGCAAAACATATTTTTCATCGATATCATGAGGCAAGAAAGTATTTATGTTCTATAGTGAAGTGTCCTACAGTACAGAAAGTAATTAAGGTACACAACTCATCTAGTCTTTAACTTCACTGGGTTATGTTACGTTTACAAAACACTTCTGATCACACTATACAGTGCATGACATTGAAGAGAAAACGGTCTATTGAACTTTTTTGTCAAAGTTGCTGGCTAAAACCCCTGTATCAGAGTGCTACCTCATGAAAAACCCAAGTTTTTTTTATAACAATATGAAAAAAACCCGAACCTAGTTGGAGAGTTTTTGGGAGTGTCTCAGACATAAACAACTGATACTTCGTCTAACATTTGGTCATAGTATAGTGTTTGGGATGGCAAAAGTTGTATAAATAATATTACAAAAAATTTCTTCCTCTCCATTTTTGGGAGTTTTCATGAGGTAAGAAAGCATATGCCTTCTGTAGAATAATTCCTCAAGTTTCAGGTTAAAGGGCACAACCATAGTAAAATATTACTCCTTAAACTAATCATTAAGTAGCAGATGTATTGTTTTAGTTTCGGTCATCCGGGGATCATAGGAATTTAATTACTGGAATGAGTATACTTGTATTAGACAATCTGAAGACACTTCTCTTCTATGATGTTTCCTTCGCAAATGACTTATACAGTACAGTGAGTTCTGCTATAACGCGTGTTTTGATAACGCGAATTTGCTCTAACGCGATTTATGAATTCGGAACAATATTTGTATAACGCGATCGCTTGTTTGCTATAACGCGATTTTTGCTTACTATTTCTCCAATTTTGTGGTATTAACTGTGAATATGGTAAAGAAGAATATCTCCAAAAAGCATTCTGATGATAGAATTCCCGGTGATTATCGTAAAAGAAAGGATATAACACTTGAAGAGAAGCTTGATGTTATCAACCTCAAAATCACCCTTCTCCCCCATCAAGTTACATTCATATTTTTTCAAGGTAAAGTGTTAAATTTACTGTATGATTTCATTATTAGATATGAATGTAACATTTATTTAGACTGTGCTATCCTTTGTGTTAGGCTAACTACTAAATTTTTTCGATTTCGAGTAAACTGCACCTAACCCTATTTTCTCCATAAGCCCTGTTATTTCTATTACGCGATTTTCTATAACACGATATTTTACAAGAACACAATTATCGCGTTATAGCAGAACTACCTGTACCTGTATATACCTTCGGTTCAAGGGGAGGGGGGGGGGAGTCCCTGGTTAGGTTAGGTAATTTGTGAGAGAAACAACAAAGAAGAAAAGTGTCTTAGGATTGTCTAAACTACTCATTCCGATAATTAAATTCCTATGATCCCCGGATGACCGAAACTAAAAGTTTACCAATGCAGACGGTATTTTTATAGAACTGTAGTTCACACAACATTCCTATCCCAAATCTATTATCATATTAAAAAAAAGCGTCTAATTTTAAGAAAATTTTCTTCTATTACATTATTGTCGGAAACGTATAATAACAGAGACAGCGCATGCCAAATCTTTCTCTATTTAATTCCATTAATCTCCCCTTCACAAATCGCCATGCGCATGCGTTCCCGTACACGTCACGCAACCAATCAAAAGTGTTCTTTTTTTTTTGGTCACCAATTAAATGAATTGTGCTTTCTGCTTTTAGAATTCGCAGTATTTTTTGCCCAATCAGATTAGATTGTGATTGTGGATCTCCCATGCTTCGAAATTCTAATTTACCATGGAAGTCTGCGATGGGTGTCGCTTCAATTATATGGGATTAATTGCGCGTTTTAGGGAAAAACAACAAGCAATAGCATTTTTTAGATCTCAATGTGTTCTCTCGACCTCAAGGGAGATAGATCACTATCCTCTAACTACAGTCCAATTAGTCTAACATCAATTGTAGGCAAATTACTGGAAGCAATCATTTCAAACTCTATTCGAAATCACCTGGAGAAGCACAAGTTGATCAATAATTCCCAACATGGCTTCACAAGCGGGCGTTTATGTCTAACTAATCTACTAACATTCTTTTCATCTGTTTCCAAATCAGTTGACAAGGGGCACAATTATGATGTGGCATATCTCAACTTTAGCAAAGCCTTCGACTGAGTCCCCCACAAAAGACAAATAAGAAAAGTGGAGGCTCATGGAATTAAAGAAGATATTCTAAAATGGATTAGGGCGTGGTTACAGGACAGGAAACAGCGAGTGAGCAATAATGGCACTAAATCCGGTTGGAGCAACATCACTAGTGGAGTTCCCCAAGGCTCAGTACTTGGACCATTATTAATTATTATATATACATATATGACATAGATATCGGCGTAGATAGCAACTTCAGTAAATTTGCTGATGACACTAAAATAGGACATGTAATTAAATCTGACGAGGACTCCGCAAAACTACAGGAAAGTCTAAAAAAAAATTTTGAATGGTCTGAAAAATGGCAGATGAAATTCAATGTGGACAAATGCAAAGTACTCAGTATAGGAGATGTAAACAGGGAAACCAGATACCAGATGAACAACGATGTTATTGAGAAATCCGACTGCGAGAAGGATTTAGGAGTAATGATAAGTAGGAATCTTAAGACAAGTAAACAATGTGTATTTGCTCGAAACAAGGCTAATAAAATACAGAACTTGGATTCATACAAAGGAGTGTTGGTTACAAGACTAGCGAGGTCATCCTAAAACTATATCTTGCGCTTGTGAGACCTCACTTGGATTACGCAGTTTAATTCTGGTCACCGTATTACAGAATGGATATAGAATCCTTGAAAAGAATTTAGAGGAGAATGACAAGACTAATCCCGAGCAACAGGAACCTTGAGTACAGAGACAGGTTAAAGCATCTTAATCTGCACTCCCTCGAGAGACGTAGAGTGAGGGGTGATATGATAGAGATGTATAAATGGAATTCAGGACTGAACAAAGGGGACATTACAAAGGTACTCAAACTATCCAACCAGGATTTAGGCGCGAAATAGGTAAACATTGGTTTGGAAATAGAGTAGTGGATGAGTGGAACAAGTTACCAAATATCATCATTTACTCGAATACGCTGGATAGCTTCAAACATAGGTTGGATGGACTTATGAGCAATAGGGGTTGGGTGTAAATGGGACTGCCCAGTATGAGCCAATAGGCCCGCTGCAGTTTCCTCCATTCTTATGTTCCTATGTGTCCCAAGTGTAATAAGGAGTGTAAATATCGTGAACCAGGGCCTTCACATCAATAGTCCACCTCTCCACCTCCCAAGCCTCCTCGATTTTGGATTCTAATTCGGAATAAGGTAAGAAATAACAGTAATTCCCTCGTATGGTGGGAGACTGGTTACGTAAAAACACCGTGAGAGTTAGGTTAGATTAGGTTAGGTCAGGATAAGTTAAATCATCCCCCAAAAAGTTAGGTTTATAAGTTTTACTAGTGTTTTTTGGTGTGTTTTGTTGAATATTCACTTGGCCATGATTTTTTATGGAAAACGCTTGTTTCTCTCCCCCACTCAAAACCCTGGTTCCCAACAGGATCCCCTGTCTTGTTGGGGGTAGAAGGGGGCGATAACCAAAAAAACAGGCAATTTCCGACAGAAATCAAGGTTAGAACCTATCAAACACACACAAAAAAAACACTAGAAAAACATAGTTTTGACTTTCTAACAGAGTTGTGTGAACTACTATAAATTTACTAGCAGACTCTTCTATGTAATAGTTTGTAAATATTGTTATTCTTGAGAACCAAAAAGTAAGGGTATCTGTTTACTTAACAGCTACCACCAGAAGGAAATGTGTGATTTGGTTTAAATTTTTGTACACACTATTAGCATGATATTAAACACTGAAATGGAAACGACAATGCATAGAACCTACTAGAAAATGACCTAACAAACCAAACCTATTAGGTCAGGTTCTAGTAGGTTCTCTGCATTATCGTGTTCATTTATTTGTTCAATATTATGCAAATAGTGTGTACAAAAAATTTAAACCAAATTGGACATTTATTTTTTTGGGTTTATGTAAACCTAACCAAACTAACCCAACGGAGGTAAGCAAAAGGACCCTAGAACACCCTACCTAACTATTGTCAGGAACGAAAAGAGAAAAACTATACATGATATATTGAGAACAGAGAATGCATTTAATAAGTAAATAAAAAAAGAATAAACGGGTATATACATAATTCTAAAGTTAATAATGATGCGTAATTATTTTATTAAAGGGATCAGAAGTAATGGAACACAATTTATACAGTTGGAGAGTAAGGAGCAATGGCGACGGTAAGAAAATGGTTTTGGCGTTTGAAATGCACCTAGAGACGTTAATTTTAATTCCATAACATCAGTGTTCTCCGCGTTTTTACCCCGTAATTACCCTCATCCTTCATGCCCTGCCCACTAACAAGGAATTTAAGATCGTAGGATAGAGTAATAAAAAAATCATAAAAAATACTTAAAATTATAATAGAAAGTTGTCGTTTCTTTTAATATACTTAAAAATCACCAAAACAATAAGTATAACAAAAATAAAGAAAATCAACAAACAACTTCTAGTGGTAGCTGTTTTGTAAACCTTTACCAAAGTAAGTTATTACCAATCAATGTTATTATTTGTCAGAAAAATCCTCAAATACGCATCCAAATATTATATAAATTTTTCCAATTACTATTCAGTAATTATAATAGTTCTGGGCCCTTCTCGTCAGCATCAACTCCCTAGCACACTCGACACTTAACAAGGGCGAAGGCTGACACAACGTCCTCACCAGTATGTACAGTATATGTAATGCCCCCATCTCGGTCTTGCCCACATTTACCATGCTGTGTCCAACAAGGAAACTGATAATTATCAATTATTTCACTGCATCTCAAATGTCCTTGCTAAAATTTGATAAATTTAGGATCAGTCTTTTAGCAATATTTTTCAGCCCAAGACGCCGCTGCTTACCACTGCCTCAGCACCATCGCCGCCACGGTATGACTATTATCTTATTTCGACAAAATATACACACATTTTTCCACTAACTATGACAAATATATTAAACATTGACTAGGGGTGAAGTCATGCCTACTCACCAGACCTACACCAGAATTCTACATCACAGAATGTTTGGTGAGCATTTGAAGAACACTTGTTTACACTTGACCCGCCACTGTTGCCAGACTAAAGGATGGCCTATGTTAAACAACTACAAGTACACCACCAATATTTTTTTTCGAAATAGAAAACGCGAAGTTAACTTAACCTAACCTATTATAACCTGATAATTATAATATCATAGTAATTATACAGTGTTTACTTGGATCACGTGGATTGAAAACTATATCTTTAGCGATGATGACCGTGGTAGTTTATTAACACTAGTTATTTCTGCCAGATTTTCCTAACCATGCAGTTAGTGTTATTTCCATAATCGTATTCATCTCATATATTAGTATATAAATTCTTTACAAATTATTGACAGAAATCCTGAATAACTAGGCATTAAATAATATATTTAAATTTAAAATATTGTTCGAAAACGTCTTAATACACAATCAAGAAATAATTCACGCACTGCTTTAGACCTATCTACTGTACTAGCTCAAGCTGAGTATAGTACTGGGCTTTATAATACCCTACACAAAACCGGGCTTCTTCTCTTAACATGGCCACCCCTAGTTTGGGTCGCTACATTAGGAAAATGAAGTAGTTGGTGGTACAGCGGTAGCGGAATTACTTTTGTCCTGGTTTAATTCCTAACCAGGTCAGATGTGGAAAAGGGCCTCCTCTCCTCCCTCAAAACCGCATATAAACCTGATTCAGGATTGCTGAAGTAATCATTTGGTGAAGGGCATTTCTTTGGGATATGTCCTTTTGTATTTTGATAAATTGTAACTCACCACTCACCAGTAAAAATAAGCAACAATAATATGCACGTACTGGCACATTGTTGTTCGCCTCAAGAAATGTATAATTTATTTTTTTATACTTTAATGTAGTTTGATTTGTATTAATTTAATAAGATTTATATCACTTCATATATTTATTTACATTTATCTCAATAGATCATAATTAGAGAATACTTGAAGATACATCATATGCAATAATTATCACAATTTAGCTGAAATCACAAAAATAAATTTAATAGGTATTTACTATTCAGGACTTTATATGAATAAATACTTGAGAGGATGCTTTGATTACGGTTCCAATGATACTTTGCAAATAATATTTTACAATATATGTTCCTCCATAAGCAATTAATTTAGCCCGAAAAAATTCAAGAGTATATAATGAGTTTGTAAAAAAAAAACAATCAATTAAAACAACTAGTTGAATGAATATGTTATTATTCTTTATTTTATAGAGAAGCTCTTATCTCTCAGAAAATGTAAGTTGTTTAGAAGCACTGGGAATGGCGTCTTGTACTTTACATTTGAGTGCTACACGGTAACCTACCTTGCCATCCGTATATCATTTATCATTTTTAAACACAAGAGGAGCTCTATAATGGGGAGATCACGGTCAAGAAGTAGAACACCCAAGAGACATAAGAGCAAGAGGTCTCACAAGAGGAGGTCTCGGTCTCGCGAGAGGGAGCGGCGCAGACACCGAGATCGTGAGAGGTCCAAGGAGCGACCTTCCAAGGCCAGGTAGGTAAACATAACTACACCCCCGCTCTGTCAACATTCTTACTGACCTGAATAAAACGTGTGAGTATTGTAATAAAGTTATGGCTTATATATAGGACTAATAAAGTTACCTTCAGTAAGCTGAGAAACTGTGAGTCTTGTCATTGTGGTGTGAGGTCTTATCTCAGCTGGGGTTGACATTAGGGTATTATTTTATTTTCGGACAACAGAGGAGTCTTGGGAATTTTATCTGTGCAATCATTAATTTAGACAAACTTCGACGCTTTTCCTCTTTGCCGTTTCTCATGCAAATGTCCTAAAAATGGCTTAACGTAACCTCCTAACCAGGGCCTCTGCCCCCATGGACCCCTTGGCATATATAAGTCGTTTGCGAAGGAAATGGTATAGAAGAAAAGTGTCTTAGAATTTTATAAACTATTGAGGTAATCCTGGAGCAGATGGCTTACACCAGAACGCCTTGTTTGATTTTGTTCATATTTTCCACAGTAATGCTAGGTCTATGGCATGCTTTGACCAGCACAGAAACCCTCCCTATGGTTTGTTACCTCATTTTTACAAATATATGCTGCTACTATGGCTTTTATTATCCTCTTATCTAACCCTTTATGCATAATTGTGGCATCCCGCCACCTTGACAAGTATTGACATAGTTTCAAATGCATAATGTAGTGGATATTTTGCCGTGATCGGCTAAGTAAAATAGCGTTAGTAGGAACTTAGCTAGTCATGACAAAATATCCACTGCCAGTACATAAATAGAGAATTTGAGGTCTTCTGACAATCTTTTCAGCAAGCCCCATCCAGTCTTGCCCTATGTTTCCCTCCCACCCACCCATTAAATTGTTTTTGTTTTTTATAGATGCTATTGGCACGAAAATGGTATTGATAATGCATAGAACCTAACAGAACCTGAGAAACTTACCAAACCTTACCTAACTTCCTAGCTGGGGGCTCCACATATTAAGGAAACAGAATTTACAGGTGTACTTTGATAATTGGCACCAATGGAAGCAACTACAGTATCTTTAAGTGGCATGGTGTAATTTTAATTTTTTTGTGGATGTTCTGATTGATTGGCTCTGTTGTTGCATTGAAACAAACAAAGAGCGGACAACAACACGCGCCGACACGGCAGATTTTTTGGCAGAATATTTGATCTAACACTGTCTAAAGTCACCTATGGAAAAGAATGGATCAGATATCTTCTATAAAAGTTTCTGGGAAGTCTCTGCATGGTGAACATTGATGTGGAAGGACAATGGATCTTAATGTACAGGTTGCAATATATTAGGGATTCAAAGCATATACAGTACATGCATCATTTTGCTGACCATGATCTTCTGATAGAAAGGAATTCAAGTTTGTGAGTGACACATGTAAGGTATTATCAGTACCTAAACAGTACAAGGATTGATTATGTATTTTCTATTGCAGGTAATTTCTAAGAGAATATTTTATACTGCAGCTGATTTCTAATGCTTTGTCACCACACAACATTAACCATAGTCTTCCCAGTTATATTTCATCTGTATCATTTCAGTCACTTAATTTATATGATTCTTCCTGTTTAGCCGTAAATTATCAAGATCATCATCATCGTCAACAACCAGTGATGAGGAACCCAGGACAAGAGAAAAGAAGATTGATGAAGTTGACAGATTGGCTGAGCTAGAAAGAGTTAGGTATGCTATCTCTTGACATACATACATTTTGATGTAACTTTATTGTATATCATTGACTATTGCCTGATCAACTTGATTAAGTAATAGATGATGAAGATATTGTTTTAGTATTGAACATTGTGCAGAACCAAGTATTCATTATCTGTAGTTATAGATACTTGCTTTTGTTAGTTACACCTCTTTTATATGTGTTCTCAGGAGGCAGAGAGAAGCAGAACAAAAAATGGTAGAGGAAGTCGCAGCCAAAAGACTGGAGGAGTTAGTGGCACGAAGGGTGGAGGAGGAGTTGGAACGGAGACGAGATGAAATAGAAGCTGAAGTGTTACGTCGTGTAGAGGAGGCCAAGTGCCTTATGGAACAGCAGATGCTAGAGGAGCTACAAGAAAAACGTCGTCAGCAGGAGGAGGATCAGAAGAAGCGAGAGGTAGAGCTTTCCTCCCTAGGTTTCACTGGGGATTTTTTGCTGGCTTTGTTGAGCCTCATTTGCAGGAGCTCTAGTGTACAGACTTCTAGGGAGGGACTATTGTATGGTGCTCCTAGCTTAATTCTCAATATGGGGAACTCAAACTGGTTACTCTTAGGGGTCATGCTTGTTCATATAAAAATAAAAACTGGCAGGTTAAGGTTTTTGCACCAGAGGGGGTACCAAAGAGGCTGCTTAAAGAAGGGAAATTTTTATTGGAACATGTGGATTTTATGAACCTTTTAAAATCAATGTTCATTAAAAGAACTGTAAAAAGAACTTAAAATATGATGTGTGAGTTACCTATAGTTACTGACATTTTATATTTTGTTTATTTTTTATTTTTTAAAGGGACATCCACAGTGGTCAGTGTAGAGCTATAATATACTATACAATAAAGTAAGGAATTTCAGGATTAATGAATTTCTAAGTAGGTTATCAGAAAAGAAAACCAGAATGTTAATATATAGTAATACCTTTGTCTAATAACTGCTATTTAATTCATGACTAGGTAAAAAAAAAATATGGATAATAGATCAATAAATTTCCATTTTGCATGAAGACTAACTCACACTCTTTCAGCTGAATCTCTGTGTTTTGAAAGTGAAATGTGAATTTGAGCCAGTTAAAGATTCCAGAGTTGTGCTGTACAAACTTTGTAATCTCTGGTATGTGATGCAGCTAACCATGTTGCCCCCAGACAGTTATCAAGTTGAGTGTGAAGTGACTGGCTGCTGTCTTTTCCCACTGTCTCCCATTTGTGTTTATTATTATACTGTTGTATACGTGTATTTCCTTCAGAATTTTATATATCACCTTCATATTCCTAATCATGTGTGTGTATGTGTAGGTGCTTGTGAGTATGATTTGTTCATGTCTGTCTGGAAACACACGAACATAGCTGTGTGGCAATGAGGCACTTTAGTGGATAACCACTCTAAACAGACTAGACATAATAATGGCGGCTTGCAACCAAGAATTGTCAGCTGCGGAATTTAGGCCAGAGCAGTTCTAGGAGTGGATTTGACGGCATCCTTATGGTAACTATATAACAGGTATAGTGATTTTTATAATGGATGCAGCACAAATTCATTAAGCTAGTATGTTTCCATTAGATCATTTAAGTGCAGCCAGACATAAAGTTTATATTCATACAGTATCTACAAATTTAAGTACACAATGAAAAGTCATACTGATGTGTGTTGCAGTGGAAGCTTGCCAGTTTAATGGGTTTTGGTGTGTCTAGATTCTTCTTGCAAAGGATCAGCAGTTCCTGTATAGTCTGCTCTTCAAGAGTAATATTAAAGTGTTGGTATCGATTCTTTGCAGGGAGATTTTACTGTGTCTTGTGTCTTAGTGTTGTCGGTAAGCATGTTGTCTATAAGGAAATTTTATTCTTTCTTTGTTGATTAATAGTAAAACCAACATGCTTGCTAATAGAATTATTTAACTCTGAATTAAGTGCTATTTTAAAGTCTGTATTGTCATATATTACCCTTTGCCTTTGTACCCAACGTGACCATTGATGTTTGATATGAATTTCATTTTATGGTAGTTATTCTTTGCTAGTTGCTAGATTTCTTTCACTTCTGTACTATCATATCTTAATTACAGACCGTTCTGTAGTACAGATTACTTAACGAGTGTGTTTTAGATGTGACATAAAAAAGATTGTAGGAGTTTTACACATGTCCTTGAATGTATGTTAGTAACAGGTATATTCAATGACATATGTTCATCTCTCACAAAAAATTCATGGTATGCCTAAATTGGAACTTCGTGTCAGTTTTCTTTTTGAATTTACGGATACTCTTTGTTATCAACACTTTTCAATCACCCCAGTCTTAAGGTGGATAAAATTCAGGGTCTATAGGGTCTTTAGTTTCAAGAGGTGTTGAGATATCTGGTAACTAGCTTCCATGATTTGATCACCAAGCTTATTGCTTCTGACACTTGTGTGACACCTTATTCTGCTTTCTAGGAGGAGGAACGTAAGCAACGGGAGGAACTGGAACGAATCATGGAGGAAAATAAGCGAAAGATAGAAATTGCACAGATGAAATTGGTATGTTAATGTGTTGGAATTGTTGGTTAGCTTACCATGGGTAGACAGTGAATGAAAGAAAAAAATTTAGAACACAAAAATGTTAATCTCTCTCGTGACACTGATGCTAATTTTTTATTTTAAGTTATGTAAATACAGGTATAGACCATTTCATTAGGGAGTTTGTCACTGGAAATTTGAGGATCACTCTTTCATCCTTGATACTAGGCTGAGCAGCAGCTGCAGATGGTGGAGGAACAACGAAAAATTGACGAGGAACGCCAAAGGATTAAGAGAGAGCAGGAAAAGCGGACGCGTGAGGAGCAAAAGATCATCCTCGGGAAAAATAATGCTCGTCCAAAGATTTCCTTCTCAATTTAAGCGAATTACCCAATTGCATGGGCTGTTGTGTTTATGGGTTTACATTTGCTTAGGTTTTTATTTTATTTTATTTATTTTTTTTTTTCAGGAACAATGCTTTACCTATGCATGAAGTGCAACAGCAAGTATACATGTAGAAAGCTAGAGACTATGTATTTGTGTGTATTCATATAACTGAATTCAAAATTTTTAAAAATATTTGTTATCATATTCATTAGTTGAAATTCTCATTCATGTACCTATTGTTAAAAATGCAAAGACAGTAGTGTCTAGCTTTTTACAGAAAGATTACACACCATAGTTCATTGTCACTGGGAGATGTTATTGATATTTCATGATAGTGTTAATGCTGAGCTTTACTTATAGGTTTCAGAATATGAGTGCAAAGGGGGCTTAGTCACTTAAGTAGAAAGGTGTTATTGTGATGGTTAGGGGAGGGAGGGTTATAGCTTGTGCAAAGGCAGATGTACTGCAGCCATATGAGAGCTGACAAGAGCAACTCCAAAACAAGGTAGGCATGAATTGTGGGTGGGTTTTCAATTGATGAATTTTAGTTGTTTCTTTGGGAGAAGTAATATGATGGGCACAATACGAGGCTTCGTAAGGAAATGTAAGGTAGGACTAACACTGTCCTATGGACAGATGTATAATTAATGCTGGTATACTTTATTTGCCTTTGTTAACAGAATTACCTGTAGCTATAATTCTAATCATTTATATCATTTTACATATTTCATCCTTTTATTATAAGTTCATGATGATTATCAAGTGAAAATGTTTGCCATAATGGCAAACCATAAAAAGATGTACAGTACGTAATAGCACATGGATCACATCTTATGTACAAAGTCCACCCTTGCGGGTGGCCTAGACTTCCAGCTTTATACTCACATCAGGAGTCTTCAGTGAAGAGTTATCTTCACTATATCTGTTTTGAATACCCCAATAAATTTAAATTATTAGTTATTATGAATTAAGAGTTTTACTATATCAGAACTTGTTTACATACAGTACTGTAGGTGTTTTAGCGCATCAAATTGTCAGAGAAGACTTTGTAGTCCCGTGGTCTCAGAGTAGAACTATGAACCATTGTATAATTTGGGAGCAGCAGTTACTAAACACCTTAAGGATTCAAGAAGGAATAGCTTAAGTCAAATGCTGGATGGGTGTCTGACTGAATCAAGATAAATGTAATGGTTAATGGAATGTGTAAATTTACCTTGTCTATTCAGTTCTCCTGTGGATGAAAAATGAAAGGTCATGGTACCATGCAAAGGAGGAATAGAATAGATTATATGTTTAGAATAATGGGAAAGAATGAAGTTTACATCTTTTGTGTTATTGTCTGTATATTCGTATATCACTGAATTTTTTTTTTGGTGTAAATAGTTTGATAGTTTTAGAGTTTGATAGTTTTAGAAATTTACTATGAATTTAAAATATGAAAAATAATGGAGATGGTTTTTTAAAGCAGTTGGATGGTATCTTTACCCAAGACAATAAATGGGAACTAATTTATGAGTTGAGAATGAGGGAGATGGGGTTCAAACTTACATGGGATAATTGGATAGGAATTAATTAATGCTAATGCTTATTTTTAGCAGGCAAACATGAAATGTGGATCATGAATAGAAAGAGATTCATGGCACATGGGAATTAGATAAATTTATGGGATTAAGGGATTGTATACAGTAGTTCAGTAATGGAATTTAGGATTGGGAAGGATTGCTGAGGTGGTACTGTATGTGCTTTTAACAAAGAGAAGTGAAGTGGCAATCTGAATAAAATAAATTGTCGGGAGCATGGTAAGTGGGAATTTGGCCCAGGGGAAGACCAAAGGCAAAGCTGTATATATATATATATATATATATATATATATATATATATATATATATATATATATATATATATATATATATATATATATATATATATATATATATATATATATATATATATATATACATACACACACACCCTCGTTAATTCGACAAAGGGGGCTCTGGGTCACTTGAATTACCAAAAAATCGGTAGTTTGAAATATTTTTACATTACTGTATTTGACAATTTCTGAATATTTGTGTTCAATTATTCATTCATTTTCTGTTCAGTTTTTGCACCTTGCCATGCCTTGGTTTTCACTTAAAAAAAATCTTTTATAATTACTGTGTAAACAAATATTTTTTAAATGCACACTCACGCGCCATAGTTTCGATGCACCCTCTACCCCTACTCCTGACTCGATGGAAGTCGTAGCCTTGGCATCATACCAACCCTCATCGTTCAGTGGTGCAATGTGGTAGCTCAAAGCTTCACTGGATTGTATGAATAGCAGTTCATGATGTAATATTTGAGAATATGCACAATACAGGTTTTTTTTAGTGTATTCACAACACTTTATTTACCATCACTATACTTAACATTACAAGAGGGACCGTTAGGTTTGCAGCCCTGACTACGACTTCATTTGAGCCAGGAGTAGGGGTAGAGGGTGCATCGAAGCTATGGCGCGTGAGTGTACATACAGTAATAATAATGTAAATACAGGGGGGCCCCCAAGTTCGCGGATTTTTATTTCGCGGTCCTCGATTATTCGCAGATGACACCCTGGATGTACCTAAGAATTTCTGTGGGTTGTTTTAAAGTTGCCGGCATTTTTGCGGCTGGGACAGGGAGCCATTCATTCTAGAGAGTAATTTCCTCTACCTGTATTGTAAATATGTGTGTGTGTAGACACATACAGAGTACAAATAAATAATAGTTGGAAAATCCTCTCACAAATAATCAAACAAATTTATTAAAAATGTGAGTCTACCCTCACGTCTGTGCATTATTACTTTATTAATAAAGCATAGACTAGAGGGTAAACTCACATTATTAAATATTTTTTTTTTATTACAGTACTGTATTTGTGAGAGCATTTTCCCATTATTATTTATTTGTATGTGTTTTGGGGGTGTGTGTGTTTACACACACACAAACACACCACACATATATACAATATAGGTAAAAGAAATAATTGTCCTTGGGGCAAACACTTAAAGGGAATACCCTGTATACATAATACCCTGTATACATTTCTTTGTACACAAGTAAAAATTTAACCCCCCCCACTGATCCTCAAGTGTTATTTGCGGATTTGGCGATTTGCGGCCATTTTGAGAACCTAACCCCAAATTTGGCCCCCCCTGTACTTATACTGTACAGTAATAAATAAATGTAAAATATTATGTGACAAGCCATTTGCCTAGCACACACATTAACAGCACTACTAAACCATTGCCTTATAACATATTACTTTCTATTTTAAAATTAATTGACACAGTGCATGATGGCTCAATTTGACTACTTTTGCACTTAAACAACTGATCAGAGAATAAACCAGGGCATATGGAGATGCATTATATACTACAATAATATTTACAAGTACTGTATTAAGTTTGATAAATACGATACAGTATTATATACTAATGCTCTAGACAGATCCTCTGGTAAGCACCAACCCTCTTGAGCAGTGACAGCAACGGTGCTTGAGAGATGGTGAGTGCTGGCAACATTGTTGGGGAGAGCAGGAACAATCATTTGTTACTGCTCTGTTAACAAGAGACTGGGTATATACTACGGCACAGTAGCTCATGTGGGATTTTGGGTGGAAAATTAATAATTTTTGATGTTTTATTAACCTGGCATCAATTAAACCTAAATAATAGGGAAATTATGGTGAAATTGCATGCTATCGTTACGATGAGATCGTGAGAGGCGAGTTGTCATATCTGTCTAGCCAGCACTCCCTCTCTCTTCCTCTGCCCAGCTACACACCCAAACGTAGTTTCGTATCTTAATATTATTCTTATTTTATTCTAATACAAGTAATTCATTCATCTTAATCTATTTCATAATATAATTCCTATAATAATCATCCTAGTGGGATGGCAAAAACCGCATAGAAAATATGATCGTCTAAGTGGGATGACACCTGACCCAAGCCTGCTTAGGGAGCTGCAAGGGCACAGTTGAATCGACGACTGAAATTTCAATCCCGTCACGGCACAACTTTTTGTAACCGTTCGGTTATTTCAGATTCATTCCAAATTCAAATTGTTTAATTAAATTTTGAAAAAATAGAAAATAAAATAAAATAAAAAATCCCATACAAATTAAGCCAAAATCAGAATTACAGCATAACGATCTGAATTAACGAGGGTACAGTAAAATATATATATATACATATATATATACTCGACTTACGACATCCTCGACCTACGACCTCCCGGACATACGACCGCCTCAGTCATACCAAAATTTTGTCAAATTACATATTTTCGAGTCCCAACGTCAGTGATTACGCTGTGTACTGACAAAATTTTCGTTTTTAATTCACTTTAAAATGGCTGGCAAGCTTAAAAGTGAGAGTTTTGTGGTGCTGAAAAGAAAAAGAGACCCATTTTAGAATTTCTATATTATTTTCACCTTTTCGACCTATGATCTGGTTGTTCGGACGGAACCCTGTCATAAGTTGAGGAGAGACTGTATATCACAGATGGTGGTAAGGTATTTTCTGAACTTGTGGGTGATTGACCAGCTCTGTGCATGCCATAGCAAGTATTAGTATATTCTTTAAAGACATGGCCCAATACAAACCAGGAAATGTGGCTGCAGTGTGGTAATCCAGCATCATTGTACACTCGTGTAATAAAAGTGACAAAATTCCATAATATGTTTTATTAACACCATTTCAAATAAACTTCTAATCAGCCTTACCGCATTCTGAACTATGTGGTCATTGTTGGATGGCTGATGAAAAATAAAGTTATGAAATTTGTAAGAACTATACTGCACTACAGGTATAATAAATGACAAATGCTCAGGTAGTATAGTGTTTACCCCTCAAGTGAATGGTGATGGGGTCCATTTCCTTATGGGGGAAGATTGAGCTTCTCCTTTGTACAGTCATAAAAAAAAATTACAATTGGGTGAATTTGCCAATAGTGGGATAACCACTTGGTGGATTAGTAAAGCATCCTGTGAAGTGCGAAATTGCCCACTTGATACCGCTTGACCTCTTTGCCCAGGCTGATATGGTAGCCAAACACACTTATCAGAGTAGGTGGGTTAGGAAGAGGGGTGTGTGAATGCATGCTCCCATCACTCAGATGGCAGCCCATGGTCCACCATGTGGTGGTCAGTCTCTTTATCAAAAAAGCAATCAGACTAGACTGGCTACTCAGAGAAAGATAAAAAAGATAAATACAGTATGCTCAATACTCACCCTAACACAAGAGAGCAAAAAAAAGTCTTGACTAAGTCCAGTGGGATATGAGAGTGTCATAATATTGTAATAAGCCTAGTGCCATAGGAGAGCAATATCACCCTCCCAGCTAACCCCTGCTGTCGTGGGTGTACCAGATAGTACCTGTATGTCCTTCTGATTTGATGCTTGGTGTAAGAGGGTGTACAAGGTAAAGTAAGTCCCTCTGACTCAAGGGGTTAATAACTAGTTGTTACAATAATACTGTGCTTCAATAACTATGGTCTATAAGTGTGTAAAAAAGTTAATAATTACACTTCTCCATCAACAATTAAAAAATTATGAGAAATAAAACTTCTAATAACTAATATTCCACAAGGTGGCAGCAGTGTTGTTCAATGAAGATTTTGCATGTCACTCATTTGATAGTGGAGCACTTTGGTACTTTTAATACATTCTCATTAGTCGTGGCAATCTCTTTGACTGTTAGATTAGTAATTTATTTCTTCACAATAGGCCAGAGCTGCCAAGAAGCTAAAAAGAATGTATGTTCACTGCAACATGCCAACGAACCTTACCGAGAGTACAGATGATCTTGCAGCATCAGCAAACACTTATGTTGATCTGTGACTACCACAAAGCTTGTACAAAATATTCTCATTGATTTCCAATTCTCTTGACTGTATTCCTTGTTTGTGTCCATGCATGTTACAGTAGCTACTTTCTGTGGTACTTTTAACAGCCAAAAAGCCAACAAAGTACTCATTTAAAGATGCACCAACTGACAGTTGATGATCCTCAACATTACCAACAGTCACTCTATGTGACTCAAGTCAGATGTACAGTCAAGATAGCTGAAAAGTATCAAGCACTTGACTTTGTCTCTTATTATGTTGAGAATTTTTTCTGAAATTAGGGCAATTACCCTTTCCAAGGTGTTTGCATTGTTACATGTTTTTACTGCACTTCAACAACAAAGGTCTTAATCACACAAGAAGGTTATATGAATTACACTAGTTCACCAACAAGAAAAAATTGAGACAAATCTATCTGTGATTCTTCACTCATTACAGGATTGAATTTTGTGATTAGTTTAATCTGACCAAGAAAGATTATTACAGAACCATATTGTATTTTATTTACTTGATTATGTCTTGCAACAATACAATTTTATTAGACTTCGTTCAATGCATAATGACAGCTCAGTCTTGAGGTGAATATGGAAAGGATCCACTGGTCATTTGAGAACCTCTTGTTTATTTTTATGTAATTTTTCCATTAATTACAAAACTATACCGGGTAATCCACAGACCTCAGTAATTACACCAGTTAAAACAATGTCAACAGATATGTAGCTAACTTGTTTTATTATCTTTTGAATTATTGTCAACAATCTTATTTGGATGTTTGAATAGATGGGTACAAACCTGCAGCTCCTGTCATGCCATGAGAGAAAAAAAGTAACATGCAACGAGACTCCAACAATTACTGAAGAGGAGGACATGATGCTCGTGTAAGGTCACTGGGAACCAGATACCCATCATTGTAATTAGCAATATCATTCAGGTAGTTGACAGCCTCAGTGTACTGGTCTGTCGGTGTGATGTTAGTATGTGTGTGAAGGCGATGATAATGATCCACGAGGGTATTGCACAAAACCTTCTGGCTCACTGGGTCGTCGGTTACAGTTATCATCACCAGTTGTAAGGCCTCCACCAGTGACTGAAATGATTCAAATATTCAGCAAAATGTGTTGTTAATCCAATTCTGGTTTAAATATTGCAATTTACCGCTTTATTTGAAGTCTTTAATTTTGTTTTGTCCTTGAATTTTGTGCACAGAATTATAACATCAACTTAAATCCTAACTAATGGAAATGTATGGGTAAACATTATCAAATAATAAGCAACTGTGAAAACATTTGGTTATGATTAATAGGATATCAAATTCAATAAATGATTGGTGATGATGACTAAACTCCAACTTTTTACTGAAATTTAGTTAACAAAATATTAAAAGATTATACAAGTACATACTTTGTATCTCTGTTTACGGTTTTCACCATATAGATAAATTATATTTATCTTTATCCTTCTTAACACCACAGTAAGGAGGCATATCACATGTCCCAACAGGACGAAGAAACAGCACTAATAGAGACTGAATGTGAAAAGGACCTGGATGTGTATGTTGACAACAAACCGAAGTTCTCAGGCCATTACCAGTGTGAGAAGAAAGTGAATCAAGCAATACTAGTAGGCCTTATAAGAAGGTTGTTCAGATACCTAGACGGTCCGTCCCTTGAAACGCTCTTCAAGAGTGAGATGCTTCCCTGTCTGGTCCCTGAGAGAGGCTAGAGACTATCAGCAGACTGAAAATGTCCAAAAGAGGGCCACCAGACTGGTGCCTACACTATGGTACCTGTTACCCAGAGAGATTAGAACACCTGCAACTGCCTAGCTTATACTACAGATGAGCAAGGGGTGACCTAACTGAAGTTTATAAACATTTCTGAGGGCACTGCTCAGTCGAGTGTCCGTACCTGGAGTTGGCGGACACCTGCCCAGCGAGGGGTCACAGCTCAAGGTTGAAGACACCACAAATCCAGAAAACTGTGAGGGCAAACTTTTTTGGAGTGAGAATTGTAAACTCCTGGAACAACCTGCCAGAGTGTGTTGTGACGGCACCAAGTGTGCAGGTACAAATACATTCAGTAGCCAGTACATGCCCAGTACTTGCCAACAGTACACAAACAGATGTGATCGACCACCAAAGCGGCTAACGAATCGATCAGTGGTGAAGAGGATAAAAGTAAATGTGCAAAGATTACTTTCCTTCATTTTATACAGTCAAATCTACATGCTGTGTTATAGCTAATGTTCCAAGAAGTGCCAATGGAAACACTTGAAGGTGTGGAGAAGCTAACTAGAGTGGAATAAATTCCACACATGTTGTCTAATTTTGTCTAATTTTAAATGTTAAAAGTTATTATGATGTAGAAATTGATTTTTATAGTTATGATCTATCTTGCCTAATGTTTGAACTTACCATTTTGGAAATGGGTGAAGAGTAGAAAGACAAGGAAATATCAATCAGTCCCAATTAGAAATATTAAAATGGGGCTTTTATCACCTAAAGGCTTTACAGATAGTCCAGGCTAGAAACAGACTCAACATGACAATACCACCTTGTCATGTTTCATGATTACAGTACAGAGGTGATATTATGTATCAGTCTTTCCAATCATACTCCTGTCCATTAATTCCGAGAGGGAAAATGGTCCCTCAAAGGCACAAATGTTTCTATTCAAGGCCAGAGAGTGAAGGTAGCTCTTGCTGATGCACTTATACAGCTCAATTAAGTGTCTTGCTCTTTGGTAGTATTATGTGGGCGTGAGTGCCAGCGTCAGTCTGTAGGCCTTATTTAGACATTCCTAATCAATTAACTGTTTTTGGTATTTCCCAAAAGACCAAGCATAATTACATTACTTCACATGTGGTAGCACAATGCCTTGAAGGTGTTTTATTAGATTATCTAAACTTTTTCGGAGTGAGGGTTGTAAACTCTTGGAACAATCTACCAGAGAGTGTTGTGACGGCACCGAGTGTAAGCTCTTTCAAGACAAGACTTGACCAACACTGGAGCAGATTCAGGTACATTCAGGAGCCGGTGCATGCCCAGTATTTGCCAACAGTGCGTGACAGAGACGTGACCGATCGCCCGGGCGGCTAGCGAGCCAATCTTTTGGTGAAGAAGATAAATGAAAAGGAAAAGTAATCAGAGACGTGACCGATCGCCCAAGCGGCTAACAAGCCGATCAGTGGCGAAGAGGATAAAAGTAAAGGTAAGTGTAAGACTTTTATAGTTGTACCCTGTACAGTAGCACAGTACTCCAAGTAGCTTACGTATTTGCAATGCTAACCTTTTCACAATGACCTGAGAACTTGCATTTCTGATCATTTACCTGGTAGTTTCAATTTGGGCAATGTCTCCATTATCTTGGGACATGGTACAATCATTCCAAAAAGTATCTTTTTGGAGGGGTCCAATGAATTTAAAAATGAACACCACAATTCCTGTTGTCTCAGTTGGGTTGTCAAAATCCTTTTTCCATTGTTATATTGTCTCTCACAAAATCATAAAGATACTTTTTGGAGCGAGTGTAAATGTTACTGTTACTATGGCCAAGATTCATCCTTTTGTATTTCTCTGTGTAATATACCAGTACAGTGGGGTATGCTGTAACGAATGGATTCTACTACGAATATTCCTATAACGAACGGTTTTACCTATAAAATTGAGAATGCTATAACGAACGAAACTCCTACAACGAACATTATTATTTTTATTTTTTATTTTTATTTTTTTACTAATTTATTGTTTTTTTATTACAAGTATTAATGATATTCTTTATTTCAGGGGTTTAGATGCATATTTATGCACTTTTTTAAAATTTTTATAATTTTATATTATATTTTTCAGTGCTAAGTGGTTGTATTTGGGGGCCTGGAATGGATTAATCCTATAACGAACAAGGTTCTAGAACCAATTAGATTCGTTATAGCATACCTCACTGTATATTTGAAAAGAGTGCTGGTTGTCAAATTCAGCCTGGAATCAGTGAAATAAAGCTGTATGCCAAAAATATTTTTGAATAATGAAGCCTCTCTTAAATTATGGAATGGAAACTTTTCTTAAGGATGGATGGATAAGGATAACACTATATGACCCTTTGCCCATTGAATGTGATTACAGAGTAAAGGTTATCAGAATTTTCTTTTGATGCAACCATTTTCCCTTGTAAAATCTCTACTGGAAAAAATGCTACCTATACAAAACAAAGTGATGACTAGGTACAGTACATGGGTGGAAAGTGCAGCAATGTGAGAGAGAATGTGGTCCCACTCAACAGTCCCTCCGTCACCTCCACCTGCTCTCTGCCAGGCATCCTGTGCTGTTTCTTCAGCCACACCCATGGCCTCACACACTTCTTGTAGGTTCTCCCATGTAACACTATCCTCACTACTCAGCTGGAAATGGAATGTGTGGTTTGATGGGATACAAAAATATTGAATTTTCTGATGCCAATCACTGGCTGAGTAAAAGAATTGAATTTACTTTATATTTTCATGTAATCAAGTGTAGGAGTGTTACTTTACAGTCAATGGTGTCATGGGCACAGTTACACTAATAATATATTAACACCCACACATTTATATTATGCTCCGTTGTCTATAAAACATGTGTGAAACGAGCTAGTTATTTTAGAGATGGTACCTGATAAATAATGACCATTGGAAGTTTAACTTCCCCAGTGAAATTATGTGTGGTTACCTTGCATCCAATGGTTCATACCTGATGGTTTAACACTCGCAGGACTCCAGGAGATATACCACTCTCAGATTCTGGAATGGGGAACTCCAGTCGGTCCTTTACAGGTGGAGATGTTCCATTACTCATACTCCTGACATAAGCAGCAATGGAAGACAATTAGATGGCATTGATATAACTGTATTTGGTAATAACTGCACAGTACATGGAACAGGTATTACAGTACAGAACAGTATAGGCATTTGTATATGAAAAAAAGTTAAAATGGGTTCCATTGGCCTGAGGCTAAGTAGGGACTGGTGGACAAAGCACAATGTACTGTTTACAAGTATTAGGCCTTTGGTACACAAGATGGCTATGGCTAGCATGGCACTTGACTACCTTCACTTCTCCAATCTTTTTTTTTTTTTTTATTGGCCCCTACATCCTTGTGTAAGGTGAAGCGCAGAACCGTTTACAGCGCCCAACAGGGAAGCATGCTAAGTTCATGCTTGCCTTATGTCTCATGAGTTAAGGGCGTAGAAGCCTGAAGAGTCAAGGGTGTAGAAGCCTGAAGAGTCAATGGTTTATGTCTAAGCAAGTTATTGGAAGCTCCAACAACTTGTCCCTGAATACGAATTCGCAACTTTCGATTTACAGCAGGTACCTACTTTGCTGCTAGGTGAACAGGGACCAAGGGGACTAGGTAGAGTGTCCAAACAACTTCCGCCGGCCCGGGAATCGAACCCGTGACATCTTGCTTGCGAGGCAAGAGTGGTATTGCTCTACCTCCAGCGCTCCCCAATCTTGGTTATGAACTCATTTACAGCTGGGTGAACTTGGGGTGCCCTGGGATTGAACCAGTGATCCCTAAGACAGGATAGGAGGAAAGTGCTGTATCCACACAGCCCCAATTATCTATTTTATATCTGAAAATCTAAGATGAGTATGTCTTCAGACTATAATTAATATTAGTGTAACTTTTATACTTTTATAACAATACTGTACAGAGTTAATAATTACCTGAAGTAAGCAGCTGACCAGATGAGGAGATCTTTGGGCTGGGTACGAATGGCAGCCTTCGTGTAATCTTTGAGAATGCGAGGCAGCTGGGCAGGAACCCTTGCCTCTCCCACTGTTGCCACAACCATCCTTACTCACAGAACACCTGTTAAGTTCAGTGCAACTAGGCTGTATTAAAAAATTACACAATGAAAACAAAGACTATCCAACTTGTACATTATTTTTACTAAATGAAAGAATTCCATAACATTAAAGGCCCATCAGGGGCAATACAGATGCTACACATTGAACAATGAACCTGGTACACAAGGAGGCAGTGTGACTGGCAGTGCACTTGACCTCTCACTTCTCTAATTGTAATGTGTAGTGACTATGTCAATACAACTCCATCTGCCTGGCAAGATGAGCACAAGTCAAATGATGACGTCACAGACAACATGGAACTTTTGAAGACCTCTCACGGATCAGTACCACGGCCTATACAGATCAATCAGAGAGCTTGTACAGTACCAGTGGGTAGGCCTATACAGAAAATTCAGTGAGCGCGCAGTGCCAGCCTACCCAAATCTTGAGTCGCAGCTTGGGTACTTAGTAGCCAGCTTGGCTGTCCTGGGCATTCCTGTTCCAGTCAAGATCACACAATATCAGCACTACACAATACACATACAATGAACACCACACAATGATCATCACACAATATCAGCACCACACAATGAGCATCACAGAATATTAGCAGCACACAATAAGCATCACAATATTAGCAGCACACAATGAGCACCATACAATAATAGCACCACACAATGATCAACAGAATATTAGCACCACACAATGATCAACAGAATATAAGCACCACAAAATATTAGCACCAAACATATATAAGCAGCACACAATGAGCATCACACAATATCAGCACCACACAGAGCATCACAGAATATTAGCACCAGCCAATGAGCACCACACAATGAGCATAAACTGTCAAAGCTAAAGGTTCATATGAGTCCCGTCCCTGACGTGGTGCATCCCAGAGTGCTAAGAGAGTTGTGCAATGAGCTTGCTGAGCCCCTGAAGATTCTGTTCTGTAAATGCCTGGATGAACAAAAGGTCTCCAGTGATTGGAAAATGGCTTATGTGAGTCCTATCTTCAAGAAGGGGGATCGTCGTCACTCCACGAATAACTATAGACAGGTGAGCCTGACCAGCATAATATGTAAAGTACTACGAAACAACCTTGTAAGGGATTTCCAATACGGTTTTATGCCGGGGCGCTCTTGCTTAACACAATTACCACAATTACTCAAGGTACTGGATATTTGGACCCAAATTCTGGAACAGGGTGGTAATATCGACAATATTTATCGACATTTTGTCAAGGCTTTCGACAGTGAACCCCAGGAAAGGCTGAAAATAAAACTGGAAGAGTACGAGATTCGGGGAAATGTCCTGCCATGGATTGGAAACTTTCTCCATGACCACAAGCAGTGTGGTGATTGATGGCATGAAATTGTGGGGTACGTGTTATTTGGTTCACACTCAGAATGGGATGGAGAAAGGAAACTCACAATGTGCTCTCTGTATACATATTATATTGGATGTACAATGCAGCTTGGTGGCTGGTGCTGGGAGGAGGCAGCATGGTTACAAGCGTGATGTAGAGAGAGCTGGTTGGTGAGGGTGCTCAGAGGAGGACAAGCTTGTGGGTCGCCATGCTCGCCGGCAGGAGCGAGGACCGCCAGGCAAAAGCGGAGGAGGTGACAATATATTAGACCTAGTATTAACAAATAAAGAAAATATTATCAGAGATATCACAGTAGGGGAAGAACTAGGTAACAGTGATCACAGAGAAATCAGGTTCACCATAAATTGGGAAACGAAAAACAATGACAATATGGTCAGAGTCCCAAACTTTTGGTTGTCGGATTATCAGGGTTTAAGAAGGTACCTAGGTGAGGTCACCTGGGAACAGTCACGTCAGTCACCAGTAGGAAGGGGTGAGGTCATAGATGACACAACAATTGATCATGACACAACAATTGATCATGACTATAATATATTCACTAGTATACTACATAAAGCACAAGAACAAAATATACCATACAGAAAAATTAGGTCAAATAAGAATGAGCCAAGGTGGATGGCAAGAAAACTTAAACATGACATAGGAATAAAGAAAGGAATATATAAGAAATTAAAGGGAGGGGAGGAGCAGCTCAGAAATAGGTATAATGAACTATCTAGGAATGTTAAGAAAAATGTAAGGAAAGCAAAGAGAGACTATGAAATCAAAATAGCAAGAGAATCCACGGCGAATCCCAAGGGATTTTTCCAGGTATATAGAACAAAGGTCAAGGACAAAGTTGGGCCTTTAAAGTCAGGGAAGGGAGAAGTGATAAATGGCAGTGAAGAAATAAGCAAGCATTGGACAGCTACTTCTTATCAGTTTTCACAGAGGAAATTCTCGATGAAATTCCAGAGGTGGAACTGATATTTAAGGGAAAAGAAGAAGAGAAATTAAAGAATATCACTATCAGAAAAGAGGATGTTCTTAAGAAGATAAATAAACTAAAGAAGACAAAATCCCCAGGGCCGGATGAAATTTTCCCTCGAGTCTTGAAAGAGTGTAGGGAACAGATTAGCGGACCCCTCGTAAACTTATTTACAAAATCATTAAACACCGGAGTTGTGCCAGACTTGTGGAAACAGGCAAATGTAGTACCCATATTCAAAAAGGGAGACAGAGCATCAGCGTCAAATTACCGGCCGATCAGTTGGGCTTCAGTAGTGGGGAAATTTCTTGAATCAATTATAGCAGATAACATCCGATCGCATTTAGAGAAAAGCAAATTAATCTACGACTCTCAACAGGGGTTTACAAAGGGAAAATCTTGTTTAACAAATCTGCTGACATTTTTTAGGAAAGTCTTTGAGGTAGTAGATAATGACGAAAATTACGATGTTATTTACTTAGACTTTAGCAAAGCATTTGACAGAGTACCACATCAGAGGCTTCTGAGAAAAATTAAGGCTCATGGTATCGAGGGGAAAGTTTTAAATTCGATAAAATCATGGCTCACCGATAGAACGTAGAGGGTCAGCGTAGATGGTGTTAAATCTGAGTGGGGTCGTGTAACCAGTGGGGTTCCCCAGGGGTCAGTACTAGGCCCACTCTTGTTCATAATCTACATAACTATCTAGATACTGGGATCAGCAGTGACATAAGCAAGTTTGCGGATGACACCAAAATAGGGCGGCAGATTAATTCAGGGCAGGATGCAAATGCATTACAGGAGGATCTAAATAAACTGCAGGGGTGGTCTGAAAAAGGGCAAATGAAATTCAACACCAGCAAGTGCAGCGTACTTAATATTGGAAGAACAAATACTGTCAATGTATACAGCCTTAACAACATCAACCTAGAGAAGTTGACTTGTGAAAGAGACCTAGGGGTACTTGTAAGCCCGGACCTACGGCCTAGAAAACAGTGCGAAGAATGACAAAAATGATTCCGGGACTTAGAAACCTTCCATATCAGGATAGGTTAAAGAAACTTAACTTGCATTCCCTAGAAAGACGAAGAGTGCGGGGAGATATGAGAGAAGTATTTAGGTGGGTGAAAGGAATCAATAAAGGGGATATAGATAAAGTTCTTATAATATCCGAGCAGGATAGGACTCGGAGCAATGGATTCAAGTTGGATAAGTTTAGGTTTAGGAGGGAGATAGGAAGGAACTGGTTTACAAATAGGGTGGTGGACGAGTGGAACAAGCTTAGCAACCTTGTAGTAACTGCTGGAACGCTGGAAAGTTTCAAAGGGCAACTCCACAATTATCTCAACATACAATACCTCCTGTTAATTCACAAGGAACGACATGGCACTTTTAACTCTCATTCAGTGGTTCAATACTTAACCTGGGATATTATATTTCTGCTAGTTATCCCCCAAACAAGATAACATAATACTTAGGCCTATGTAACTTTGAGGAGTGCCCCAGGGTAACGCTGGTCTCTACAACAAATGAAGATCGCTGTTAGGGGTTGGTTGTAGACCGACACACGCTCAGGGAGTGGGCGCCTGATTTGCAGGAAACGGACTTCCCAGTTCAGTCCTGTCGAATCAACGGCATCGTCCAACCCGGTTACCGCCCCACGTTAGCCGATGAGTATTCAGCTCAACACACTGGAGAGACGTTGAGGAAGTCACGAATGCGTGATTCTCCCTCGTGTAGAGGTATATACGTGCACCCGCGGGGCAGCTTGGGCCTCCGTATTCATACCAGAAGGGTCGATCTTACCAACAACATAACTTCTCTATCATTTTGGATCACTGTATACTTAGTTATGAACTCCGGTGTTCTTGATCAGGGTAATTTCCTATGTCTATTCATATAATCTAATCAGAGGTTGAGCGTGCCAGGAAAAGGTGGAATATACACGTTGATAACATTAATTCTGCAAGCTCAGGCTTGAGGCGAACAAGGCGCTATTCACGGGGAGGCGCTAGATCTTGGAGATTATACCAGTTGACAGAATAGTTCAGGAGATTAATGACTTTCTTAAATAGACAACTGACACTAACTAAACTATAAACATCAGATTCTCTGATGTCGGGGCGACAAATGATATAACTTCAGGCGCGATCAGAAACTCATGGATACTCCCACGGACGACATAAAATACGCCGCTCTAGCTGGCAAACTTGACACTCACTTACTTGACATGTTCTACTACCGATAAGGACAGTTGAAGCGTTCTACCCCACTCACAATGGATCTTGAATGTTCCAACTGTAAACAGACATATCTAAGTTGACTCAAAACAAGGGTGTTCTCTCTCACACTCAAATTCATTTTATAGAGAGGTTGGTTTCAGTAAGTCAGAGAAAATGGGATAACGGAGGACTGAGGTGTCTTGAAGTGATGAGAAAACGGACTCCTCAGATGGAGGACTCAAACGAAAGCCGAGTTACATGTTTTGTGGGCTATTGAGCGTAATATGAATCATTTGATTTTGGCGCTAACTGACGTGTAAGACCGTGGTCGTTACATCATCAGCAAATTTACTTATGTTGCTGTCTACGTCGATATCTATGTCGTTTATGTATATAATAAATAATAATGGTCCGAGTACTGAGCCTTGGGGAACTCCACTAGTGACGTTGATGAAAAGAATGTTAATAGATTAGTTAGACAAACGCCCGCTTGTGAAGCCATGTTGTGAATCATTGATCAACTTGTACTTCTCAAGGTGATTTCGAATAGAGTTAGAAATGATTGCTGGGTGGACACAGACTCTTTCTGTGAGCTTATTATCACCCTGAGACACGAGGTGCTCACCGTCAATAACTAGCTTACGACATGTTAACAGCCAACATACAGTACCCATCGCCACCTATCTGGGACTCACAGCTCCTTCCCAAATTTCAGCTATATATATCTTCAAAACAGTGGAAATACATAAGGAATCCACACACACAGTACGTCTTAAACCTCTCAGCAGAATGAACGCCACTCACGGTAATTTCGAAAAAGCGTGTGCCTTATGTACCCTACCCTCCACCCCCAAAGACCGGCGTTTTGTACAGGTTGCTTTTGGTTAGGTTAGAACATGTCTACGTATTAATTTCAAATTTGTATTCATCGTTGCGTCACTAAATAATTGGTATTTTTGCAGTTTACACAACTTTCCTACCCAAAATCTATTATCATATTCGAAAAATGGCGTATAATAACGGAGATAGCGCATGCCAAATCTTTCTCTATTTTCTTCCATTAATCTTCCGCCATTATCGCCTACTCGACCTCCCGCTCAGCGTGTTTCCTTCATAAATCGTCATGCGCATGCGTTCCCGAACACGTCACGAGCCGTTCCGTACACGTCACGCGGCCAATCAAAAGCAGTATTTTTTGCCCAATCAGATTCGATTGTAATTTTGGGTCTCATTTCGAAATTCAAATTCATTTCCGACCATGGAAATCTGCGATGGGTGTTACTTCAATTATATGGAGTTGATTGCGCGTTTTTGGAAAAGAAAACGAACATGCTATAGCATTTTTTAGATCTCATGGTGTTCTCCCGACCTCAGTAAAGTGTCCTAAGTGTAAGAACGAGTGTAAATATCGTCAAGACCAACATAGTTCACATCAGCGTCAGCCACCTACACTGATCTCAGAATCCGACGCCGAACCAGAACCAGGCCTATAAGGTAAGAAATAAGTGATTCCATCATATGATGAGAGTTAGGTTAGGTTATCCCCAAAAAGGTTCGGTTTATATGTTTTGTAGTGTTTTTGGGTGTATTTTGTATTCGCTTGGCCACGATTTTTGTGGGAAAATGACCCACCCAAAACCACCGATAACAAAAAAAAACAGGCAATTTCCGACGGAAATCAAGGTCAGAACCAATCAAAACACACAAAAACACACTAGAAAAACACAGTTTTGACTAGCTAACAGAGTTGTGTGAGCTACTGCATATTAACCGATTTCTTAATTGACTCAAATGTTTACACTAGTATGGGGATTTTGTTTTCAGTTTTCATAAAGAACAGATTGTACCCGATTTGACATTGTCTTGTGGCTACAAAATTGATTTCCACGTTGCTTATTGATTTATGATAATTAATAACAAATAATCTTACCTTTAGAGTACTTGAGGTACTATCAAGTAAGTTAATAAGTGGTGTAAAATAGCCACGTCCAACGCCACTCGCTGGCGTCTCTGGAATGTGTGACGTCACGAGTCAATACTGCGCATGAGAACCGACCGACCATCATGTCAATGATGTTATGTAATTGTACCCCTAAACCTTTTCATTCCATTCATATATATATATATATATATATATATATATATATATATATATATATATATATATATATATATATATATATAGTCTGTACTCACCCCTGAAGATGTGAATTACACCAAACGCTTGGGAGCTTCGTTTTTCTTGTTTCCTTGTGGCTATCAGCATATATATATATATATATATATATATATATATATATATATATATATATATATATATATATATATATATATATATATATATATATATATATATATATATACGTGTATACTGCATATTATATGCAAGTAAATCACTGTAGGTGCGCGTGATCCAGGTATATGCTGATAGCCACAAGGAAACAAGAAAATACGAAATGTGTGTGTGTGTGGAAATCATGATGGTGAATTTTATATAAAATATATATTACGAGTGTGTAATTGTAGTCTACTAACTAAGTAGCCTATTGCCCCAACAGGAATCCTTCATCCGTATTAATGAAATATTCTCATGTACTACTTGTGCACCGGAACCTGAGAAGTTAAGAAATGTGTCCGCCAAACATTAGAAAACGCAATTTTTCTCGGTCAGCACCCACCTCCTACTCCACAAAGAATGAAAAACTTAAAAGATTCCTCCCTCCCTCCCGCCTAAAAAAAATTTACTCTCCTTTGTAGAAAAATATCGTCTAGTCCAGTGGTTCTCAACCTTGTTTGCCCCATGCACCCCTTTCACCATATGTCAGAATGTCATTCCCCCCTCCTTTCCAAGATTGTCTGCCTCAAAAAGTGCATTCCAAATAATATGCATATAATACTGAAAATCCTTTATTTTTTCCATATTAGTATCAGTTTTCCCCCCCCCCTGAAAACCTGAGGGGGGAAATTCCCCCCTGGTTGAGAACCCCTGGTCTAGTCGATTTACCTCACTTTTAACCTAACATGCAGAGAACTAAACGACAACATAATACACATTAAAAATATCCATTCATATGAGGCTGTTTGTGTTTTGCAAAACTGTAGGATTTCATTGCAAATAATTGTCTTGTGTACTTAAAAGGCTTGCTAGGTGACAAATTTTCGTAAAATTTATGATTACCAATTTTCAAATAAAAAAAAATAATTAAAAGGGGTGCAGAAGTTTTAAGGAAATTATTTTTCTCGGTCTAGAAAACAATCTCAAGATCTCATATGGACAATACCTTTTGCAAACAGCATCATGCACTGCGAGCTTTATATATTGTTTTACCGTGCATTTATGCAATATACAGTAGTTTCTCAGATGGTACACATGACTCCTTCATCCCATTGGGACATGTGATACGCCTCCTTACTGTTGATAGGACTTTACTTTTTTTTTACGCGCATTAGCCCACTCGGGCACAGGTCACATCAGGACCTGGGGGGTTAAAAGATAATAATAATAATAATAATAATAACAATAAATGCATAAATAAACATTATAATAAATAAAATAGTAATAAAAATAATAACCATAAATAATACAAAAATAAAACAAATGAATCAAAAGTGAGAAACGACATACATTATGGGTGTTGTGTTACCAGTAAAAGAAACAATTGAGATCCTGCAATTGTATTTGAGGCAGAAAGTCAGATCAGCAAACTGGGACTTGGTCACTTTATGCATCCTAGGTGAAATAAGTTGATGTGGCATCTTCAGGTGATCTCTGTGCACGACACCAGCCGACCAACCCTTCTCTGCTCCATTGTAAATCTAACGATCTGTATTTGAAAGTTTACTTTGTGAATACAAGATTCTTCGTAAAAAAAAATAAGACATTAGTCATGAGTAAACTGATGCACTATTTCCTTTTATTAATTAGTTTGAACGTTTGAAAATAAGTCGTCATACTGTATATTTATAATGCGACCCAGTGTCAACCTAGCAAAGATGATTACCAGTGATTTTGTAAAGATCCCGTTACTCTCAATTCAAAATCAAGAATTTTGAACGGCAAATATTTCTAACACGGAAAAAAAATATTTCCCAATTTTCTAGATTATCCATATAGCCTCACAACTATGTACAGCCTCGTTCAAGATTCTTCAAACGCTGTTGGAGAACGCTGGCCACTCAAGGCCGTTTGTTCTATGTACGTCAATAAAATTATGAATAAATGTAAGTGATGGCGATTGGTTACTAAGTAGTTCCCGTTGCTTAATTTGCTGGTTGGGCTTTGTTGTTTTGTATTATATTATACTGTAGTGGATTCCTCCCCTTCAAACGCCGTTTGTCGCCGACTAGCCGACCCTCGAATTCCCCAGTGTATGCCTCGTGGTCTAGGTTAGCAACCAGCGCCGCCTTACATGACTGAGGTCAACTATTAAGCCACGCCTACCCAGGGCCGGATTCAGGAGTGGGCAAAGTGGGCAGCTGCCCAGGGGCCTCCACATATCAGGGCTGGTCGACTTAAAACCACATGAATGACTCCTGTCATGTCTCACTTTTGTGTGTGTTGGGAATTTGTACACTCAATAAATATACAGTTAATTAAAAATTTCGCAATGTTCTAATTTCCTCAATATAACTGCATATGGCTACAAACTTCTCCAAAGAAGTGTTCAAATTTCAAAAATTTCCCGGGGGGGCTTACAACGCCCCCCGGAACTCCCAGATGTTTAGGCTCGCTTCACTTGCCACCCCACCCTCTTGGGTAGTTATAATGAGGGAAGCCTCCACAGAGAGGCTGCCCATGGGCCTCCACAGGTCTAAATCCGGCACTGCGCCTACCTCCGCTGAAGATGTCTTGAATAAAGACGAAAGCTTAGGTGCTCCGTTGTTTCCCTTTTCCCGTGTGATTTTATCAAGATATATATATATATATATATATATATATATATATATATATATATATATATATATATATATATATATATATGCAAGTAAATCACTGTAGGTGCGCGTGATCTAGGTATATGCTGATAACCACAAGGAAAGAAGAAAACACGAAGTTCCCAAGCGCTTTCGTGTAATTCACATCTTCAGGGGTGAGTACAGACTAAGGAGAAGTACAAAACAAGGTGTATATATACAGAGGGGGTGAGATCAGGTCCACAATGGTCAGGTATTTTTAACCAGGTGAGGTTGGGTCACCTTACCCTCTGACCTGTCTACCGACCGTTGCGGTGCTTTTTAAAGATTAGTATGGTCATTACCTAATACCAGACCATTGTGGACCTGATCTCACCCTCCTCTGTATATATACACCTTGTTTTGTACTTCTCTTAGTCTGTACTCACCCCTGAAGATGTGAATTACACGAAAGCGCTTGGGAACTTCGTGTTTTCTTCTTTCCTTGTGGTTATCAGCATATATATATATATATATATATATATATATATATATATATATATATATATATTAATGTAATTTTTCACACTTGCATGGGTTAGCCCCGATTAACCGAGGGCAACTACTGGGTAAAACCAGAACAGGCCCCCCCCCCCTCCCCAAATGCAAACCCAGGTTGCCAGACCAGAAATAACAGCAATGCTCAAGCAATATGCACAGTTCTGGTGACCCAACTGCCATCAGGTATGTTGATGCAGTTTTATGCCCAAATGCCCTTCATAACACCATCCCATAGGGTGGGAACAGCTGGCAAGGCAGAATAACTCCCAAGGTAATCAGACTACCCTACAAAGTATAATACTGTAATATCAAACATCTTCATCTCTGGTATTTAAAAAATATGAATCAACTAGTGTTTCAGATATGACTTCACTGCTACTGCTGTATGAAATCTGGCCAGTTATTCTCTAAGTTTATGTTTCAAAGAACTAAAAAATCTAAATACCATACCCCATAGTCGAGCAAACACAGCTTTTAAGACCACTAAGTTGTTCGCCCTCCGTGCTTTACTGTTGTCCCTCGTTTAGCTTGTAACCGCCATGAATACCAATGGAAGACTTCACACTCTTACAAGCATTAATAATACAACTTCTGATATGAGAATTTGTGGGAATGATTCAAGATTTTGGTGCTTTGCTAAGCAGGGCAGATCATAAAGGGTTTTAAGAGGTTCGTAAAGACAACTCGTGAATACTATAAAGCTTTAACTTTGGTAAAAAGAACAAAATTCCTTATCACATGCAGATGACGATGCCTACCCAATTTTGTGAGAACAGGATTTCTAATTTTCTAGTTATTGTTGACAAGAAAACATAAAACAGAAAAGCCCTTCACGTACGGGTCTCAATGGAAACAAGTGTAAATGGACCAACAACTGTCAATCAATACCAATCATGAACTAAAATTTTTGACATCCCAAGTAAAATCTAGTAAATACTCTCTAGTTATTGATATAACATAAGATTATCATTAACACTAAATACTATACAGTGCATACTACACAAATTCTTGTAGACAGGAGTCTCTCAGCCACACCTAACAAATACATACCCTAATTCTCCCAAGGAGCAGGGCGATGAGAACAATATAGCAGCACATTTAGTACAGAAGGTGAAAGAGGATTATTACTGCAGTGTTGGAAAAAGACAAGGAGACTAAAATTGGGTAATACCCATTGAGTATAAGGGGGATGGGTTGTCAAGAAAAGCACCAAATGTTACAAAATATGTTAGTTTATACATTGTACATGAAATACATGGTCAAAGGCATGAAACATTTCTTAGTGCAACAGTCTGACAATTGTCACAATTACAATTTGTAAAAAAAAAAAAAAAAGGAATAAAACAGAATTTCAGAGTGATGTTTATTGGTCAGTGCTACAGCCGCAGGCAATGACAGCGAAGTAGTGAAAAAGGACATCCAAACTCCAAGGCTACTAATTATGGAATGATTTACTCAGTCACTCTATGCCTAAAAGTGTTGAAGAGACATTTTACCCAGGTTGATGGGAATCCTGAAAACTGAAAATCTTGGGTTTAACCCAAAGGCTGAAAGACCCTATTGTTGAACCAAAAACACTCCTACACAGGATGGAAATATTCTTGATTAAAAATTGATCATACACACTTCCTTCTGTTACACTTACGCACGTGCTTAATATTCGAGTACAAAACGAATCAACCATCTAACATCATAATTCTCATAAATAAGAGATGTAACCTCCAGTCCACCATATTCAACTTCATCTAATGTATAACATGTATTTGGTAAAAGAAAATAGGGAAAATAAAGCTATAGAGTACATAAAAATAACAATGTCACAAAGGTTTAAAAACAGTTAAATATTTAAGTGCTTACTAAATATGTTACTATAAACATCTAGTGATGACATAGCTTGAGAAGCAATAAATGGATTACAAGAGATTATGTAGCAACTTCATACAACACTAAGGCATCGTTTCAGTTTTATAGGATAATTTTCCTGTTTTTTTTGGTAAGTCTTTTTTTTACACAACTTTTCATTAGCATTTGACATACTGTTTTGAGAACACTTTGGTGTTAACCAAAAATTCCAAAATCTTGAGCCACCAATGGCTAAAACTCACTGTTTTCCACTGCCTTACTCCAAATCCAGCTTCATACTGCCTATGTATAGTTACCTTATCCCACAGCACTTATTAAAGCCTTGTTCCCAGGAGTTCTGACCGTCTCTGCCTCTACAGGCACACACAACAGCAGCAACAGGAGAGAATAATAGGATTAAATACCCATGAAGCTTAGAAACAAGACAGTCTCCTCAGAGCAAGGGTTCAATTTCATCCATTGTTTTCATTTCATTTAACTTGTAAATTAGCTGTATCATATCCCAGCAATCTCTTCAATTTGTCTGTAACAATCTCTCAACATATTCACTATCATTATTCCTTGTTCGTCTATCAATTAAACTTTGATGACTTCATTAGGCATCCTCCTCCTCTTCATCATCCTCTTCTGTTTCCTGCAGCCAAGTAAGCCATTGATTCACCTGAAAATAAAACAAATTAAATTATATACATATTGATAAAACCAATGTAGTCCTAAAACATAGGTTTTCAGAAAAGGTAACAATTACAAATATTTGTGATAATTTTAACCAACTTTCTGAATATCACACCAGAAACAGCTTGTAAAAAGCGACAAATCTTAAATGTGCCCTGACTGGCGCCTGATTACCAAGTTGGAGACTATAAATTGATGCTCTTCAGACAAAACAGTTGCTCTCGGATGCAGCATATAAAGCTTCACACTGAGTGATGGTCTAGCTCCCAATTGAAGCCTTACAACTTCATTTCCGAATATATAGTTATGACAGACTATAAAGTGTCCACAATGAAAATCCTACAATATAGCTAATCAAGGTGAAGATAACTGCACCCCAGCCAGTTTCCACTGTCTGGTAACTCTTGATCAAACTCACCTGGAATAGTGCCTTTCCTTTACCAAGGTAGTCCTGGCTCAAGTCTTCCTTCCAGGTCAGGAAGGCATCCTCTTCTATTATTTCCAAGTCATACAAATTCACAAACCACCTTAGCAGCATGCCTGTTTAGGAGAAAATAAAATTAAAAGAAATTGGCAAAAAAAATAAATAAATAACTATGAAATTAATAATTAAACTGTACTCCACCTATAGATCTTGTTTGATCTCAAACAGAAGGTGCCAATCAGTAATAATCAACAAAATCTATTAATTACAATTTTAATAGTGTGTGTACAAATGAGCACAGAGATGATTTCTGGGGAAGAGCATAGTGGAGCAACAGGTCATCCATGTTTGGGGGCCTTGTGGAAAGGGACTGTCAAAGCAGAATATACCATATTTGTAAGTCAGTGAAATTTTATATTTTTCATTCAAAAAAATTTGACCTCAATTGTAAGCCACACCTTGAAGTTGAACTATCACTAACCCTTTGGCTTTAGATAGTGTGAAATGATTCTACTGTTGAATATGATAAAAACAAAATAAAGTACAGTACAATTGACCCTTTCTATTCGCAGGGGCTAGGTTCCACAAACCTCCACGAATGATCAAAATCCACAGACAGTATTAGAAGCCATAGTATATGTCTGGGAAACTTTAGTCACCCATAAACTGTATTGTATTTTACTATGTTTTTCTTTAAATACACATACAATGGTGAAAAACATTAATAAATCAATGAAATCTACTTATAACAAAATACAATACTGTGTGTGTGTCTCTCTATATATATATATATATATATATATATATATATATATATATATATATATATATATATATATATATATATATATATATATATATATATATATATAGACACATACACACAGAGTATTACCCCGTTTTACACGGTTTCGTGCATCTACTCACATACGCGGTGAAGTATAATTTTTTTAGTTTTTTATTTAGCTCATAAAATTCATACAAATTACCAGGCCAGAATATAATTTACATTGCTGGAATTCTTACAATATGATGATCATTTTGAATATAAACATCATGGATTTTGCATTAGACATACAAATTTTAGATCTAATGTAATAACTTGGTTTACACAAGGCAAATATTTTATCTTTTATGCAAAATATATGAAGTTTACATTCAAAATATTCCCTGACCTGCAAGGAATCCAGAAATGTCAATTATATTATCCTAAGTTTAGTCTGAGGTATTATTTATTACTAAACGTTAAAATCTAGTTTTTTCACCCAACATTTCTCTGGTAGGGTGGGAAGGTGGGTGGGGTTGGGACCGACCGACCCAGCTGGCGAGTGTAGAGGAGGCAAGGTGGGGTACTTTGATTGACAGATAGTGTCGTGAAGAATATTTTTTTTTTATTAACTGAAGATATTTGTTTTAGCTCATAAAATTCATACAAATTACTCAACCAGAATATAATTTCTATTGCTGGAATTCTTACAATATGATGATCATTTTGAATATAAACATCATGGATTTTGCATTAGACATACAAATTTTAGATCTAATGTAATAATTTGGTTTACACAAAGCAAATATTTTATCTTTTGTGCAAATATATGAAGTTTACATTCAAAATATTCCCTGACCTGCAAGGAATCCAGAAATGTCAATTATATTATCCTAACTTTAGTCTGAGGTATTATTTATTACTAAACGTTAAAATCTAGTGTTTTCACCCAACATTTCTCAGAGTAGGAGCTAGTGAGCTGGGAAGAGGGATTTGAGTCCATTATTTGAATGGACATTAACCTGGCGACTGTATTTCTCTTAAATATTAATTGTGTGAGCATACCATCATAAAATTTAGATGTTATTTTTACTACAACATAGGTATTGTGTCGGAAAAAGTGGAGTTTGGGGGTCGGGCCAGTCTCTATTGGAATTAATCCCATATGTTCTGTTGTTCACTTTACACGGTACCCTGTGGGTTCAATTGACCGCGTAAATCGGGGTACTACTGTGTGTGTGTGTATATATATATATATATATATATATATATATATATATATATATATATATATATATATATATATATATATATATATATATATATATATATATATATATATATAGAGAGAGAGAGAGGTGAACTGAACCAGTTTGTACTTTGTTTGAAATACTGGAGTCAACCCACAAACACAACGATATATGGTACTTTCATTCAGTTTCCTTTGAATATGGCATACAGTCTCTCCTCGACTTACGACGGTGTTCCGTCCCGACGACCAGGACGTAAGTCGAATTGGTTGTAAGTAAAAAAATAATAGAAATTCTAAAATGGGTGTCTATTTTTCTTCTGAGCACCATGAGAACTCTCACTTTTACGCTTGCCAGCCATTTTAAAGGGAATTACAAAAAAAGATTTGGCAGTACACAGCGCGATCACTGACACCGGGACTCAAAAATACGTAATGTGAAAAATATTTTATACGACCATGGCTGTCGTATGTCCGGGTTGTCATAAGTCGAGGAGAGACTGTATATGCATTGCTGGAAAACATTAATAAACCAATGAAATCATAAAATATACTTTACAAGAAGTACAATGTAAGAAAAAAATGAGGTGTAAAGGAAATTGTGTGTGAGGGATCTAAAGCGGGTGGCTGGCTGAATTTTATCAGAAATTTCCCAACCCCCTTACAACAACATGCAATTTCACCATAATTTGCACAATATTTGGGTTCTTTTGGTGTCGGTTAATAAAACATTATTGTAATATAATTTTTCCAGGAGAGAACACACACACACACACATATATATATATATATATATATATATATATATATATATATATATATATATATATATATATATATATATATATATATATATATATATATATATATATATATATATATATATATATATATGCTGATAACCACAAGGAAAGAAGAAAACACGAAGTTCCCAAGCGCTTTCGTGTAATTCACATCTTCAGGTGAGAGTTATCAGCATATACCTAGATCACGCGCACCTACAGTGATTTACTTGCATATATATATATATAGTTAGTTACTAAGTTTGCTTACATACAGAATGCAAACAGCTGAGCAGCCAGCAAGCCCTGGCCAGAATTAAGAACACACTTCCCTTCATTCAATATTATTCCCTTTTTTACTGCTAGTCATAGTTTATAAGTCAACAGGTGTATTTACTCCAATGCGTTTGATGTTTAGTGTTCAGAAAATGTTCTATAATGACACACAAAACAATTAAGTGGCTTATAAACGAGCATTTGCAAATAGTGGAGTATGATGAACATCACTGAACACTGTAATACTAACCCTTGGGAAAATTGTGAGTGTACGTGAAGACCTGCAATGCATATACAGCAGTGACCTGAAGGGGAAGATGTTCATGTAGAAAAGCCTGTAACACAGGCTTAAACTTGGCTAAAAGTTCTTGTTCTTGTTCAGTAATCAACTTCTCAGGGATGACTGTTGGGTCAGATCCAGGAGCCAATGTGGTTTCCTGGAATCATCATAACAAGGACATTAAAAACTTAATCATTCAAACACTTAAACAGAAACTTCTTAAAACTAAGCATGATTCCTATGAAGTGTTATCTATAGAGGCCCCCCCAAATTCTTGGGTTAGGTTCTCAAGATGGTCGCGAATCGCCAAATCCGCAAATAACATTTTTACTTATGTACAAAGAAATGTATACTGTACTCGCTTCATGTATTTGCCCTTAGGACAATTATTTCTTTTACCTGTATTGTACATACGCGTGTGTGTGTGTAGAGACACAAATAAATAATAAGGGGAAAATACTCAATCAGATAAAATTAATAAAAATGTGACGGTCTACCCTCACGTCTGTGCTTTATTTAAAGCACAGACTTGAGGGTACTCACACTTTTAATAATTTTGTTTCTGAGCAAGGACTTGAGAGTAGACTCGTATTTGAGTAATTTTTTCCTAATTATTTGCCAGAGTATTTTTCCCATTATTATTTATTTGTTTTTCTAATTATTTACGAGAGTATTTTTCCCATTTTTATTTATTTGTTTTTCTGATTATTTGTGAGAGTATTTTTCCCATTATTATGTATTTGTATGTGTGTCTACACACACATTTACAGTACAGGTGAAGAAAATTACTGTCTCTAGAAAGAATGGCTCCCTGACCCAGCTGCAAAAATGATGGCAACTTTAAAACTACCACAGACATTCTTGGATACTTCCAGAGTGTCATCCGCGAATAATAGAGGACCGCTAAATAAAAATCCGCAAATTTGGGGGACCCCCTGTACTCTGTGGATCAGAAAATCTAGGAATGCCAATTTACAATCACTTTCTAATTCCATTCTGAATTTGATTAAAGGAGCTAAGTTATTAAGTAGTGGTAGAAAATCTTATTAAATTATCACTGCATGACCAAGGACATACATCATCTACATAACTAAACCAAACTGTTTTGTTCAGTCATATGAGATAAAAATCATTGTACTGGCTGCACTAATGCCTCCTCAATCTTACCATTTAATTCAATTATCAGTAGGAACAACATTGAGTTTAGTCTCATTAAACATATTGAAGTTGTTAATAAGAATATGAGTAATGTCATGTACAAATTGGATAATTTTGTCAATTTTGTCATTAAGAAGATTTGTAATCAGGTAATAGGATTGGGTAACTATTTCAGTGACCTGAATATTGTGGACACCTGATGGCCCCAAGGACTTAATCTCACTCCTTTATTGTATGTAATGGCCTTGTTAATAACTACTCCACAGTCTGTACTCATCCGTGAAGGTGTGCATACACAAAAGCTCCTGGGAACTTGTGTTTTCCTCTTTCCTGTGGTTCAAAGTCCGCGTGTTATATGGACTAAAAATGAAGTGTATGTATGTATGTGTGTGTGTGTATATATATATATATATATATATATATATATATATATATATATATATATATATATATATATATATATATATATATATATATATATATATATATATATATATATATATATATATATATATATATATATATATATATATATATATATATATATATATGTATATATATATATACACGTATATATATATATATATATATATATACATATATATATATATATATATATATATATATATATATATATATATATATATATATATATATATATATATATATATATATATATATATATATATATATATATATATACACTTCATTTTTAGTCCATATCACACGGACCACGAACTCGAACATATATTCTATCGTCCGCACCTCAATGATCGCAAAATGCCCCGACAACAACTTACGATAACGGGCAGTTTCCCAATGAGGTTCACGGCGCCATCAGCTCGATGAACAGGCTTTGTGTGAAATATAACAGTCTAGGACTGCTTTTAGTGTCCTTGTGGGCTAGCCAGTAAGCGTTCCCTAGCTCCACCCAGTAGGTCGAGGGTTCGATTCCTTGCTGGTTAGGTCGTAGATTTTATATATATATATATATATATATATATATATATATATATATATATATATATATATATATATATATATATATATATATATATATATATATATATATATATATATATATATATAATATATATATATATATATATATATATATATATATATATATATATATATATATATATATATATATATATATATATATATATATATATATATATATATATATATATATATATATATATATATATATATATATATATATATATATATATATATATATATATTGGCCTGCCTTTAGGGTTAATAAAATATGATCGACAAACAATCCATTTCTTCCTTACCTGTGTAATATATTTGACCAACACCGTCATTAATGCATTTATAAATCCTGGAGCAGTGTGATGTTCTACATCTAGGGTGTCCTTGATGTATTTATAAAACGTGTGCGGTGTTGGGTCAGCAATGAGGGCTCGCCATAAATCAGATTGGATTCGTAGAAGCGGAAACAGGAAGGAAAGATCACGGTCTTCAAGAAGGTCCGCTAACTTTTCCTTCGTGCGATCAGATTCAGGCAGCAAGTTGAGAAGGTTCACCTGGAGTACAAATAAAAATGTCACTTATCCAAGAATTGCTGATCTAATAATTTTAAAGTTGCATAAAAAAAAAACCCACAAGGTGACTGGTCTGGGTCAAATTATCCTTGTCAAATACTGTATGTCAACATGCTGGTAAACAATGATAGGAAATGCCAATTATCGATCTTGGAATACAATATAAGTAAAATTAACCGTTTAGTTACCTTGCTATCATTGAAGGTTTGGGTAAGAGCAGATTTTCCCTGAAGTTTGTGCAAAGTCTGGAGGGTTAGCAGGAAAAGTGGGAAGTGTTGTCCTCCCTCCAAAGGTTCAGCTACATCAGCTAATGATAGAGTTCCCGACCCTACCAAGTAACCTAAGATTCCTGCCATGTGAGACTTAACTCGAGGGATGTCAGTGACCAGGTCATCAAGGCGACCAAGAACCTGTTAAAAAAAATTACAAATGAACCAATTGTATGAAATTGAATGTTATTAATACATTCAGTACAGTACAGTGGTCCCTCGGTTAAAGAGCACAATCCATTCTAGAAGGTTGCTCGTTAACCGAAACCATTGTTTCAATGGGTTTTTGGGTAATTGGTTCCAGCTCACCGAAAATTGCCTAAATTCAACAAAAAAGGTAGAAAAGTACACTTACTTTGAGGTGTGTATGTAGAAGGCTCCTGGATGATGATGGGAATTAGAATGGGGGTGGAGAAGGGAGAAGAGAAAGCATTGGGGTGGAAGAGAAGTCACCCCATGGCACCATTTCACTCATAAAATTTTAGTTCTCTTGGTGCAATTCAAGATTATTTTCTTTAAATCAACACTGCACTGCATTATATATTGTCAATATGTAAAATAAATTTCAAAATGACCAATAATTTGCTTGCAAAAACAGAAAAAAAAAAGCATTTAGTTGAAGAGTCTCAAGCAAGATGTTACCTCCACTGAAAAGATACAAAGACTGATGCCTGTATGGTGTGTTGAGAGGCTGGATGGCACGCATAAAACTAGTTTCATTACCTTCAATTATGTTCAATAATTGTTAAAATGAGTAAAAAATTTAATATTTAACTTTTAAAATTATTGAATAGTATAAACTTCTTGATATTTGCTAAAATGGTAAGGAATTTAAGCCTTAAAACCGATTACTGTATTGGCGGACTAATACTACAGCTGGTGGACTGCCAAATGCAAGCGAAATCATGTTCAGGTTGGCTCGTAAGAAACTCGTTAATCGAGGGGTTGCTCGTTAACCGAAGTTAAGAATCTTATGGAAGGAAACTCGTTAACAGAAATCTCGTTAACCGAGGGACCACTGTATCTACTTCCAGCAATAATGCTAATGTGTATTAAAAAAGTGTTAGCTGTGGCTACCTTACATCTGACTATACATACATACACACACACACACAAAAGTAATGAACACAAATCATTTTGGAATTTGCATAAATTTGGCAGGATTCAGCACTGCCACAATCCTGAGGATATTTCAGTGGCCAATATTTTGCTGTATGCCTCATATTGAACGTAAATACAGTAATATCTTCGTTAACCAGAATCCCTCACTCAAAAACCTCCAATAGCCGGAATTTTCCCATAATTTCCGGCATTACGAACAAATTTTCTGGGGTTGAAAACCGGGAGATTTTTCTGAAAACGTCTTGAATCAAGATGAAAGTGAAGGTAATTTTTATTATTACAGTATTATTATTATATCCTTTTTAAATGAGATTAGCCCACCCTGGCATGGGTCCATGACCCACACCAAGGCCTAGGGGCAAAAATATAATTATAATAGACAATTAAAAAAAAAATAAATAAATAAATAAAATAAACGATATATATATTGTGTTGTCAAAGTAAGGTTAACAATTGAGACCTTGCAATTGTGTGTAAATGAGGCAGAAAGTCAGCTCAGCAACCTGGTCAAAATTTTTGTGATGCCATATGGCAGCAGGGTCTACCATTAGACAACACATTTTGCTTCCAATATCTTCTAATTAAATGTCAGGTCACCCTTTCTTGGGTGGGGGATTGGTGGGTCTCATGACCTGAAGATGTCTTTAATAAACACAAACGCTAAAGTATTTTTAGGGAGATTCTGGTAAGTATAAGTATAAATGAGCAAAGTTGTATCCCTTCAACATTACATTAAATAACATTTTAAAATATGGAGTGAGAAAGCAGAACGGTGTGGGTCATTAGAGAGATGGAGAGGAAAGGAGTGGTAACATGCACCAGTGTTGCCAATCGATAAGCTCCTCAACAGCTGATCTTTTAATTCGCCTCCATGCAGTCACACAACAAGACCCTTACTGGAAGCTTGTCAACTTAATTCCCATGTGTGTGTGTTGAGCTTGTCAAGCACATTGTAGGATTTGAAGAAGTTGACAAAGAGTTTGTTCAGGAGTCAGGTGGCGAGGTGACATGCCAAGACACTTACAAAGCACACACATTAATAGAGGTACTAAACTATTGTCTTATAATATTTTACATTATAATTTCCAATTTAAAATTAATTGATACGATACCTCGAATGTTACGGAGTATTTCAAATAAATTCTTCTACCAGTACCCTTCACATACAGTAAAATACTTTTTACCTCCTAATTCAGCTTGTCATTAACCCTTAAGCCCCGGGTTAGGGTGCTGCTGGCAGTACCCCCCCCCCCATCCGCGGAGATAAATCGAGACAAAAAATCAAGTAAAAAAAAAAATGCGGGAAAATAGGCGGACGTTCTGGGACGTCACCCGGGGCCTAAGGGTTAAGGATATAACATTGGAAACATCTCATGGTATCAAATTCATCTCTTACACAAATACAGCAAAGATTATAACATTTGTTGTGAATTAGGAAGAGGGAGGAGGGCACATTGGGGGATAAAAGTGCCCAACCACACTCCTCCCCCAAAGGGTCACCTCACTGTTTGTCTACTGTACTGACTCATTCATGATACAATAGTGTTTGTTTTTCATAATAGTAGATACGTTACTGTAATAATCTGTGATTCATATACAATACAGTACAGTATTATGTATATACCTCTTTGGCAAAAAATAATGTAATTCAAGACATGTTCAGGTCATAAGACCCACTAATCCCCACCCAACAATGGGCGACCTGACATTGCATCAGGTCAGGTTAGTAACGTGACCCAATAATCTCCCACCCAACCTTCATCACAAGTGCTAATACATGATTAGTTATGTATTACAGTCAATTGAGTGAAGTGTCTGCCTATTCTAGGCTAAAGATGGCAGGATCTGCTGGAGTACAATATATACAGTACACAAGAAACCTTGCCAACAGTGACGTGACCGATCGCCCAAGTAACCAATGCGCCAATTAGTGGCAAGAGGATAAAAGTAACACCGCTCTATTCACGCCTGTATCACATAGCTTTTTTTTTTAAACATTTAATCAAACTTTTAGATAAAATATTCAGGATTATTTTGATAAAAAAAATGGTGTGTAACAAAATTTGAATGATTTTACTGAATCTGGTATCAACATTTCTACTTTTTTTTTTATAAAAGAATGGAAATACCATCACTACAGTATATTATTCAGGAATATTTCGTTTAAGGATATTCTACTGGAAACATTTTGTAGAGAATTTATTAAGGATTATCATGGTATCCAATTCATCTCCCATTACAATTAGCCACGCTCGGGCTGGCCACCCAACCCTATCCACCAAAAAGGTTCGTTTTCGTCAACACCACCCACACATTACACACAAACACTCCCTCCAACCACCACCCACACACACCCTCAAACAACCATACACACACGTTCCAACACCAAACATGCACTCACAGCAAGGGAATTAAGACAGCAAACATAAGGAGTGGTCTTATTAAATGACATCTTCATGTGTGTGACTGCATGGTAGCTAATTAAATATCAGCCGTTGAGGAGTGCCTGGCAACACTCGTTTTCACTCCATCTCTCTAATTACCCACACCTTTCTGCTTTCTCACTCCATATTTTATAATGTTATGTAACATTGAAGGGATACAACTTCACTCATTTATACTTATATCTGTACTTACTACAATCTCTCTAAAAATACTTTAGGTTTCGAGTTTATTCAATACATCTTCAGGTCATTAGACCCAATAATCCTCCACCCAAGAAAGGGTGACCTGACATTCCATCAGGTCAGTAATATGTGACCACTAATCCCCCCCATCCTACCTCCACTTGACATTGCATCAGGTCAGGTCAGTTACACGAGACCTACTAATCTCCCACAGCTCCATGGGAGTGGAAATAAGTCTGTTGTAACACAGCTTCATTCACGCCCATATCCTATAGATTTTTAATTTTTAAATATATTTAATTGACCAAGCTTTTAGATTAACTATTCTGGATTATTATAATAAAGAAATGAAGTTTCTAACATAATTAGAACTGTATTTACAGAATCTAGTAGTTCAGACTCAAGGAAAACATCTCCAGCACCCAGAAATGTTCTGGGGAGGTGGGCTAGTGTGTGTCTATGCAAGGTCTAGTTTAGACACTTGAAACTTTTCCAAGTAACCGGAAAAGGTTCCGGGGATAAGGAATTTTTCCGGGTTTGAGAAAGTAGTCTTATTACCTGGTATCTCTCATCCCCGGAAGTGCTCTGCACCAATTGTTTCGGCTAACGCGGATATCACTGTAGCAAAGAATTTTTTTTATAACTTTTAATGACCGTTAACTAGTGAGTAACAGTGCTAAAATTATATACAGGAGGTCCTCGGATTACATATGTCCAACTTGTGAACATCCCATAAAGTTAAACTTTAAATTTATTTTTATTTTTCTAAACAGGGCTCATCCCATCCAGGGACATTAGACAACACATTATGCTTCCAATATCTTCCCAGGTGGCAGTGCCTATTACCTTTGACGACTTATTTATTTACTTTCATTAACTGTGTTTCGTCATCCTAGTTCTTCTTTTGTCTTAAATTAAATTATTTTAGATGTATATATAAACATTGTTCTGTAAGTACAGCATGCACATGGGGTGTGGTTCAACTGAAGTACAATTTTGACTTAAGAGCGTCCATAGGAATGGAACTCACTCGTAACCCGGGGACTGACTGTACTGTATATGCATGCATGTATGTACTGTACAGTACGTATGTATATATTATGAAAACTATTGATACAAAATAATGCAGTATATTAATTACCTGCTTGACTCCATCAAAAAGACGATCAACATTAACAAGACCATCAATACGAAGTCTCTCTAACAGCTGACTGCCCAGCTCACGGTTGCTCTCTGCTATGAAAAGTAATGTTCATTTAGCTTGGTAGAAACAAAGACTTAGGGAAAGGAAGGTTTGGGGTATAAAATTCAAGAATATGAAAAGAGGAAGAGAAAGAACATCATCCTCAACATTTTGTGGCATTTTTCCACATTTGTGTGGGTTAACCATTATAACAATGTGGTGTCACAGTTCCTATCATGAAAATTTAAAGCAATTTTATAATGTGAAAACTGAACATAATAATTAGCACCTCCAAATGCCTTTATTAGCAGCCTACCCAAACCAAGAAACTTTACAAAATATATTACATGAATATTTTGGAAAAAGAGGCAGGAGTGCATGTAAATCCAATTTTCATACTCATTGTTTAAAACATGACATTAATACATGTGTTAATATCGAGGGCTAACACGTCTCCACCATATGTTCTTAAAACTTTTAACTGAAGCTACACTGACCTTCTTGAGTGAGGAGAAAGTTTAGAACAGTCTGTACAGCCTCAGCAGTAAGACGCTCTGGTAGCTTAAGGGAGCGATAACTTTCAACAGCTTCCTCCAAGTTCTGCTCCTTCATGGCCTCCTCATACACATTTTTCACACGCCGCAGCCACTCCTCACGGCTTGGACCCTGATACAACCAAAATATATTAGAATATCATAGCACTGAGTACACTTCAATTTTTTTAATTTTTTTTTTTGCTAAATTATTTGTAAGTACTCTTATTTGGATCTTGTGTAGATATCCTAAAAACAGATGCCGATTTTTAAATAAAATTATTTTAATTCTCAGATATCCCTGACAGCCGAACACTTACCCTATCCTTCCTATTGGCACGGGATTTGTCAGTTGATGCTTGTTTTATGAGAATAGGAGGGTCCTTGTGCATGAGTGGTGGAGTGGGTTTCTGGTTGGGTGGTTGGGGTTGAGGAGCTAGTGGTAGATTAGAGTGGTGGTGGTGATGGTGATGGTGGTGGTGATCACTACTTTGCTGGGTGCCTAAGGCACTCTGTGGCAACACCCCAGGAGTCTTCGGCTTCAGCATCATGCTAGAAGCTGCAGGACGCAATGACACTTCCCCATCTGAACTGCCAGTTCCTCCAGGGTTTGTATGGCTTAAAATCTTCTTAAAGCGAGGAGGCAGGTCCTTTGTGGGGACTGAAAAATAAGGATTAATAATTTGAAATACTGTACTGTAAACTGTGTGCGAGTGCATACACTAAATATGAACAACAATCAGAAGCCCAAAAATGTATGAAAATTAGTTCATATGTAGTAAAATTTGTTCAACAGTATTTTATTTCAGACATTAATTTTACTCCAATAACCTAGCCAAAGTACACCTAAATATTTCTCCATTAGCACAAAATGAAGTTTGAAAATAGATACCAAAATGATCTAAGATTATTTATTTCTGTGAAGATTCAAATATTCGTTATACCTGTACAACCAATAAAAAAAAATTGTTTGCCAGTAGCTTTGAGCGTTTAAGTGATGAATTAAAACTACAAGGTACAGTACTCACTATTGCTGTAATTCTGTTGCTGGTTGTATTGGTTGTTCTGTTGCTGTCGACTGAAGATCTGGTTGTTGAAGTGCTTGTTCTGGTAAGAGTTGTACTGAATGAAACCCTGATGAAGGACATGCTACCAAATTTACACACACACTGACAATTTAGTTTCACCATTTGGCACTTTGACAATGACTAATAATTTTCATTTAATGAAAGTTATCTCTTACAAAATTCATCTGCCTAAAACAAATAAGCTGGCTATGGCTGTCTACTAATATACTGTACACTATAGTGCATTTTTTCTCAGCTGAGAAAAGATGCCCCGCCCCCTCATCAGGAGTTACAGCTGATTGGCTGTTGCAAACCTGTCCAATTTTGTCCTGAAGTAATGTATTTCTAAATGAGTTTATTCATAATCGTTGGAATGACCGTTCCTGATGAGAAAGATATTTAACTAATTTATATAAAGATACACACATTCACTATTTCAAGCAGAAGCACATAAGAAGTTTATCAGAAGTATTATTCATGAATTAACCGTTAAACTCTGGTAGCAAATTCACGCTTTCGGAGGATGCATTTAATATATACCCCGGTACTTATTTTTACCCACAATAAGGCATACTAAGACAAATAACTTATCATTAAGTTATTTATTGCCTTTGAATGATACATGGCGGCACAATTTTGCTACTTGTATAATAATTAGACAATTGGTTTATGAATAAACCCAGGGCAAATGGAGACACATATACACTACTGTATTATGGTACTTAATATGATTATTTTCCCACTATATTGGATGTTTTTAACACTATGCATCAATTCCAATACACAGACTTGGTATAAATCAGCGGATGATGCAGACACATAAATGTGAAATGAAATATCAGTACCCCATATAATGAGGGCCCACCTGTACCTTGTAAGTGTTGGTTGGCTTCAATATATCTATTGAAATTACAGCAACAGGCATATAAAAATAGACAATCTCAGAGATTTCCAGGAATTTATAATAAACTTACCCCCTGTTGTTGACGTGGTCTGTAGCCGCCGCCTCCACTGACACCAGAGCCAAAACCATTTGAGTCAAAACCATATTTGTCAGGCTGAGATGAAATGACTCCAGGTCCTGTGCCCAAAGTCACTGCTCCCATAAATACATCCTCCATGCCAGTGCGATTCCCTCCCGGCTAATGAATAACATTCAAAGAATTAGGGATTATTTTAACCAAATAAATGACTCCATGACCATAGTGTCAACAACCCATAATTTTGTAGTTATACCACAAAATTGGGAAGGGAAGGACTGTAACCAAGCCTATGGACATAAAACACCCCTGTAAACTTCAAATGTGTATGACAGTCACTTCTGCTGAAGCCTGCATTCAGGAAGAGGGCTGAAACTTTGAACAATGGCCATAAAATCCTTATCAGACTGCATATAACTGCATATAAATTGCACTAGCAAGACTGGATATTTCATTTATACACCATAGACTTTATCACATTCTAACCCCAACTGTCATACTATACTGTAACTCTGACACTATGGGGCACTGGCACTATGGTCATGATGTCACTTATCATAGGTTTGTCTCGGGAATACACCCCCCCCCCACCCCCGCATCATGAAGCATATTTCTGATACACCCCTGTACTGTATATATATTGTACAGTATATATATAAAACAATGGGTTCTAACTTCAAGACTATGTAAACTACTGTACCATTGAAAATGCAGCTAAAAATCTAACCTGTGGGAAAAAGGATGAAACACCAGCCAGAGGCGAGATGGGTCCAGAGGATCGCGGTGGTCCGTGCGTTGAAGGTGGAGGGATGTAAACACCGAGGTCGTGTGCTGCCTCCTCACGCACCTATAAACACAAGGATTACTCAAACATTCAAGGAGGGCATAGTATGGGATTACAAATCCACTTTGATGTACATATAATGTTCAGTGTTGCTCAGTTAGGATAACTTACCTGACGAATGGTGCGTGGGCCATCCACCTGGGCAATCTTGCGAGGGACCCAGTTTGCAGCACGCAAATCCAGCACATCCTGCAACATGAAGCGGATCCGTGCCAGAAGGTCCGTACAGCTGCTCAACTGGTACATGCGTTCGAAGTACTGGTCCATTAAAGGCTGTTAAAAATGTTTTTAATTAATAACAAATTCAGCTTCACACTAGTTCAAAGTATATCTTTGCTAAGCGGCTTATATATATGCAAGTAAATCACTGTAGGTGCGCGTGATCTAGGTACAGTGAGTTCTGCTATAACGCGTGTTTTGACAACGCGAATTGGCTCTAACGCGATTTATGAATAGAGGAACGATATTTGTATAACGCGAACGCTGTTTGCTGTAACGCGATTTTTGCTTACTATTTCTCCAATTTTGTGGTATTAACTGTGAATATGGTAAAGAAGAATATCTCCAAGAAGCGTTCTGGTGATCGCATTCCCGGTGATGATCGTAAAAGAAAGGCTATAACCCTTGAAGAGAAGCTCGATGTTATCAACCTCAAAATCACCCTTCTCCCCCATCAAGTTATATTCATAGTTCTTCACGGTAAAGTGTTATATTTACTGTATGATTTCATTATTAGATATGAATGTAACATTTATTTAGACTGTGCTAACCTTTGTGTTAGGCTAACTACTAAAATTTTTTCGATTTCGAATAGTAATCTGCACCTAACCCTATTTTCTCCAAAAGCCGTTATTTCTATTACGCGAATTTCTATAACACGATGTTTTACAAGAACACAACTATCGCGTTATAGCAGAACTGACTGTACATGCTGATGACCACAAGGAAAGAAGAAAACACGAAGTTCCCAAGCGCTTTCGTGTAATTCACATCTTCACGGGTGGGTACAGACTAAAGAGAAGTACAAAACAAGGTGTATATATACAGAGGAGGGTGATATCAGGTCCACAATGGTCAGGTATTAGGTAATGACCCTACTAATCTTTAAATAGCACCGCAACGGTTGGTAGTCAGGTCAGAGGGTAAGGTGACCCAACCTTCTCACCTGGTTACAAATCTTCTTAATTACAAAATTGACCAGTTTGTACATGCCATTATGTCATTACTCAAATTCATGTTGAATGCTTCGGTATGTTTAACGAGACTAGATTCTATGATGTTCCTACTGTCAATTGAATTACATGGTAATATTGAGGAGGCATTATCCCAGTCAATGCAATGCTTGTTATCCCTCAAATGAACAAACAGAGCATTGGATTCCTGGCCTGTCCTAACACTATATTTATGTTGTTTAAGTCTAGTTACAAGATCTTTACCTGTCTGGCCTAAGTAAAACATATTACATTCCTTGCAAGGAACTTTATGAATGCAACCAATTGTGTTGTTGGGAGGAGTTCTTGATTAACATTTGTTTAACAGTGCATGAGTTTTTAAATGCCACATTGAGGTTCCAGGTTTTTAGTTGTAAAGGAATTTGAGAGAAATTTTTGTGAAATGTTAATGCTAAGAGATTCTTATGGTCATGGGTGGGCTTGGGATCAGTTCTATAAAAAGATTTCTTAGTAATGTTCAGGCATTTGTCTATGAAAGATCTAGGGTATTTAAAGTTTGAGCCAATATTATAGATATATTTATATTCCTCATCAGTGAATTCCGGGCTGCAAATTCTCAAAGCACGTAAAAAACATTGTTGAAAATACTGACTGTTTGACTCTATTATGGTGGGCAGAATAATAATGAATGTATGAACACACATTAGTAGGTTTTCTATAAATACTGAACTTAAAAGTGTTACCTATTCTGTGTATCAGACAGTCTAGGAATGGCAATTTACAGTCTTGCTCTAATTCCACAGTGAATTTGATCGAGGGGGCTAAGTTGTTAAGTTGTGGCAGGAAAGCTTTTAGGTCCTCATTACTTAATAGTTTCTTTTCAAAGAATTCCATATATAGGTTGCTTAATACAGGTGAGAGTGGATTACCCATTGCCATACCAAATTTTTGAGCATAATATTCTCCATTGAATTCAAATTTACAATCCTTAATACATAGTTTGATGAGTTCGATGAAGTCGTCTTTCGAGACGGGCAGTGAAATATTATCCAGGGAATCTATGAGGAACTCTAGTAAATCATCAACTGGGACCTTTGTAAAGAGTGATGTTACATCAAAACTGACCAGTTTAAAATCATAATTAATGTGTAAGTTATTGAGTTTATCAACCAGATCCATATTATTCTTGATATTGGAGTTAGAAATGTTGCCAACTAGGGGATTTAGTAAAGAAACTAACCATTTAGATAGTTTATAAGAGATTGACCCAACTGAGCTAATGATGGGTCTTGTCTGGAAGATGTGAATTACTGAAAGCGCTTGGGAACTTCGTGTTTTCTTCTTTCCTTGTGGTTATCACATATATATATATATATATATATATATATATATATATATATATATATATATATATATATATATATATATATATATATATATATATATATATATATATATATATATATATATATATATATATACCTGAAACACTGGAATTTCATTGAGTTCAGTATAACATTACCTTGGCCTTGGGCTTGTCCAGCACCTTTCCACAAGTCCTCATTATCTGGCACAGACACTCCAGATCCTCAGCCAAGTCAACCATTGGTCGACGCCGACGTTTCTCCAACAACTGTACAACAATTTATTATCATAGTTAATAAACATGCTCCACACTAATTCAATCCAGCCATCTCTCTATTAACCCAATTCCACTTCAACACACATGAAATCAAACAGGTGATCAAAGCCACTCGAGCAAATACAAACAAGTGATTGATCCTGAAATCCCTTGTATAACTAAGCCCTGTTCTGGATCCCTGATGTGTGATGAGTGTTAACACTATCTCTGGTAAACGATTCCCAAGATTTGTGAATTAAGAGTTGGTTGGGAACAAGAAAATACTAGAACACACACTATAATCCCTCACCTCAAAGAAAAATATTTCAGGTAGGTCCACTACCTCAAAGGTGGCATACCATGTACTACCCACAAAAATTTTCATAAAAACTGTATAGTTATCCCGAGTCCTCAAGAGATTTTCACTCGAATGTCCCCAATCTAGGCTAAGTATTAAATATTCGTTGCAAAACCTATATACAAGGGCACATTTGCTTGGTAAATGTTGATCCACACTATTAACATGCCTGTGAATCCTCTAACTGGCAGATAACAAGACACCTTTCTTATGTCTATGACCCTATATTCTAAATATTCAGGATATATTTTTCAATTTTTAAGTTGCAAGTTGTGTAGATCTTTTTAAATTTCTTGCTTTTATTTAAAAAAAATTAAATAAAAAGCAGTTTCCTATTAAAAACATTAATAAACCGCAAATCAAAGCAGGGTCCTTTCAAGATGATTCCCTCAGAGGTTCCTAAGAAACCATCCACATTTTCCTACCTGTTGGATACAGCGATGGAGGATGGATTCATGAATAATCTCCAGCTTGCCCAATTCACCAATGAAGCGGAGGTTGCCGACCATTTTGCGTTTTGCTGCTGCACGTTCTTCCTCTTGCTCTGGGGTGAGGGCCGCCCCCTCCGATCCATCCCATGCCTCGGCGGCACATCGCCGACGTTCAAACTCATCCTGAAAGCATAAAAAGTGATAAAGTTAACCAACTAAACTAGATCTAATATGGAGAAAAAGAATGTAGTTACCTGAACAATACAATACTAGTAAATAAACACTTTACTGTATGAAACAATCATATCTATGTAAACAGTTATTGACAACCATACTACTACAGTGATACTACAGTGTTCCCTCGGTTAACGAATTACCTTCCATAAGATTCTTCGCTTCAGTTAACGAGCAATCCCTCGATTAACGAATTCCTTACGAGCGCCCCTCAATATGTTTTCGCTTGCTCACTAGCTGTCGTATTAGTCCGCCAATACAGTGATCGGCTCTGGGGCTTAAATTCCTTACCATTTTAGTAAATATCAAGAATGTTGTACTATTCAATCATATTAAAAGTTTTCTATTAAATTTTGTTAGTCATTTTAACAATTATTGAACATAATTGAAGTGCGTACAGGAAACTAGTTTTATGTGCGCCAAACAGCCACTCAACACACCAAGCTTGGCGTCAGTTTGTTTACAGGTTCGGAGGAAGGAACATCTTGTTTGAGACTTCAAAATAAACGCTCTTTTCTGTTTACAGTCAAAATATTGGTCATTTTGAAATATATTTTACATATTGATAATATATAGCACAGTGCAGTGTTAATTTAAAGAAAATAATCTTGAATTACACCAAGTGAACTAAAATTTTATGGGTGAAATAGCAGGATGGGGTGACTTCTCTTCTTCCCCAATGCCTTCTCTTCTCCCTTCTCCACCCCCATTCTAATTCCCATCATCATCATCAACCCGGAGCCTTTTACATGCACACCTCAAAGTAAATGTACTTTACTGTATTTATTTTTCATTTGTATGAAATTTTGGTGAGCTGGAATCAATTACCCAAACACCCATTGAAACAATGGTTTCAGTTAACGAATTTTCGGTTAACGAGCAACCTTCTGGAGCGAATTGTGCTCGTTAACCGAGGGACCACTGTATGTATGTATGTATGTGTGTGTGTGTGTATATATATATATATATATATATATATATATATATATATATATATATATATATATATATATATATATATATATATATATATATATATATATACACACACAGTGGTCCCTCGGTTAACGAGTTACCTTCCATAAGATTCTTAACTTCGTTTAACGAGCAATCCCTCGATTAACGAGTTTCTTACGAGCCGACCTGAACATGTTTTCGCTTCCATTTGGCGGTCCACCAGCAGTAGTATTAGTCCGCCAATACAGTAATCGGTTCTAGGGCTTAAATTCCTTTCCATTTTAGCAAATATCAAGAAGTTTATACTATTATATAATTTTAAAATTTTAATATTAATTTTTTTAGTCATTTTAACAATTATTGAACAATTGAAGGTAATGAAACCAGTTTTATGCGCACCATCCAGCCTCTCAACACACCATACAGGCGTCAGTCTTTGTGTCTTTTCAGTGGAGGTAACATCTTGCTTGAGATTCTCCTCAACAAAATGCTTTTTTTCTGTGTTTACAAGCAAATTATTGGTCATTTTGAAATTTATTTTACATATTGACAATATATAATGCAGTGCAGTGTTGATTTAAAGAAAATAATCTTGAATTACACCAAGAGAACTAAAATTTTATGGGTGAAATGGCGCCATGGGGTGACTTCTCTTCCTCGCCAATGCCTTCTCTTCTCCCTTCTCCTTCACCCCCATTCTAATTCCCATCATCATCATCATCATCCAGGAGCCTTCTAAAAACACACCTCAAAGAAAGTGTACTTTTCTACCTTTTTTGTTGACTTTAGTCAATTTTCAGTGAGCTGGAACTAATTACCCAAAAACCCATTGAAACAATGGTTTCGGTTAACCAGCAACCTTCTAGAACGAATTGTGCTCGTTAACCGAGGGACCACTGTATATGCAAGTAAGTCAATGTAGTTGCGCGTGATCCAGGTAATCAGCATATACCTGGATCACGCGCAACTACAGTGATTTACTTGTATATACTATATGTATATGTATGTGTATATATATATATATATATATATATATATATATATGAATATATGTGTGTATATATATATGTGTATGTATATATGTGTATGTATATATGTGTGTATATATGTGTATATATGTGTGTATATATGTGTGTATACGGTACCCTGTAACACTGTACCCTGTGGGTTCAATTGACTGCGTTAAGTGGGGTACTACTGTATATATGTATATATGTGTATATATATATATATATATATATATATATATATATATATATATATATATATATATATATATATATATATATATATATATATATATATATATATATATATATATATATATATATATATACACACTCGTGTATAGTTCGAGTTTTTAAGACCAAATTTTTAGGCAAAAAATTGGGGGTCGTCCTATACATGCGTAATAGTTTTGTTAGGTTGAATTCGTGCATAATGGGAAGGGGAGGAACAACTTTTAGATTCAGACATGAAAAATATTTACCATTTACTGCCAGTAAACAATGGAAACGTAAAATATGTACCAATTAGTAATGAAAAGTTGTGCAGTTCCTTCAGCAAATGAAGCTCACCAACTTACAATAGGCTAAATTACCTTACAATGTGCTTTCAGTAGTCTATGTTGAAGTTCTTAGCACAGGCTAACTTATCATATCATATACGGTATCACAGTTCTCATTGATCTACAAAAAATACCGGTAATAAAAACCTTTTTGATATTTCACACTTAATATAATACCCGGTAATCTACTTCAACCTCCTATTGTTTACAACGACACATGACGCACCACCAGCTGTTGAGTATCAGCTAGACGGTACACGTGTTTTTCGAATCGTTTTCAGTTAAAAAACTGTTACATCACATGTATATTTTACCTTAACTGTGCCTGAATGAATATATTCTCGGAAATAAATAGTAGTTTTGCTGAAACGTGATGTATTTTAATGTAAAATAGGATAAAATACATGACGAAAACAAAAGATTTTACCTAACCTTCCGATGTTCAAGAGAAGTTACTCGTTTTTTTAATAGTTTTTGGTTAAAATATTGTTATATTACAATGGTATTCTATTCATACTGTGCTTGATATAATGCATTCACGGAAATGTAATATTTTTGCTGAAATGACGTACGTATTACAGTGGAAAGTGGGATAAAATTGTGACGAAAACAATGACTTTCGCTTTCTTTCGTTCAAAAGATGTTACCGTAATCGCTTTTCGAATGGTTTTCAGTTAAAAAACTGTTGTATTACGATAATATTCTATCCTAATTGACTTGAATAAATACTACGATACCATATTTCTGAATATTTTCATTAAAATCCATCAAAATCATTTTCCTTGTCATCGTCTGCAGCACCAAACAGCTTCTCCCAGTCCTCTCCTTGAACAGGGCTAGAGGGTACATGTTTTTCGAATCGTTTTCAGTTAAAAAACTATTACATCACACGTATATTTTACCTAAACTGCGCCTGAATGAATATATTCTCGGAGATAAATAGTAGTTTTGTGGAAACGTGACGTATTTCAATGTAAAATAGGATAAAATACATGACGAAAACAAAAGACTTTACCTAAGCTTCCGATGTTCTTGAGATGTTACTCGTTTTTTTAATAGTTTTCGGTTAAAATTCTGTTGTATTACAATGATATTCTATTCATACTGTGCTTGATATAATACATTCACGGAAATGTAATATTTTTGCTGAAATTACGTACGTATTACAGTGGAAAGTGGGATCAAATCGTGACGAAAACAATGACTTTCGCTTTCTTTCGTTCAAAAGATGTTACCGTAATCGCTTTTCGAATGGTTTAGTTAGGAAACTGTATTACAATAATATTCCCTCCTAATTGACTTGAATAAATATTTGAATGGAAATATACAATATTTTTGTTGAAACTACCCGCGTTTCAGTGTAAAGTGTCGTAATAATAAATGGTAAACAATTTGCCTTCGGCACTCGTGTTTCAGGCACGGCGAGCCTCAGTTTATAGGACGTAGAGCGTTTTTAGTGAAGGTTTTGTTGTTCCATTACCCTCAAAAACGTGGGTCGAACTATAAACGAGGAATATCATAAATTAACTATTTCTTGGTCAAAAAATCAGGGTCGACCTATAAACGATGGGGGGTTATAGACGAGTATATATATATATATATATATATATATATATATATATATATATATATATATATATATATATATATATATATATATATATATATATATATATATATATATATATACACAGTTGTACCCCACTTAACGTGGTCAATAGAACCCAGAGGGTCCCGTGTTAAGTGAAATCCGTGTTAAGTGAACAACAGAACATATGGGATTAATTCCAATAGAAACAGGCCCGACCCCCAAACTCCACTTTTTGAAGACACATAACTATGTTGTAGTAAAATAACATCTTAATTTTATGATGGTACATGCACACAATTAATACTTAAGAGAAATACAGTCGCCAAGTTAATGTCCATTCAAATAATGGACTCAACTCCCTCCCCCTCTCACACTACACTGCCGGCTCTTCCCTCTCTGAGAAATTTTTGGGGGAAAACCACTAAAATTTAATAAATAATACCTCAAACTAAAGTTAGGATAATACAATTGACATTGCTGGATTCCTTGTAAGACCAGGAATATTTTGAATATAAATGTCATATATTTTGCACAAAAGATAACATAGTTACCTAGAGAAAATTTTTTATCTAAAATTTGTATGTTTAATGCAAAATATATGATGTTTATATTCAAAATGATCACCAAATTATAAGAATTCCAGCAATGTAAATTATATTCTGACCGGGTAATTTGTATGAATTTTATGAGCTAAAACAAATATCTTCAGTTAATAAAAAAAAAAAATAATCTTCACGACACTATCTGTCAATCAAAGTACCCCACCTTGCCTTCCCCCCTCTTCCAACCACGCGGTCAGTCCCAACCCTCCACCCCACCCCCCACCAATCCTCCCTTCCAGAGTTTTTAACATTTAGTATTAAATAATACCTCAGATTAAAGTTAGGATAATATAATTGACATTGCTGGATTCCTTGTAAGACCAGGAATATTTTGAATATAAATGTCATATATTTTGCACAAAAGATAACATAGTTACTCTGAGAAAATTTTTTATCTAAAATTTGTATGTCTAATGCAAAATATATGATGTTTATATTCAAAATGATCACCAAATTATAAGAATTCCAGTAATGTAAATTATATTCTGACCGGGTAATTTGTATGAATTTTATGAGCTAAAACAGGCAGTCAGCAGGGTGGCGGGTGGGGCAAATCTAAAATAGGCTGCCTTGTTTATCACCTCACCGCCATATGTGGAAAAAACTGTGTTATGAAAAAGTTCAGCACTACAGGCATCACAGAGGCGATAAAACGCTAAGTAAGTGAAACCACAGTATATATATATATATATATATATATATATATATATATATATATATATATATATATATATATATATATATATATATATATATATATATATATATATATACACACACACACACACACAGTATGTGCAAGCAAATCACTGTAGTTGCGCGTGATCCAGGTATATGCTGATAACCACAAGGAAAGAAGAAAACTTCGTGTTTTCTTCTTTCCTTGTGGTTATCAGCATATACCTAGATCACATGCACCTACCGTGATTTACTTGCATATATGTGTGTGTATTTATATATATATATATATATATATATATATATATATATATATATATATATATATATATACATATATATATATATACATATATATATATATATATATATATATATATATATAATTATATATATATGAGTGTGTGTATATACTGTACAGTATACTGTATATAAAACTGAATCACATAGTAGTAGAAGGATATTATTCAAACAACAGCTTCTACAAACCTGGCACTTGCTCAAAAGTAGACGGTTATAAGTACAAGGTCTGTCAGGTGGATCAAAGTTTGGAGCCTCTTCTGACAGCCGCTTGCACAGCTGTGCGTACATAGAACAATATTTCGGTTCATCAAGGGCCTTTTCGAAGATCTGGAAAGAATAATTCAAATGACAATAGTTATATATTTTTAACATGTTTTATTATTTTAAGTGCAAATTATTTCAAAAACTTACATTCCTTGCATTTTAGAACAAAGTCAAAACTAATACAAATACTTACCAACAAAATGACCCCTTTGAGAATTGTGGTTGAATCAAGGCCTACATTTAGGATGTCATTGCTTAGCTTATGGAACTTCTCAGGGGCGAGTTTGTTGAGAACTCCTCGAACCTGCAATTAATTTGTTACATTACTTGTTAATTCCTTGAAATTCTATGAGATCTGATATTTACAATTATTTGGCATAGCTATTCTGTTAAATTCATATAAATGCTATGTACCACTATGGCACAGTGGTACATATATGCCATTGCAGTGAATTACGACAGAACAAAAATCACGCTATTTTTATTGTCTCACAAACAAGATCATTACCAGCCTCCACTGTCATTCAGTAGCACCACCATTAAACCAGCTACTACTGTCACTATTCTTGGTCATACTAACTAGCAACCTTTCCCGGAAGCATCACATTCTCAACACTACATCCTTCCTGTTTTGGGTTCATTCGTTCTTTACCCCTGCCCACATTACAAACTCATTCTCTATCTGTAAGTGGGTTCCTTATTATTTACCAAATTTGCATGCAAGCTGGAAAATCGAAGAAAACAGTGGTGATATGATGATTCCACTGCTCTTCCTTCACTTCTTATTACCCTTTCCACGAATATACTAAACAACAATGACAACATTACAGTTTTAATGTAATGCAGCTCCTGTAGCTTTCACAAATACTGTGTAACATTTACAATAAGAATAGTCTTGCTATTTTCATGCCATCAGCATCTTTCTTGGTCAGGCACCACGGCATGTTATAATCATTTGGTAAATAATTAGATAAGACGAGGATGTGTGGCTTTGTTATGAAAAAGTTTAAAATATTCTTATCATATGCACATCAATAACCCATTTCTATAGTATAGCATACCAGGTGAGCAACACTAGTATACTACCATGGTACACACCTTTGGGTGCTTTTGTAAATCTCCATAGAGAGAGAGAGAGAGAGAGAGCTAGAGCTAGAGAGAGAGAGAGAGAGAGAGAGAGAGAGAGAGAGAGAGAGAGAGCTAGAGAGAGAGCTAGAGAGAGAGAGAGACATTAGCACTAGTCTTGGAAATTTTTCCATATAAGATAAAAGCTTGTTTTTGTGTTTAAGAGAGCTAAGAGTCAAATTCGTGTGAAAGTCTCTATTATGCCTTAATGAGCGTACATTTTTTTTCATTTTCTTATTATTTGTGTTCTTTTTGTACTGTCTTTTGGCTTTGTTTTAAACATTTTCTTTATATTGGTATGGATCCGTGTCTTCTCATTTCAATCCCTTCAAATGGTCACATTCTTCTGTAAACATGAAAGCAGATATTGTTACACCTGCTCATTTCTCAACACCAGTCACTGCACTGGTAGGAAAAGGCAGGAGATATACCCTGGCAAAAGTAGTGTTATGATCTTAAGGAAGCAAAGAAAAAAATATGAGGCAAAGTAGCACAAGGAAGACAAAACTTTGCCTCAGAACATTAATCAAAACTGATTTTAGAGGTGTCTCTTCAGTTCATCATGGCTTTCACCCTCACTAGGAAAACCATGGGGGGAGAAAGGGGTCAAAATGGGCTGTAGTGCACAGTGGCTCTGCTTAAACAGTCTCATTCCAACTTCCATCACCTCCCATGAGGTAATACTATTGCCTCTCTAATTTTCCAACAATGCAGGAGAATATCTGAAAAATTCTGGACAGTATACGTCAATTTGAGTGCCTTAACTATAGCTAAGTCAACGTTTTCAGTTAAGGTGGATTCTTAGTGTAATTCTTAAGTAAAATTTGGACGTTATTTTCATGATTCTGCTCTAGTCAACCAATTAAGTGCATATTCATCGTACGAACCTTAGAGAATCTTGCCCCAGGCCAGTCACTGATCACGTGTTCCCCGGGCCCGCCATGGACAGGTCCTGGACACGTTTGCGGCTCGCGGCAGACACGCGCGGCTTGTTTCTGGTCATTAACATATTTGACCGTATTTAATAATTTTCAATTTCAAATACGGCTTAAAATCCAAATAAAAAATAAAACACCTTTATTTCAGATGGCATGCATCATAAACGAGGATACTTGGAAAAACTTTAAATTCACTGAACCAAAAAACAAAGCAAAAAACAAGAATAACTTTCATTGAGAATATAAACTTTATTCTTAAGTAATATGGGAGGGAAAAAAAACCGAATTTTATTTTACTCTACACGACACATTTACACTCAGACAATTTAAATTGGTAATAATGTACAGTACTAAAATTTTTTATTCTTACAGTATTTACTTTAAATCACAATTTAAAATACAATCCCATATCCATTTAAAATCAAGACGGGCTGCAGTGATCAAGGCTGAAACATTCATAGGTAGCCACAACCAAAGTATCCATAATCCTATGAGCGGCCACGCTGTTCTTACCAGTTTGTTACAGTGATGTGATGTTATCAGGTCCCTATCACAATACAAAAATATTTTTCTCAATTAATTTCAAGTCAAATAATGAACCACAATACACATGACCAAAAGATAGCATTTTCCCCTCAATTTTTAAGTCATTTCCCATTTAATTCAGAATGGTATGAACCTAAAGCAGACATGACCTATTTCCCCTGTATTTTATCACTCAATCATTCTTACTGCTGTAAACAATTATTCTGATAAGGTGCTCTTCATTCTTAACAAATTACCACATCCAGTTCACTCTAGTGACTAAATACAGTATTCCATACTTGCTCATAAATGCTCTACACTCATTCACATACACTAGTTCCATAATGCTCATGCAGGTTTTTCTATTTACTTCCACCATTTTCTCAGAGATGTATTTCCCCTCAAAGAAAAGTAAATTAATAAAAAATTCACCCCATCATAATAAAATCACTTATGAATGCAATGAACATAACTACTATTCATATTTATTGGAAAACTTATTATATTAAGACAACTTTTTATATACACAACAGCCATGAATCCAACTTACCAGATACATTTGGTGTCTGAGTTAGTAGCGAGTCATGTGGTGGAATAGATGTTGATAATTCTTCTCCTACATCAAACCACCGTAACACTTCCAGTTTAGCATTCAAGGTAAATGGCTTTATGGGCTCATTTTAGCATTATTGATAATACAAAATGCTCCATTTTCCATCCATTTCAAAATGGGTGACACTACAGTCTTACATACAATTAAGTGTAAAGTTGAGAGCATGTACAGTATTAAAAACAAGAAAGATCAACTGCAGGTTTACACCAACCAGACAGGCCAAGTAACAGTATGAAACACGCTGGGAAACAAAGGATCAAATGTGCCTCTAAACAAATCACGCGCAAAGTACAGAGTTCCCAATTTTGGCAAAAATATTCATTTTAAAATTTACCTCATCCCCCATTTGACTGAAATTCTGTGCCATATCTCAGATTTAATGATTACAATTTACAAACTCAAAATTCTGTAACCTGAATACAGTACTAGGAATGACAAGTCACCATACCACCTGAGCAGACCCTGTTCCACTATATCATTAATGCTCTTGCACCTCAACATCCACTCACTTCTGAATTTCATTTCCACATGCATTCATTTCTGCTTTTTGTATTCTCTAGCTTACTTTCCACTCAAGGTCATTTCCATTGCTTCTAAAGTGCTATCTTCTTGTATTTACTCCATGCTTTACACCTATGTAAAAATATTGGCCTAACAATTACCAAATACGTCTCCAACTTTCCCCTCATTTGACAGTTTTCCCTCATCGACCAACTACATTTTGCAAATCTCTCATTCACTCGCACACAGTATTACAATAAAGGGGCTGCAGAGCGCAAAAGGCTTTCAATGTCTGAAAGCAAATAGCCAATTGAAAGTCTTAAGCAGGTGGTTTCATGTATACTAAATAAAAAATTATTGACAGATTTTCTGCAGTGGATAAATGAGGATTTTATAACCAAGCAAAATTCCAAGCAACTGTACCTTCCGGAAAGTAAGGTCATATTTGTTGTCTGGGGTAAGTGCATCTCGTCTCAAGCTAGAAGGAGGGATCCATCGCCTTTTGCTACTGGACAGGGAACGCACGTCGTCCCTGCAGGGAAATAAACGGAGCCAAATTTAAAAAAACGGAAATAAAAAAAAGCAAACATCATTCATAGCACTACTGTACTACAGTACCATTGATTATAATCTAAAGCTATCATAAGATTATATTTTATATACTGTGTAAAATAAAAGCCAAGACCCTATCACTAAATATACATTAAACACTCTCAATAAGGGATATTCCTATGAGGAATGTTATTTGAGCCGGTAAAATCTGACAAGAATCGGCGTACATTTAAGCGATCAGGTGAAATGCCCTTAAAATGCCTCAACACAATAGTGATGGTGATGACTTAAGTATTGCAAAAAGAGAACAAAGCACCAAGTAAAGAATAAAAAGTGAAAATATCCCCCCAAACTTGATACAGAAACTCAATGACCAAGATTGTCAAATTCCTAACTCAGGTGTACCATATAACATACTGTACATTATTGTACAGAGGTAAATACAGGTGCTTCTCTACTTAAGAACGTACAACTTACAAACATCATCACTGAGAGGGGGTTACCTGCCAGAACAGGTGTTTAATGTGGATGAGACTGGATAATTTTGAATAAAATTACATTTAGAACAAACATTACCTAAGAGAAGAGTGAGCCAGGTTTTAAGGCTGCATTAAAGGGTACAGCTGTACTAAGTATCCATAATCTTTTCATTTTTTTAACATGTTTGGTATCTACAAGATTAACGTTGGAATTACAAACAAGCCTCAGGAACGTAACTCGTTCGTAATAAGAGGAGCACCTGTAATAGCATTGACATTAAGTGAAAGGCAGCAGTACCCTCCCCCCACCTCAAAACTACACGAAAGATTTTAACACAAGACAAAACACAAGATATTAAGCCGATTTAAGCACAAAAATGAAAAGGGTAAGGGTCATCTCATACCTAAGACAACTCATACCCAACATAAATCGTACTAAAAAAAGTTAACTCGTACCCAATATTACTTGCACCTAATTCAAGTGATAATCCATACCTATTAGTATATAAGAACATAAGGAGTCTGCAATAGGGCGGTTGGCCTGTGCATGGCAGCCTAAGGCAATTAAACACGACAGTGGGGTATATCTATATGCGGATGACACAAAGATTTTTAGGAAAATAGAACGAGACGAGGATTGTGACATGCTGCAGGAGGACCTGGATGGGATCAGGGATTGGACTGAGAAGTGGATGCTGAACTTTCACCCAGAAAAAAGTAAATACATGAGGATAGGAAGAACTAAAGTTGCTGACCAGGGATATCATATGTACACCACGATCAAGACCACTGTAGAGAAGGATATAGGGGTAGTCATCGATGATAAGCTGACGTTCTCTGACCATCTAGCTGAGAAAATCAACAAGGCTAATAAAATAGTGAGCATTATTAGAAGAACTTTTGTTCATCTGGATGCACCTATATTCAAGGCTCTGTACACTGCTCTAGTTAAGCCACACCTTGATTATGCTCATCAAATTTGGTGCCCATATCTCATTAAGGATATTGAAGCAGTAGAGAATGTACAGAGGAGGGCTACCAAATTAGTACTACAGATCAAGGATTTATCTTATGAGGAAAGACTAAGGAAATTAGTTACCGACATTGGTGTACAGAAGATCTCGTGGGGACCAAGTGGAAACATACAAGATAGTGTGTGGCATATATCAGCAGGAATGTTCCAGATGAGGGAGGCTGACACTACCCGGGGGAACACAAAGATGATCTACAAAACAAGAGCGAGGCTAAATCTCAGAAGACATTCGTTCCCGAGTAGGGTTGTCAACAACTGAAATGGGTTACCTGAGTGGGTAGTGAATGTGGAGACGGTGGAAAAGTTTGAAGCAAAATTAGATAAATACTGGAAAAATCAAGCGCAAGTATATAATTATAGGGCACAAATATCCGCCACACGCAGCCACCATCTGAGCAGAGAAGAGGCTATTGAGCTGGAGTCACAGGCGTGAGCCTCTTCCAGAAGATCATCTGTGAGTATCTGTGAGCGAGTCAATTAAAAATTAGATTTTGATTTATTGCAACTCATATTCGACAAATGGTAGCAAAAGCTTTACTGGAATTTGTGAATATTCACAAGCCATACAGATTGTTTGAGGATTTGGCAATTTCCAATGCACTCTGTAAAGAATATGGCATGTCATCATCGAATGCCTCTACAATCAGCTGTTTGATATGTAATCAAAGCTGCTGGTAATACGACATACACACCTCAAAGTAAGTTAAAATACAGTATTCTATTTTTTTTTTTTTATTATACTGTATTTAGTTTATATTTAATGTTTTGTTAATTCTATTACTGGTATACAGTATTTTGTATGTACTTTTTCTGTGAGTTGGAACCAATTACCCAATACCCCATTGAAATAATAGATTAGGTTAACAAACGACTCTGTGGAACGAATTGTGTTCGTTAACCGAGGGACCACTGTATATGGGTACGAACTGTCTCGTAAACTGGGTATGAGTTATCTTGTAATTGGGTACGACTTGACATGTTCTGATGGGTACGATTTGCTCAAGTACGAATTGTCCAGCACCGAAGTGAAAATGTGTTTAGTAAGATTCTGACTGACCTTCCTCCCACGGAGCGAGAAGCACCCCCCTGGCTCCTCTGCCCGTCCGTTGTTGATCGTTGGTAACCCACCCTGGTAAAAAATGGTTCTCTTCAGGAAAATTGGTAGCTCCTGAAAAAAGAAAAGAAAAGAATCTGTGGTCATAGAAAGTAAAAATAAACACTATCTATGCCAATATAAAATAACATGCTAGGACTTGAGAAACTTGGTATGCCTGCAACCAGTTGCCCCCCCCCCCCATAGGGAGGGTACTGTAGAAAAACATGGCCTACAAATTCTTATTACAAACATTTTCTATAACTTTGTAAAGAAGCTGACAAATGAAGAGATACCAAAAGCTTAAAACAAAAGAATTCTCAAACCATGCATCTGACTACAAATCTGAAGACAAAAAAATAAATACTAGAGAGCTTATACCGAATATTTACATTTTACATAAACATAATTATGATAAAATATTAAGATCCATAATTTCACCTTTGATATTTTTTTTCAGTTCAACATGACTATCTGAAACCAGTTTCACACTGGAATGTTTTTAAGTAACAAAGTACCCGGTACCTTGTTTGGTGTGTGTGTATATATGTATATGTATATGTATATGTGTATATATATATATATATATATATATATATATATATATATATATATATATATATATGGGGGGGGGGACTGCCCGTTAGGTTTGTTAGATATCCAAATACTGTACAGGGATGACCATAACTATAATTTTACCCATTGTTAATGTGGGAATCCAGTCGGAGACATTTAATATCTAGCTGACTAAATTCATACTACCGTATTTTACGGCATATGACACCCCCCATTTTAGCAAGGAGTATTTAGGAAAAAATTGTGTGTATTTTCCTCTTGTAGCAACAGTTTTCTAAAACAATATATACAGCACAGTACCAATAAATGTTAGGAATAAATAAAAATACCAATAAATAAGTAACCCAAAAAAAAAACACTGTATTGCCAAACAAGTATATAAATGCCAAATGAAAGTTTAAGTCTCCATTTGCATACATCTGTACTCCCTGTTCACCATAGCAATGGTGACGCTACCTCCGCCGATTCCCTTGCAACGCCCCCCCCCCCCAACAACCGCCCAGCCAATCTCCCGCTCCCCCACTGAGCTGGTTAACTCGTGCAAACAAATGTATATTCCTTTTATGTGTTTGCCCTAAGAACAATTATTTCTTTTACTTTTTCACAATATGTATGTAGGATGGTGTGCGCATGTTTATCAGTAAAAATAAATGAAAAAAGTTACCTATATCTACCCGAAAATGTCGCCAGCGATGTTAACAGATGTAAATGTGAAAAAAGTTACCTGTAAATCTTCATTTGTATTAAGTATTTGTAGATTGAAAAATACATGTTGCAGGTATGGCATTAATAGATTGTAATGCTTGTAAGAGTTCAGAAATAAGAACATAGGAAGTCTGCAATAGGCCAGTTGGCCTGTGCATGGCAGATCGTCGAGAGTTACTACCACTCTCTATCATCCATGAATCTATCTAGCGTCCTTTTAAAACTTTCCAGCACTTACTACAAAGTTGCTAAGCTTGTTCCACTCTTGCACCACCCTATTTGTGAACCAGTTCCTTCCTATCTCCCTCCTAAACCATAACTTATCCCACTTAAATCCATTGCTACGAGTCCTATCCTGCTCAGATATTGTAAAAACTGTATATCTCCTTTATTGATTCCTTTCACCCACTTAAATACTTCTTCGCTACCTGAAGAGTTGGGTGTCTGCCATACGGACGTTAATCGTCTCGAGTTATCATCATCAGTAGAGTAGTTAGAGATCGACCTTTTATATATACAATCATGATTTTTAATTAATTTAAAATAATAATGTTTAAGTAAGCAATAAGATATTTTTAATTTTGGAGTTGGGTTCGGTAGAACTTAGCCTACTGGAGACAGCAAGGAGGGCTCATTAGCTTTGGGAGACCTTAACTTCACTTATAGGATGCAGGCTGATTTTTTTGCCATTTTTCAGACAAAAGGTGCATCTTATATGCAGTAAAATAGGTTATTATCGGTCTACTTGCCAAACATGAAAAATATTAGAAAAGAACTTGCTATAAAAATACAAGTTGCAATGTGGTCAGCAATTGTCAGTACAGATGAAACTTGAATGTCCCTTAAATGAAAAGGGTAGCAGGCAGTTTGCGCACTGCGTGGCAGTCTTGCCAGACGTGTGATAATTATCATACAAATACGACATGAAAATTAAATAACTGAATTGAATTGGAATTGAAAAGCACACAATTTGAATTTCAATTTATTTCTTTTCATAATGATTTGGACTGAATTTGAATTATATATATTTTTTTTAATTTGATTTGAATTAACAAAATAGAATTGACCCCAACCCTAGTTGCCATTCAGTAGGAAGTTTCAGTTACTCCCCGGGCGCTGCATGGTTAGGATGGTTAAATTTTTTTTATAAAAAAAAAAGTGGCAACAAGACATGAAAAAAACCACTTTCCTTAGGCACTTTTTTGTCATTTGCATGGGTTAAGAAAACTTTAACCTTCTATGCTGAAACGTCCAGCAGTTGGTATTACAAGAGCACAAGTCTTCTTAGTTAGCGAGGAATAAAAAACGAAAAAAAGGTAATTTTGCATTTAACAGGACAAGCCAAAAATCACAAGTGCCTTTGAAATTGTTTACCTTTGGCAAATTTGGAAACTCTATACTACCACATATGTAGCAGCACCTTGTGCATTGGGAAGTTCCGAGTTCTCACTCACCATATGTAAACAAAGGCACCCATGATTTTACATCCATCTTAAGCAAATCAAATTAACAAAAACCATTCTGAAATTTTATTATTTTATAAAAGTATCACAATAGACAAATTTCAATATAAATCACTCAGTGGTTTGTCCACACTAATATCAAAACATTGTTTGTAGTTTCATGAAGCAGAGAGGGTACAAAGACCACATCCTTATAGCCATTGGCTATAAAAATTCCAAGTTTTATTCCTTTCCCTGCATTAAAAGAAAAACTTTTAATGAAAATCCTGAAAACCATTTCTATGATGTCATTCTAGATCTTTATCAAGGAAGTGCCACAGCACACTCAGCAGCTTCACATCCCTGATGTAAGGGGCCAGCGTGTGCAAGAATACCTGTATTTATAGCTTCAGCATTTCCCTTTACCTGATCTTTTTACTAACTTCATTTACAATCCAAGGTTTTATCCCTCATATTACTAAAACTGTGTAACTATTGATACCTCCCACATTTAACAGTTCACAATGCTTTCAACATTGCAGATGTAATTCCAAAAAAGTCAACTTATACTGGCATTAGGAATCTACTGGAAATAAGCCTCTTATGGCTTTGTCGGCTGTCCGTCAAATTGACTGATCATCAATTATAAGAAAAATAAATATGGTCCAACTTAATTTTTTGGAGAAAAAATAAATATGGCTTCCTTCTTCCTATGCACCTGTTCCTTAAAACCTTAAACTAAGTACCGGAGGGCATTCGAAATAACCCAAATTTCCTGTCTGGAATACTCACACACGGAGCAAATGTGAAAAGCGGGGATATGAATATGGTGGTGGAGTGTCAGGGTGAGTGACGCCCGGTGGAGGCCAGCCCGTGGACTACAGCCAACTTAACACAAACACTGGCAGCCTCCTCATTCCACTTCTGCGTTACAACAAAGACTGCAGCCTTCACAGTCGATCTAGGCTTATACTTTACTTACAATATCATGGCGCTAATATTACTGGGAATATATAGAACAGAAAAGAGTAAGAAGTTGCAAAACACCCCACAGAAACAAAAGTTCCTTAATAAGGCATGCCATCTCAAAATGGGAACGACGCAACTTCTTTACCGATCAATATAGGGACTAATTGACCAATCTATTCCAAAAAGAAGTGACTGGGTCCTAACACATGTGTATAGAACACTTACCTCTTCCGATACTGTACCAATAGAACACTAAATACGCTCACAAATTCCAAAATTAGGGCGAGCTGCACGTAACTCACCGAATGGAGGGTAGGGATCGTGGGCTTTCGCAATCTGGAACTCTCTCTGCCTGTGTCGGACACAAGAAAAGCTTCTTCTAAATCAGGTACATTCTGTATTCATATGAATTCTGGCATTTATACATTTGAAATTAATATAAAACAAATAACTAATAAATTAGTTATGCACCAAAAATGTAATAATTTTTGTATTATGGCTTGGTTTATACAAATAACTATTGTCACAATTATTATTGGAACACTTCCTGAAGGGTGACGTCATGCTCAGTCTGCTGTCATGGCCGCTTCTCGGCAACCGTTCGTAGCTCTGAGAAATAAATCGATGAGTAAACATAGGAAAACCGCCTCATGAAAGCTTCAAGCGATCCGTTAACTATTATAAACATACTTACTTCCAAAAATTAACTCCTTTTTTTGTTACAATATGACTGCAATAAGTGGATCTAACAGTAAAGTCAGCATTTTTTTCCTTTCCAATTGTAACTATACATCACATCATTAATGTCGTAAATATCAATAATTTTTAATAGTCTTTTAATCTTCAATATATTTGGATGCAGATATGCAACAAACATACCTGCTTTTCACGTTCATTGTCTAGGCAGGGGCTCCTTGGTTGACGAAGTTAAATTATTGGAAAAGGCCTCATAAGATTTCTCACGGAAAAGAGAATTACAAAAGCATAAATTTTTATTCATTATTATAATAGTAGACATCAAATACATGGTAAGTATTAATTTAATTATCAAAAAGTTTACCTTCTCCTGAGAGCTGGCATCACTCACTTCCTGCAGCGGGTTAGCGGAAGTATGGAGGTGGCGACCACGGTCCACAGCTGCACCTCACAACCAACAAGTCCGCCCACGTCTGCCCTCAATACTTGGAACACAAGGACAAGTACCAGCTACATCATAGAGCAGCCTTGCCTATCAGTATAAGACGCGTTAATGGTTGCCTCGTAATATACTTGGTTTCAACAGGATTTAACCAAAAGTTTGCGAATCTAAGCGAATCAGCAGGTGTATGAACTTCGAAAAGGTGTGTTTTTCAATATTTATACTAATGCTTACAAAAACTACGTTATTATTATTATTATTAACACGCCAACGAGGTCAAATGAGTATCGTTTGGTTCGGTGTTGATCTTTAGTTTACTGTATTCTTGATATAATGTATACTGCAATGTATATCGGCAGCAAAACTTGCGAAGGCATAATAGCTACAAGCATTATACTTGGCATATATATTCACCATGGTCATAGAGTTACTAGATTTTTAGAAACATTTAAAGTGGAGGCCTGAGATGGGGAGAATTCTTCCCCTTCCAGTTCTTCAACCCCCACTTACCCCCTACCAAAGAAATGTTGATGTTTTGGTATTCAGGTTAAGGTATAAAGGAAGATTACATCCCACTCCGACGATCGTCTGTTTTATGCGATCAACCTAACCTCACCTAACCTATCATTAAACTAAGATGGTAAGAATCCCATAAAACGATGATCGTCTCAGGAAGTGGGAATCGTTCAAATGGGATGAAACAACAAAGGAAGGCTTCGTGTATATGAATTGGTGGGTGAGTTTTTAAAATTAGACTTGCGTTCTAAACAAAAATTTTGATCGCCTGAAGATTAGGCCACCCAGCTAATGTTTAACCAACCTATCCTAGCCTAACTTAACCTATCCAAACGTAACCTAACCTATCAAATCTAGAAATAACGCCATTTCAATTTACAGTACCGTAATTTAGAATATGCGTAATATTTTGTCATACATTAATTTTCAGTCTCCCCTCACCGTTATTATTATTATTATTATTATTATTATTATTAATTATTATTATTTTTAGTAGTAGTAGTAGTAGCAGCAATAGTAGTAAAAGTTGTTGTAGTAGTATTAGTAGTGGTTAATATTATTATACAGTACATACGAATATATAGGACGTGTCAGAAATAAAGATTTATTAAACTTCAAGTAGTCAATTTAAGTTTGGTACTATATAATATAATCTGAAAGACAAGAAATAAATAGTAAACCCAAATGAAAAACAAAAATCAAACCATAATTATTCAAAGAATACATCAAGATAAATACTGCTGTTTGATTCAGCAGTGAGTGTACGTGTGTCAGAATTTTGTCATTCTTGGGTTAATTTCTTCCCTTAACTAGGGATTTAAGTGGCTAGTTCAGGGACGTAAAGGTGTCCCGGTACATATTTCTTTGCAGGGATATTCAGTGGTCACCTTCTTATGCTAGTACGGCATTGATTTGTTATATGTTTCATACACACACACACACACTCCAAAACAGTTCCAGGCCATCTCTGAACCCCTGAATGAGCCACCTACGAAAACCAGGGCTCTTCAAATGTACAGTACGGTATATCTAAAAAAAAAAACATTGCTCATCAATTATTGTAAAAGACGTCTCATAAGTTACGCACCATAGGAAAACTAATGTTTTTTTTTTTGGAGGGGGGGGGGGTGGATCACAGTAAATCAACGAAGATGACAGAAATCAATATTAGAGACAAGAGTTCTGTTTAATATATTCATGTACGGAAAGCCAGATGCCACACTCCGATCAGTTGCAAAAGAATAATCAATCGACAAAACCTACAGTACTGTATGTACTTGATTATTGTTGATTAAATTCTTTTGCAACCGAATAATAAACTGACTCTTTCCTCTGGTGTTAATTTATCTGCCACCTTCGTTAATTTGCTATGATTCCCTCACTTAAAAAAAAAAAATTAGTTTTCCTATGGTCCACGACCTAAAAGAGATTTTTTTTTTATTTGCAGCACAAATACTTTATTATCATGATCCGTACACTATGTTGAAGAGCGTGTATCACTACAAGCTTGCTGGTCGCCCTAAAGCTGAGATGGCGGCACCACCACCGTGGCTTTAGGTATAAAGGAATACCAACTTGGCTATGTAAAACTTCCCTCAAAATGTCATATTTGACAACGACCTTTGGAGGATAAAGATGTTTGCTTAAAGAGAGGGAGGGATGATTATATTTCTATATTAACCAAATTAATTGTAAAATTAGATAAAACAATATCTCAATTTATCAATTATAAACAAAGGATCTATGCTGTTGTCTCAATTGAGAGTAACGATCCTTCTTTTTTTCTTTATAGAAGAGATTAAGAGATAGAGTGGAGTGTAAACATATACATACGATCGATCACACCCCCTCAACGCGCCCTAGTTCATTCACCTCAACAGATAGCATAGAATTTTGTAGGGCAACCTATGCTGTCTCAGATATGTAAGTAATTAGTCAAGTGTGATAAATATATACATAAGTGTCATGCGTGTCTGTGTGTGTAGAGAGAGAGTATACTGTACGTGCACATTAAGAAAACACCTCTTTAATATTAAGGTTAGCTTAATCAGTCCCTGGCATGATACATTTATACACAAAACAATTGCAGGAATCACATGGATATAAATCAGGTATTTCAACCATATCCGTGATTACTGCATACAGTTTTACAGGTCGTTGAATCCATCGAAGGCTCTTTGCCTAAAATCGTATTATGAGCATAGTGCTAAATATATGCATCATGACTGTAATGTAATTATATATATATAAATATATATATATATATATATATATATATATATATATATATATATATATATATATATATATATACAGGCATTAGCCCACCCAGCAGGTCATTTTATAATGAGTATGACCCACATCAAGATCTTGGGGGATATAATAAAATGATAATAATAAAATTAATAAAAAATAATAACATAATAAGAGAAAATAATAATTACAACAAATTAATAAAAATTGTAAATAATAATAATAGAGCCGTAAAAAAAGAGTGAGAAATGATATGTTTGTTGTTTTGTCTAAGTAAGAGAAACAACTGAGACCCTGCAATTGTGTGTAAATGAGGCAGAAAGTCAGATCAGCAACCTGGGACTTGGTCACAATTTTTGTGGTGCCATGTGGCAGCAGGGTCTACCATTATAGACAACACATTATGCTTCCAATATTTTCCCAGGCGGTAGTACCTCCCTGTTTAATAGCTGCCTACTACGTACTCATTTGCTTAGTTTCGAACTCTCTGTACGTTAATAAATTATCTTTCCGAGGAGTTTCTTTTCTTCGAATGTTGGGCATTTAACGTCCGCTTATCCCTATTTTTCCACATTTGTTCATAACTTAAAGCGTTCTTTACGGCTAGTGTGAGTACTTACACCGATACTTTTGATACGTAAATGAATTAAACCCCTATTTTATAAACGGATAATACAACCGGAAGGATACCGTACAGAATTCGGGGGAGTGTCCCAGCGTGGATCGGAGAATTTCTTCGTGATTGCAAGCAGTGTGTGGTGTTTAATGGTATGAAATCGTCATGTGTACCCGTGACAAGAGGGGTACAACAGGCAGTGTTCTGGGTCCGTTGTTGTTTGTCTGTTTCATAGACGACTGTCATGGGTTGCGTTAGGCTTACCCACGCAACCAACTCCAAAGTTTGTTTTACCAGAGATAAGACGCCCGGCGAGGCATAACTGGGACATGTATTTTTCAATTAGTGTATGTTAGCCAGCCTTTAGGGGGGTGGGCAGTGAAACAGTGTTGAACTGTTCATCGCTTCACACCCAAAAACCTCATTTTAAGCAGTATCCCCTGAGCCATGGGTTAGTTAAGACGTCGTTTCCATCCTCTCCCTCCTGAAAGGGGGCGGGACACCACACCACGCAGAGTCCACCGCCACTCCGTCCTGTGAACCGTCGTCGACACGAGACTAAGCGTGTTAACCTAGGCTGTTATCCCCGTGAAAATATCACGTATGGATGCCTGGTTGCGACAAGAGCAATCCAAGCTGGCCTATCAAACCTACAGTAAATGGTTAATTAATTCACGCTTACAGAGTTGTCCTGCACGACACCCGTCTACAGCGACCGTGATCGACACGAGACTAAGTGTGTTAACCTAGGTTTGTTATCCCCGTGGAAATATCACGTGTGGAAGCCTGGTTGCGACAAAAGCAATCCAGGCTGGTCTATTGCACCTAATGGTTAATTCAAGTCACGCTTACCAGTTCTCCTTGCTGCGACAACCGTCTACCGTGACTGTCAGTGACGCGAGACTGTGTGGTAAC